TCGGCCTTGAAGGCTGTGACTCGGCCTTGGCCTCGGCCTCGAAGACCCATGACTCGGACTCGGCCTTGGCCTCGGAGGTTGTGGCCTCGACTACAACACTGCACTGATTTTGGATGCATTAATTTGGGCTCGAAAGTGGCGCTATCTTGCCATGTTGTAGGGGGATCGTTTTTCAAGATGTCTACTTTTCCGCTTTGGGAAAAATAGGGGTCGTCTTCTTTGGGTGAGAATATCTGGAAAAGTCAATGGTCAACCCACCAACAAATGAAAAGAAAATGAAAGATGCCAAGTTGATCATCATTTGTCTGTACAGCTTAAATACCTGTGAGAGTTCCGAGTATTTTTAAAACAATTTTGAATTATGATCATTTAGCACTAGTGTCTATGGGAATTTAATACAGGGTTGCACCCATAACTGCTCCTTTGTAATGCTACAGATATTCTAATGCATGGCGTTTTTAACGCCCGGGGCAACAGCATGTACCGATATGGCTTTTTTAATGCCCGAGGGGTGCACAGTTTATACGCCAGAGGGCTATTAAAACGACGTATCCCACATCACAGCAGTCCACAATATTGTTTTGTTATATCGTTACAGTATTAAGTCAAAAAGGTTATGGTTTTAAACTTCATTTCTTCGAAATGAATGAATTCACTGCAGTGTAACCTTAGCTGTGAGCTTTCCTGCTCGACATGAGATAATGAGGTTGCAGTTCTCTGGTGCGAGGCTCTCCTCTCGGGCCGCGGCCCTGCACGCATCCCTCACGCAGGCGCAATTATATACACCGCGGTGTATATGAGGTAATTATATGCAACGCAGTGAATAATATGAAATCGTTTTTTATAGACTGGACGTGCCGTTCTATATCAATTCAATTACAGTATATCAGACACGATATAACATTTATTTCTTCTTAAAAACTTAAGAAGAAAACAATACAATATGTATATTGAAACTCGAAGTATTTAGGTTTTGGAAATGGTTTAGACTCTGTCACGAGTTACAGTTTACTATACACCTCCTATTGGTATGTTGTTTTTTTTTTCATTCGCTTCATGAATTATTTCGCAAGAGACAACGCGATAAACATCCTATACAAAATGATTCCAGGATGTATGCACACGCAATTAAAATAATGACAGGTAAAGGTCATTTCTTTCTGCCATTTGAAGAATTAACGACACTGAAATACATATTCTAAATCAAATAAAATGAGGATAATGGTTGTTCACAATTGTAAATTACATATCGGTCATAAAATACCTAATACTAATCTAAATTGCTGTAGCCTCACAGAAGATATTTAAAAAAAAAAATCTGAGTAATTATGGAATAACTAATTTACGACTTCCAACTGCTTCCGGACCGACAATCGTTTAGTCGGATCTTAGACGAAAATGGAAACCCAAACGATGTTGTTTTCAGAAGATCAAAGACGCCAAAAATAGTTTGAAAAAAATACAGATTTTCTTCGTTCAACTGAAACATTCGTGTTGAAAATTCATGGAGAAAACTTCCAATCCAGCTAAAAAAAATCATTGCCAAATGTATTATTCATGGAAGTCAACCAATGTGTGGCCTTGTGAGGCATAACGGCATCGACTCACTTTTATGCAACCACAATTGTCAGAAGCCTTTCTCATGAGCGTGTATTGGTCGCCCTGTGTTTGCTATAGGCCTACTTAAAAGGTAAAGTATATCATTTGTAATTTGTGCATTTTTGTTTTCGTTTCAAGCAACTAAAGTGCTCAAAACCTAAAAATAAACAGGGAGCTTAACAACTAACCTGATCAAGTTTTAGCTCAGAGAAAGCGATATTCTAGGATCTTGATTCCAATTTAAAAGTTGCCGGGTCATGTTTTGAATTGACCTATCGCCATTTGCGAGTTTGCCTAACCCCTTGGACAACCCTATGGAATTTTTGTACACTAAATTTTGTTTGTCTCAAATTTTGCGCGTTCCGCATCCATTCATATATCATGCATAGATATAGTATACAAATAATTAGTGTTTATGGGTGCAATGGTGAGAATATTTTCATGAGTTCAAAGATTGAATGTTCCTTCTTTCAACGAATGAAAATATTCTCACCATTGCACGAATGCAAACCATTCATTATTTGTTTTACGTAACATCCAAGTAGATCTTTGTCATTTGATTGGAGGATACAACTTTAAGAACAAACAAACTCTCAAAATTGTCATAATCCACTACCTTTTTCAACTTGTTCAATGCTAGCAACTTCAAAGGCAGGTTTTGTACTGCTATAATTACGCATGATACGGTCTAATTAGCGCAAAGATCGTAGCGCCCTGCCGTTGCGCGTCTATAGCGTGCGCGCGGCGTGCAATAAATCAAAGGAATGGGACGAAAATGGACGGTTAATGGAACCAAAAATGCACGGCCGTGCAATGGTTCGATTAATGAACGCCGCGTGACCTGCAATCCTCCAATCAAATGCCAAGGATTTACTTGAGTGTTATATAAAACTTTTTATTCTATATCTATGATAGATCATGCAACTGGACAATATTTCACAAGCTGCGTTGACGCGATTCTAAGGCGATTCTACCGCGATAGGTCAATAATATTGCGCCATAAATCAGCGTCCGGTGTAGCGTGAATATCCGACTCCATGAAATGTGGACTCATTGGTAGTAGTGCGCACGCGTGAGTACGATACTATGCTATTTTTAGGATCGTTTGGGGAGAGTGACCTGTCACTTGCGAGGGATTAACCAATAAAAAGGAAAAAGGGGTCCGATTTTCATAGGAGTCGGATTTTCATGTGACACCGGGACACGTTCTCATTCAGCGGATTGCACCTATATGCGCCATGTCATGCACTGAACCGACGTAATATAGCAACCGCGCGCGCACGGTTCGTCGTATCAACGCTTGCGCACATCCATTCACGGCTTTGCCAAAGTGCTTTCGGAAATTTCAAAAAAAAAAGGAAGTCTTTGGAAATGCCCTCTTTTATTGTTTTCTTGAAAATGACAGTATGCCAGAAAGAATAATTTCACAGGGAGTTTAGTGCCATTATTATTTTAAACCAAGTTGGCCTGTGCAGGCAACAATGATTTCGTCAATTACTTTTTGGATAGCTGCAAATGATATACTCTACCTTAAAGACGTTGTACCAACATAATGCATTTACCTATGAAAAAATATATAACTTTTTAACTAATTAACATAACATCTAAAATTCAGGAAAAATGATCAAAGTGGGAAAATTAAAAGATTGCAACTGATTCAGCTGGTTTGTAGACCAGCAGGTGAATTGGTTAAAACCTCACGAAAAGGGAAACCACAACTTTTTGTTGGGTTGTCAGTTTATCCACCTGAAAACAACTGTCTGTCTGTCTCATACACACTTTTAAAATATCTTAAACTGACATCCACTATAAAAAGATTTAATACAGTGTTTAAGTGAAGGTGGTGTTGATGTTTCCAATATTTTTTTAGAGGGCCTGGTGTTTCGGTATTAATCAGACCCTGTTCAGAGGCAAATGACAGTGAAACAATCAGGCCATCTACTTTTTTTATTTGTATATTTCAGATCAATCTAGTCAGTTTGTAGCAATTTAATCATTTTCGATTTTTAAATCGCGCAGTTTTAGAGCTGCGTCAACGTCGGCAGCAGCAAGTGAAGTGACTGTAATAGATGTTGCAGACGGCTGGACAGACTCATTCATCAACCTTTGATAAATTTTATATTATTTTGAAAGCTTTTATTGTGAAACTATGGAGGTTCATCCATTGTGAAACGTAACAAAAAACTCAGTGGCCCTGGTAAGCATAGTCTGCAACTTTGCGGCGTATGCCAGTTTGTACCAGCTGCCTTTTACGAGTGCCCTTTTGAAATTTCGTGCGAACGTCGGCATTTGTGCCGCCCTGCAAAAAATATGTCTGCATTCCAGCATGAATGTGCGAGTGCCCTTTTCCCGACCCCCCCCCCCTAAAAAAAAAAACCTTGCTCAGGCCAAAACAAAAAGTCTCCGGTTTCTGGTATGGAGCTTGCCCAAAAAGTGGTGCGGCGACGCGGCTTTTTTTTTTTTACCTGATTTTTTGCTTCAAATGTCGGCTGATGACTGCAAATGGTGCCCAACTAAACTTAGTGGAGTCCAGAGAGGCCACATAAAGCTTACTTTCGACCATAACCCAATCTAAAAACACGTTAAAATTGTGCAGCAGCAGGATTCCAGTCAAACCAGTGAGTTTGGCGGTTTTGAGACATCATCTTTCATTGAAAAAAAAACGTTTTCATTTTGCCGACGCGCGCGCATACCAGAAACCGGAGACTTTTTTGTTGTTGGCCTAAGCCACTAGTCTTGGTTCCATTAGGCCAAAAAAAAAAGTCTCCGGTTTCTGGTATGCGCGCGCGTCGCCGTAGCCATGCGCGTCGGCAAAATGAAAACGTTTTTTTTTCAATAAAAGATGATGTCTCAAAACCGCCAAACTCACTGGTTTGACTGGAATTCTGCTGCTGCACAATTTTAACGTGTTTTTAGATGGGGTTATGATCGAGAATAAGCTTTATGTGGCCTCTCTGGACTCCCATATATTTGCACTAAGTTTAGTCGGGCACCATTTGCAGTCATCAGCCGACATTTGAAGCCAAAAAAAAAAAAAAAAGGTAAAAAAAAAAAAAAAGCCGCGTCGCCGCACCACTTTTGGGGCAAGCTCCATACCAGAAACCGGAGACTTTTTTTTGGGGGGGGGGGCCTTATAGGCGACCATTTTTATTTAGGTCAGACCACATCTGCAACCCGTGCATCCCACAATGGGAATTTGTTTGCAGTATAGGCCTTTTCAAGAATATCACGTAGGCCTAATTCATATTTCAGTCGCACACTCTCTCGCCCTGCTATTGAACGTTTTACGAATACCTGCCATGACTTCACAAATTCGCGTTTACATTCTTAGTCATTCTGACTCTTCCTCTAAGGTTTTGTCTCGTGTCCACAGTCTTCCATTTCTTGTATCTTAACGACAGGTCTGAGTTGCGACGATGGAAAGTTTGCACGGTTACGTACGCCTGTGGGTGATAGTGGTTGGTGCAAGCACAGCTTTCTGGCCTGATGTTGTCATTGGAATCGAAGGCATCGTCATCAATGAATTCCAAGTACAAGGCCCGTCACAGTACGTCGAGCTGTACGATGGCGGAGTTGGCAGTACGCTACTGGATGGCCTGGCATTGGTCCTTTACTCTGGAGCTTCTGAAGCTGTTTACAGCCAACCTCTGGTGCTTGACAGCATCCAGACTAGTCAGACGGGATACTGCCTCATATCGTTTGGGCCCCCGTTACCCAGTGCCGATGTTAATTCCTCAACAGTCCTGCTATCGGCCGGTTTAAATGCAATAGCGTTGTATGACCAGTCCGGTGGGAGAATTATACAGGCTGGATCAGCAGTAACGGATGTGGATTTGGTTGATGCGGTGGTGTACGGCAACTCCACAAATCCACAAGACAGCAGGTTGGTGAGTGTGTTGTCCCAGGGCCAATATCCCCTTCAGAAGAGCGGACCTTCCATTGGTAATCAAGACACTTCTCTCGGTCGTTGCAGAGGGTGGAGGCAAGTCATGCATTCGTCGTTTCGTACAGGAAACCTGACCCCAGGCAGCGACAACGACTGTGTTCTGCCGTCGCTTGTTCTCAACGAGCTGAATCCGACCACTAGTGAGTCTGGGGCCCAGTTTATCGAGATCTTTGACGGTGGACTGGGGTTCCAGACCACTGATGGTATTATGTTAGTCGCGTACGCTGGAAACCGTCTTGGAGACAGCGTCCATGTATCTGTGGATCTCACTGGTTACGTGACCGACGAAAATGGCTTTCTGGTTGTCACCGCCAATGATACTAACTTCGGAGATGTTACCAGCCCAACGCTTAATAGACCGAAAGTGTTCATTCCGAGAAAAGCGACGGGTATTGCACTGCATTTAGGAGCACCAAAGCGTTTTGCACAGGGCAAACCAATTACAGATTACCACCTGATCGACGCAATCGTGTATCAGCTTGACGGGGGTACCGTTGACCACGCATTGCTAGACGTATTGACACCAGGACAGGATACCGTTGTTGATCAGGACTCGACGGATGATCAGGATTACTCTATTAGTCGCTGCTACTGTTGTTCAACTCGTAACGTTTCAGCATTTGGCAGGGCACCAATAAGTCCAGGTGCTATCAATCGAATGTGCAGTATCGGTAATCGCACCATCCTCGAAACACCACCCAATGCCGTCAGAATCAACGAAGTCCACATCGGCACATCGGGTTCGACCGATGGAGACTTTGTGGAAATCTACGACGAGGGATATGGGCTGACTGCCTTGGCTGGCAAAGTGTTAGTGGTGTTCATCGGTACTGAGGAAGGCGGAAGGTAAGATTATGTCCTTTAAATGCTGCTTTAAAAGGAGAGATTCAGTATTTTAACTGAACTAATGTACGTTTTTATGCATACTATAGCGGGATGCCACGCGAAGTGCGGCACCCGCTAGCTGGGTCGGGTCGTAAAGTTTGTATTGTTTCAAGAATTTAAAAAGTTGTAAGTGGAAAAGAATATTTAAAGTTAAAGGGAAAATACAACATTTGCAAACAACGAAAAATGAAACTATCAAGTTTTTACGAAATACCTTACTAGGATGTTGGTAAACGACAGTCTAAAGCATCCTGTAACATTATGGCACCTGGTGTGAAGTCATTTTCAAGAAAATGGTATTTTTGTATACATTTTCAACAGTGGTCGGCCGACCACCGTTGAAAATAGTTAGTACCGCTCAAAATTTACCTTTTTTTTCAGTCCAAATTTTGTTTGCTATTGGCTATATGTTCATGAACGGGTGCAGGCCAGCTAGACTGGTTCCCTTACCTTACAATTTTCCGGCATCTATGCATTGATCCATTTTATCTTTAGTTGAGTCAGGGAACCAGACTACTTGACCATTTTTGTTTTTCTTGGTTTTTTCAGCATTTTCGAACACAAAACTTGAAACATGCCAGTGTAACAATATTTGATCTATTATAGAAACTCCTCAAAACTCCTGAAAATTACAGCAAAAGCCAATGATGTACATTCCCTTTAAGATTTGAAAACATCTTACGTGAACAAAAGCCTAGATATTTTGTGGAAAACAATTTGAAATAGGCAATGAACGCTGTAATGTAAATGTAACGCTGCGTCGGGCTGATGTAAATCAATATCAGGTTTCCCCTCCACCGACGTAGAAATATTCTAAGTGTGTTTACCGCCCGAGTGAAAGTTGAGAAAGATCACTCAGGTGGAACTTGAACCCACGACCTCGTGCTTTCTAGTGCATACGTCTCCGAGCTTGCGGGGTTGGTTGGCTGGTTCGAATCTGATGTACATGTAGCAGCGGGTCCAGCAATTAAACTTTTCATAAGATGGAATTTTGCGTCGGGGTGATGTAAATCAATATCTTGTTTTGACCCTTCACCGACGTGTAAACACTGTATACTCAGTTTGTTACCGCCCGAGTGAAAGTTGGAAAAAAATTACTCGGGTGGGACTCGAACCCACGACATCCTCTTTTCTAGTGCAGGCATCGTTCGAAGAGGTTGAAAAGTCACTAATTGATGCTCTTGCGCAGGCGTAACTCCTTACTACGCAGCCAATCATCTTCAGGCTAATGCTGAAAAAAAAATAATAAGTGTCTTCCATCTTAAGAATAGAGATGCCCATCGACAACTGAGGGTCAGATGGTATGGGAAATGGCTGACACACACCCATAAGCCGATCTAGGTGTCACACTAGCTCGTTCCCTCACCTACAAGGACCACATTGCCAAGACAAAGGCAAAAGTTGGAGCCAGGAATAGCATTCTGAAGAAACTGGCTAACACCAATGAGAACAGATGCCAGAACTATTCGTACTACAGCTCCTTGCTCTATCTTTCTCTACTGCTGAGTACGCGTCCCCTGTCTGGAGTAGGTCGTCCCATGCTGCAAAGATTAACCCAGTCTTGACCCAGTCTTGACTGCCTGTAGAGCTACCTCCGGATGTCTAAGACCAACAAGAGTAGATATACTTGTTGTGTGGTATCGCTCCCCCACACATCAGACGAGTGGTACATGGTCTCATCACAGATGGAGAAAAACAAACACGAAAAAGACCCTCTCTGTCCTCTCTTCCATAAACCAGCCAAAAAGAGACTCAAATCAAGAAACAGTTTCCTCCTCTCAGTTGAACCCCTCGATGGCACTAGCGCCCATAACAGAAGGATGTCCCAGCGGTCCAATCGTCTTCAAGCAATGCCACACAAGCTTCCCTTCAGTCCCAAGGAATCTCTACCATCAGGTTCGAGTGAGGCATGGCCAATCTGGTCATGTCTAAATCGCCTCAGGACAGGGACTGGACGATGCAAAGTTCTTATGAAGAAATGGGGATATAATGAGGACGGACAAACTGTGTGCGACTGTGGTGAGGAACAGACAATGGAACGCCTGCCGGTCTGCCCCACCTGCCAGAACCCTGTACTCCTGAAGATGTGGAAGGATTCAACCCCCGGGCTAGATCCCGTGCGTCCTGCATTGGACGGTTATAGTGTAGTTGCCCGAGAAGTACAAGTGCAGGCATTCTAATTACGAACGCATGCGCCTAAATGGCCCATTGAAAATGTACAAATTTGTCCAGGATTTGTCACTTTTTTCTTAACGCCAAAAAGTAATTCCGATGGCGATATAAGGGAATTTTTCGAAAGAAAAAAAGCTACAAATGACTGGAATGTTTAGACCCCTGTATATTTTCAATGGACCGCTTTAGCCTTTTTTTTTTTGCCGCCGAGCCCATTTATGCGCATGCGTGCATAATTAGTTATTCATTAGTAAAAAATATCCAAAGCAATTGCTCCATAATGGTCTGTGAAGCTCGATTTTCCAGTAAAAGATTACCGTACGTGCATTTACAATAGGCCAGATTGGTGTTTAAACATGCGCCCAGTGCGTTCGTCGTTATTTCACAAGTTTCTTTAATCAGGACAAACAATCCGCGTTCGTAAAAGTATATAGGGCACCAACGACATTCAAGAAAGTTCTTGTTCTGCAAGACCAAATGATATAAGTACAAAATAGGTACAAAATAAGATAAGAAAAAATGGACTGCATCGTGTTTTGGAGTATTTTTTATTCAGCTTTTGTGCAAACATCGTTTTCATCTCATTATTATTTAATTTTCTTATATTTGATTACACTTTTCCACTGGCTGACAAAAATAAGAACATTACAAGATATACATTATCAAAGATTTAAAAATACTAAAAATGTTTCATTTACGAAAACAAGGATTAAGCCAGTGATTGGCATGATGGAACAGGTGACTAACACCTCTACAGAGCCATCCTACCGCAGGAAAACGAGATCTTTAAAGAAAAAGGGGCGGGGCGTGTGAGAGGGGGAGGGGGAGAAAAGGGGGAAACAGGGGATGGAAGAGGTGATGAATATTAATTCGATATTTGAACTGATAAATTGTTAATGTCCAGTGGAAACTGACAAGCGGAATAAAAGAAAATGGAATTTGTTAAAATCTGCAGCCACCACAACGACAATTTGTTCGCATGAACATATTTTTACCAGACTGTAGATCCCAGTCTGGTTCCAAACTTTCTTTTTTAAAGTCGGGCTGATTTAGATAGTATGGCAGATAAAGGGAATTAAATTGGAAGAATTGCGCCTTTGATGAACCTTCCTCCACAAGCATTACATTGGGCAACACAATCAAGGGCGGATCCAGAACACAATTTTTTGGGGGGCCAAAAAAAATTGTTGGTCCCCACAAAAAGTAGGTCAAAAAAATTACGGCGTGGGGTTCGGGGCCCGCTTAAGGGCCCCGAAAAATTTTTGGATTCTAGATGCTCTGTGGTGCGATCTGAGGCAATTTCTGACCACTTTAACCTATGTTTTTTAGAGGAAAAGATGGTGGTGTACTCATTGCCTGCCTTTATTGCGATGTCACATAAAAAAAAAATTGATTTCGTTTTTTTGGGGGGGGGGGCCATGGCCCCCTTTGGCCCCCCCCCCCCCCCCCCCTGGATCCGCCCTTGAACACAGTCAGAGTATATCATGAGAAAGATATTTGGCTATAGCTTATATAGGACCATCGCAGATTTGTCCTTCAACAACAATATAGGTAGGAAAACAGGCAACTTTTTAAATTTTCTAAATGGCAAAGCCCACCTATATTGTGTTCAAGGGATAAATCTGCCATGGCCGTAAAGCCAAAATATCATTCTCATGGCATATTCTGACTGTGCCAAATGCCATACTTGTATCAACAAAGGCACAGTCTATCACCAATCTGCCGTACTGGTAAGATTAGAGATACAACCAAATAATGTTCCGCATTCACTGTGTGCTTGAGTTGGAAGGGGAAACTGCGTACATTTGTAGTTCACGACAACTTTCCAAAGCAGTCCCTGTATCGCTTGACTGATTCCGGATAATGACCTAAACGAACCATTGGCTTGTTACTGCGCCTTTGGGCTATAAGACGATTGTCCATTTGGAAATGCAGACCAATAAACTGGGGTTTACACAGGGCGTTTCAATAAAAAGGAAACCCAACTTTGAAGAACCAGTATGGACAGACTAAATGTTTACTGGCTATAAAACTGGTATCATCTGAAAGCGTAATCTATATGCTTTTCAATGATACCTTGTTTACATTTCCAGGATCATGCATCACTGAGCATCATTGTCTTGAAAACTGGATGCAAAATTGCAGTTAGTTCACTTTCATGTCAAACACAATAGGCATGGTGTGCATGAGATAAAGTATTCAAGAAGAATTAATACGAGTGCATAAGAAGAAACCAAAAAACAAGTCGGGTTGGTTTCAAAACTGGATTTTATTGTTTGTCATCAATTCTCGTTCTGACCAAGCCACGTTCAAAACAATGTGCCATTTTCCCCAAGGATCGACATTCAAGCCATTTCACAGACATTTCAGTAACAATAGGACCACCGTGTCCAGTGTTTTTTTTATGAAAGTGAACCAACTGCATTTTTGCATTCAGTTTTCAAGACTATGATGCTCAGTGATGCATGACTCAGAAAACCTAAACACGGTATCATTGCAAAGCATAGAGATTACGCTTTCAGATGGTACCAGTTTTATAGCCAGTAAACATATCGTCTGTCCATACTCATTCTTTGAAGTTGGGTTTCCTTTTTTTTGAAACACCCAGTGGACTGTGGCTTTTCGGTGATTTTCCTATCGCAGATGGCACCCTTAAGAGTTTTCCCGAAGCCCGTCGCCATGGGGAGGGGGGGGGGGTGCAAAATGGAGCGAATTTCGGCTGCAATGTCATCTCAAATTTCTCAGAAATCCAGGTCTATTGGTTGGTTAATTCAGAGCTACAACACAAACTGGGACCTTGAGTGCTGAAAAAACATGTAAAACTAAATCAGGCCAACTTGACTCACTATTTAGCCACCAAAATTTTGTTAAGTTGTCATTGGCCGAAGAAAAGATCCTCAGTATTTCACCAGCCAAGTTTGAAGACTCCTCTCAATTTTTATAGCAGACATTTTCTTCAATATTTTTCTCATGAGAGAGAAGTCAGGTGATTTCAAAATGAGGCTAAAGACTAAATTGGTACATGTCCAACCATGGTCAACTGTTTGAGAAGACTGACCGCTTCGTTCATTGTCATTACTCTGGTGGTTGGATATGGCGGGAGAAATGTGTATAAATAGAGACTAGTACCTGAAATCCTAGATATTTCTTTTGGCACAGTTGATTGATGCAGTACCATATAGTTGTTGGACTGGTTGTTTCAGGTGCCAGTCTATTTTCTTGTATTGCATGTTTTCAGTACCTTAAGATGGGACTCTCATACAAAGTATTTAGAGTCCCAAATTGTCGGACTATAGCTATAACAACTCTCCATAGCAACAAACTTTCAAGTGCAAGGGCCATTTATATAGAAAAAGGCATGCTAATGATGGTTTTGTCGGCGTAGGCAAACTTGTCTCGTCTGCTACATGTCAATTTCCATATGATGCTTTCTTGCTGTTGCATTAATTGCCCGAGCGGTATTAGCTCGGGCAATAATGCTGCTTTACCCCCTTCCCTTGAACAACAGATCTCACAGAATTGTAGACCTTCTACGTTCAGCCACGAACAGCGAGGGTTATCTTGTGATTGCGCCCTCTTCCGTCAGCCCTGCATCCGATTTTGGTAACTTGAATGCCGATTGGCTCAGAGATGGACTGGACATGCAGCAAGTAGCTGGTGCCGTGGCACTATACAAGGTAAACACATTAACCACCTGCCCCTGTCCTACGCACTTGTTTTGATACCAAACGTAAACTGCATGGCTTTTATGGGAAAGTCACGTGTTTGATTGATCAACTTGATCAGCTTTTTAAATCCCTTAAAATTGACTTACTTGACTTACTGCGAAATTGACTTGATGGCGAGAAACTATGGCGCCTTGGAATAATATTTTCCTCCTTTTTGGCGCACCAAAATTGCTCATAGTTGTGATCACTATGATCACTATTAAAGGCGGAACCAAACCTTCAAGATGTATTCCTCATGCATTTTCTTTAGGCCGATAATCTTAATTGCCAATAAAACCATTTGTTGTACTACCCAACTATGCAATGGCTTACTTTCGCCAGGTATGAGGAAGTCAAAAGAAAAATATTGGGCAAAGGTATACTATAGTAAAAAAAAAAAACCTTTCATTATTTTATGTCCTTCAGCGACCCGTTGCCGGTTTTACACCGGGCAGTGGTCCCACTATGGACGGCCTGCTGGATGCGGTCGTCTTCGGCAATAAATCCACGTTGACGTTAGGACTGCTTGACAGGCTTCTACCGGGACAAGCTATAGCACAGAACTTCTTACCTGACACAGGTAGGTGTAAAAAAATCTACCTGTAGATCTGGACACAATCTCGTTTAGCCGCTAAGCAGAAAATATATAATTGCTCAGCAAATTAATATTAAGCTGGTTAATGTTAAAGGGAATAAACAACATTTGCAAACATCGAAAAACAAAACTACCAAATTTTTACAAAATACCGTACTAGGATGTTGGTAAATGACAGTCTAAAGCATCCTGTAAAATTATGACACCTGGTGTGAAGGCATTTTCAAGAAAAAAGGTATTTTTGTATAAATTTCCAACGGTGGTCGGCCGACCACCGTTGGAAAAACCTTACTATTTTTCAACTACTGCTCCAAATTTACCCTTTTTTCAGTCCAAATTCTGTTTGCTATTGGTTACATGTTCATGAACGGGTGCAGGCCAGCTAGACTGGTTCACTTACCGTACAATTTTCCGGCATCTATAAATTGATCCATTTCATCTTTAGTGGAGTCAGGGAACCAGACTACTTGAACAGTTTTGTTTTCTTGGTTTTTCTAGCATTTTCGAACACAAAACTTCAAACATGTCAGTGTAACATATTGGATCTATTGTACTAACCCCTCAAATAGCTCATTTCTGAAAATTACAGCAAAAGCCAATTATGTACATCCCCTTTAATCAGTTGCCAATAATTATAGCATGACATTTCGGATGGTATAAGGCCGAGTCAAAATCAACTGGCTGCGGGGGGGAGTAGCACACACTCACACTCCCACGCAGGTGTGTATTTGCCTGCAATCGGGGACCCCCTATTGTCCCTCTTTTGTTTGTACTAACTTTTTAGGAAGACCTCCCATATGTTTTGTACACGATCGCCAAATTGGGGACCCTATTGTCCTCTATTGTTCAACGTACCCTATTGAATGCAGAAACAAACTCACACCCATATATTTGTCTGGTTCATGAATGGTTCAAGTAAAATACATTCTCATTTTCAGTAAATCGCACAAGAAAGTCATTATCTCGTTTACAGAAACATAGTGTTTCCGGGCAATAGGTCCTGGTCAAGTCTAAAATGAGATAATTTTGTCATGCATTGAAACAAAATTAACACAGAAAAGTGGTTCGCAGTTCCGATCAATTACATTTTAATAGTGTTATACATTCAGGGTGGAATCCTGAAATCACACGTCGTACCAGCATAGAGCTAGCAACCAATCTCCATGGTACCAGTGACTGTCCAATGTCGTTGACAACGTTACTATTTTGCACACATATAACGGGTTTGTCCATAATGAAGAGAGTCTGTGGGGTTGCTGAAACTCTTGTTTGCAAACCGTTCGTGCTGGTCAGGACTTAACTGGGTGTCTTTCATTATGTGGTAGGTTTGTGGTATATACTTTATTTCCAAAGAGTAAAAAATCACTCCCCCGATTGAGTTGTCACTCTTAATCGTAAAAAGTATCAAGGAACATTTATTGTTGAATATTTTTTTTCTCAATATATTGTTGAAATGTTCTGTCCGTACAACAGGCTCGTCTATTCTGAGGTGCTATTCTCTTCATCCACTTGACCAAGCTGCATTTGCAGCTGGTTCTCCGTCGCCTGTTGCCGCAAACACCTGTCCTCCGCCGCCGTGTTATCTAAACGAGCTGAACTCCCTGTCCTCATCGTCATCCGGGGTCTTTGTGGAATTCGCCTGTGCTGGACTGCCATATTTCCCACTGGATACTGTTATCGCGGTATGCATAGCTTCACGAAGTGATTTTCTTCTTAAGAACATATTTGCAAAGATATTCCGCCACCAAATTTGATATGAAAAGTAAAGGGAGAGGGTGCAAATGTATTACTTTTATTGAGTTTTGTGGGTGGTGTACGCATCGACTGCTTTTTTACGACGGTATAAAAAACGAAGAAATGGGTTCTTTTTATTGTGGCCTCCGTTGTCATAGGGTTAAATGGGACACACATTTTATGTATTAAAAACATTACACATGAGCCCTCTAAAGTTAATATTTGACAGGTTTTTAAACATGGTTTATTAGCTACGTGGGATGGGAAGGCTGTTTCTGTGATCAGATGAAAGCGCCTCGTTTAAGAAGTTCAATCGTTCCTTGGACATCTGTGGAATTCCACATGAAATAACAGTGTTGTTGACTCGAGTCGCTGACTCGGACTCGAGTCGGACTCAAGTCGCGTTTTTTTTGACTCGAGACTTTACTTGACTTGGGAAAAATGACTTGAGACTTGACTTGACTTGAAAAAATATGACTTGAGACTTGACTGTAATAAATTTTAGTTGCTGACATTATTAACACGTTTCTTAAAGTTCCAAAAAAACACAAACCTCTGGGCATTCGTGCGCACTAGCATAAATCGGTTAAAAGAATGCAGATAATACATAGCGAATTAGCAACCAGCATGCGATAGCTGGGAATCCTGAGCCTGCCACAAGTCATGTGCATGACTATCTATAGTGCGTGTGTTATGGACAACGTATCATACTCAACCTCATGCGAGGTGAAGTTTGTGCCGAGCGTAGTATGAGTACCATCCGTTGTCGAGCGGTCATTCCACATAGACCATTAGCTACAGGTAAGCGTGCTAAATGCAATTATAACACCTCACCCACAGATTCTGTGTCTTGATTGGCCGAGAGCGAGTCACATGTTACTTTCTAATTTTGCTATCTTTCTGTGCACGGCCAAAAGTACTATGCGCATAGCAACCAAAGTACTATACCATTAGCAACCAAAGTACTATTTCCACGGCGCGGTATTTGTGTGCAAATGCATGCTGGTGTGCGCGTTGCGCGTTGTGCGTAGCGCGTATTATTCCAAAGAGAGCGCGCCGCAGACTTGGGTTCAAACATTTCGTGAAGGGGTAGTTTTTAAGAGAGAAATACATTTTCCACCAATTTTGTATTTAAATTTAAGTTTATTTCAACTGTGTTCAGATTTAAATAATTTAAAATATTAAAATCAAGCAGAATCTGTGAGTGAAGTGTTATAAAACAAATATTGAATGCTTTATCTCGTGGTGAAGTAAAACTAGCCTCCCTCGGTGATCCATGGACCATTCTATTTTCCCTCGGCTTCGCCTCGGGAAAATAGAATGGTCCATGGATCACCTCGGGAGGCTAGTTTTACTACACCACTCGAAGCATTCAATATTTGTATACTAGGGTTTAAACGACTAGAAAACGGCTGCTACCCCTAATCCGCCATAAAGCAACAAGAAATCACATCATATATCAAACGAAAAAGTTCGGAAGGACATTTTGTCAGACGTCCTTCCAACATTCAACATGATGGAACAAGTATATCAAAATGCGTTTTTAGATATAAATAAGGTGTGTGAGAGAGGATGTTTGAAAAGTATGATTTTTATTTATCTGCTTACATTCCCTACTCCGGCTCCATCGTCGAACACATAAACTGGTTCCCATAAGTAGTATGTACATCTAATATTTAAAAAAAAAAATGACTCGAGACTTGAGTTAACTTTTAAAAAAAATGACTCGAGACTTGACTTGACTTTAAAAAATTACTTGGGACTTGACTTGACTTGCTAAAATTTGACTTGTGACTTGACTTGACTTGGAAAGAAATGACTTGGGACTTGACTTGACTTGGAAAAAAAAATGACTGGGTTACAACTCTATGAGGTGTAAGAACAATATTAACTTAAGCTCTAAGAAAAAATATGAGTTTTTTTTCTCATATGTAGGTGATGTGGAATTCAGACGTTATTATCGCTGGGCCATTAGCGCGTCGGAGGACAAACAAAGACGGCTTCGCGTCATCGAATTTCAATCGAATAGGCAGAGTTCCGAATGCGTTTGCACTTGCTCTGTACTATTCCCCGCATGCCATCGATCTGCTTGACGAGAATAAGGAGGTTAGGTTAACCAGCACGGGGCTGCTTGACGCCGTGGTTGTGGAGAAGGAAGGCAACCAGGAGGATCTGACTGACTGGCTCAGCGTCCTTACGCCGGGGAAACCCCCAGTCCGTGAGGACGAGGCTTTCAGCCACAGGGATGAATCACTTAGCCGCTGCATGGTTGACGGTGATTGGACATTCGTTCTTGCCCACGTATCCAGGGATAGCAGAAATCACTGCCCGACCAGAGACAATCCAGACGTCCTCATTAACGAGATTAATCTGCCTGAACGAGAACAGTTCATTGAACTCTTCGATCTCGGCAGTGGATTTACTCTTCTAGGTAAGATGTCAATTTTTAAGACAATATTTTTGGTGAGGGACATTATCCGCCCCCAGGCCCCTAGCCGGTTTTATATATTCCCTTTCGTAAATAGCTCTTCGGTCAAAATGCAAAATAGGTAAAAAAAAAAACAAGATTCTGTACAACACCCCATTTTACTTGATGATTTATGAAACACCCCTCTGGTCATGTCTATGGTATGTGCCTTGCGCGCGGCACTTAATGAGCGGCTTGGCGCAGAACGCAGCGGTGTTTAATCAGTGGTTTAAAATCACCCACAGGAAGGGCTCTTGAGCGGTAGGAATAAGTAAACTGTCTCGGGTATTTTGTTGATTCCCAAACACGAGATATAGCCTGCTGGAGCCTGAATTTGATTTTTGGCTCGATTTTTCCTCGGAGGATGACAGAGAAAGATGACGTCTGCTAGCTATTGCACATCTCTTTCAGAACCATGTCCTTTGCAATATATTCCTCAAAACGGCGAGAATTGTTTTAAAACCTGGATAATAATAGTTGCTCAACTTGTTCCAGTACTTGACTGATAAATAAAACCAGAAATGTTCACTACTTACGGATATTTTGGCTGAAACTGAGGAGACCTTTGTTACCATAAACATAACGCTAGGATCATCCTAGCTAGACGTCTGCATGATAGGTTTGTGAACAACGAAGTTCCTTTTTGCAGTTGTCTTTCGCATTTCGTTTATGGGATAATTTGGTATTTTTTCCAATGCAATCCGACATTGGCTACAGTACATACAGTCCTTACTAGTATTTTTTTACCGAATCCAAATGACTAATCAAACTTAATCTACCAACCATTAAAATGATCAAGATTTGATTAGGTGCGGTAATCCGAGACATAGTTAGCCTAGAAGGATTAATCCTTGAAATAACAGTGTGAATTAATGTATTTGATGTTCACAGATGACTTCTTAGTGGTTCTCTACAGTGCTGCTGGGAATGCTTTACAAGTTATTTCACTTGCTGGATACACCACAGATGCGAGAGGTTACTTTGTTCTGGGGGTTCAGGATGCCCATAACATCGGCGGTGTATACTACGAATTTGCTGAAGGTACTTAGTCTCTTCTCTTGATTTCTTCTGTAATTCGGATTCAGACACAACAAGCTGTATTATTTCAAGCCTACTTCTTCACATCCCATTCGGTTAGTTGCCTGCTGCAGGGACATCAAAATCCTTCTTAGTAAGTCAACGTACGGAGACTTTTCGTTTTGTTCGGATATGAGCCACCATGGCTCATCAGGCCGGCGTTTATCTCCGGTTTCCTACGCATGAAATGACTGGGAACATTTCGATGAGGTCCCTCGCAGGTTACTCCTCAGCTACTACTAGTACCCATTTGTACTCCTGAGTGGAGAGAGGCGAGTGGGGTGAAGTGGCTTGCCCAAGGACACAAAATATGGCCAACAGCAGGATTCGAATCCCTGGCCTTCTGATCACGAGTCACGATCCCTAACCACTAGGCCACACTCCCTAACAAAATTCCCTCTTATCGTTAAGTTTAGTCTCAGCAGATCGCAGCGAAGCAGGTGTTCTGATGGGCACGATAACCCATCCGTACATGATTTCTAGTCGGATATCAAATTGACGCTGCACGAGGCCAAGGCTCGGAAGTATCAAAGAACTCGTGGTGGCGATAAACCGTGCGTTGTCCTGTTATGTTGAGGATTTTGTATCGTTCAGTAAACCTATGGGCTTTGCAAGGCAATATACCGGTACGGGATATGAATGTTCTGTCACAATCTTACGATGAACGATAACATCGATAACCATAAATAACCATCCCATCATTTTGATACAGGCTTTATAGATCCAAATAGTGGGGGCGTGGCCCTGTATAGAACCGAGGGCGGCAGTTTTACACTGTTAGTAGGAGACATGGTAACCACTCAAGGCTTGGTTGATGCTGTCATCTACACGAACGATCAGGGGAACCTTGGCCCTGCGCTGTACACACTGATGTCAGATGATACCTCATTGGGGGTAAGTTCATACAACACTCGGTTTAAAGAAGCACGTTTGACCGGAAAACACCCTTTTAGGATCTTTAAAATGCGTTTCCCACAAAATGGTAATAATTTGAAGATTACTCTCCTGCCACCACAAGAGTTATATAAAAATGAAAAGGGATTTGTTTATAAATTGTATTGATGGAGTAATTCTACCAAACATCTTACAACCGCCTATGTTTAGTAGGCCTATATACTTGTTAAGTAAGGTGGATCGACACCATTTATTACCGAAACGTAACCACCTGTTTGACAACTCAATTATGTCGTCATTTTCTTCATCTAGCTGGATTCCGGTGACCTGCATTTCAGTCGGTGCCTCTCGGGTGAATATCGCTCTTCCAGTGCCTTCAGTGGCGACCGCCCACCGACCGTGGCAGCCATGAACGACTGCCCCGTGTACCCATCCCGTGATGTCATCATCAACGAGTTGAACTTTGGTGAGCCCTCGTCGACTCCCGAGGCTTACGCGGAGCTGTACGACGGAGGCCGAGGCAACACGCCGCTTACCTACCTCACCTTGGTGGCTTTTGCTGCCATTGATAACAACGGGGCGTATCAGACTGTGGATCTGAGTGGCTATCAAACCAATGAGCAAGGGTACTTCTTGGTCGGATCTCATGATTCAGGTAGAGCTAGGCCTATAAGCACAATCAACATAAAAAGTTGTCTTCAATCTGTATTTGTAACTTCTTCTCGGGTTTTCAAGTGTAGAATCTACTCACTCTGTCCAAAACCAATCCCAGATTGAAACCTTCTCGACCTAGACGCAAGAAGTGCACCGGACGTCATCACCTTCAAGACTCGATCTCTAAACTTAAGTTCTCTTTAAAACTTATTTTGGAAATTGCAAACAGCCCAAAGATGCTCTTTGTGAGTTGCAGATACAAATACAGCGCTATAGAAGTCATCACCTTCAAGACTCAGATACAAACTCAAGGTACAAATACAGCGCTACACACACTAGAAAACGTAAACAAAAATATCAAACACGGAAATGCATTTTTTTTAATTGCGGAGTATGTACACAACCCGAGTGTCATGAAACTTATACTCTTATGCAAACGAACTTATTTTTTTCCTCCGTTTCTGAAATAATTACATGCTTGCTTCCAGCTGATCTGGTTGTGACACTGGAGCGTACGTATGGAACAAGATTTGAACCTCACGGCGCCGGTGCTATCGCCCTCTATCGGTCGCATCCTGGTGTCTTCTATCACGCAGCCCCAGCAACTAAGAGAAGTCTGCTAGATGCCGTTGTGTACACCTTAGACACAGAGGAGGAAACCACACTGGTTGACGACCTCTTGCCAAGCGGTAAAAACAGGGTTTTTCTGTCTGACAAAATTAATCATTCATTTGGTGGGTTTTTAAATCGAAATTGCCCATGACAAGATTGAAAGCAACTTTAGTAGAGCTTCACAGAAAGGGAAAGGGGGAAAGAGGAAAAAGAAGAAATGGAAAGAAAAGAAAAGAAGAGCTCCACCGATTCAGAATTTTCTGGTATGTTCTCTTCCAGGAGGCTTATGCGCAACACGTTCCCGCAAAGACTTACCACAAAACTACTTGCTTTTGTGACTCTTACTCGGTTAGCTCAAGAACTATAGGCCTGCTTGGTTCAAATATTAGTATCAAATTGTGAGACTTTCATTTCCAGGTTAAATTACATTCTCAAAGAACCACAGTGACTGTCCGTGCCACTCAACAAATTCGATATTTTTTTTAACGATTTTTCATTAATTCAATGTTAGGCCTATATTTTTATTTTTATTTTAACGACAACTCAGTTTAATTTGGGTGCCCGACACTCTTTGAAAAAAAAGGCTTTTATTTTTGGTTGCTTTTGCGCCTCTGGGTATTGCATGAGGTACGCCTGAATTATCGTCAGGCCGCAACTAAATCAAAATTGTGAAGTACTGTAATTACTAGTCCATAACTAAACGGGGGCGGATTTTTTCTCTCTCCTTCAAAAGTGAGTAACTTCTGTATTAAATCTATTTTGTTCTGAGTGAAACTCAAAAATCGCATCTTCCACATCGGCAACGACGCTAGACGATTGTGGCGGATAACTTGTTTCTTTCATGCATCCTGTTCTTAATTACGCAGGTAGTTTTATCATCTTCGAGGACGAGAGTCTTGCGGAGGAAGACGGCACCGATGAGAGTATCAGCCGATGTTTTGATGCCAACAGATTGAGTCAGAGTGCCTTCAAGTTGACTACACCCACGCCCAAGGGGCCTAACTCATGCGGCCCTGAAGAACCAACGCCTGCTGGTAGGAATACACCTTGTTCTGAAAAGAATGGGGGCGCTATAACCAAGCCAGTTTCTGGGTTCAATAATGAAATATCAAGAAATGTAGTAGTCCACTTAAATCTCAAAATTAAAGATTGTAAAAACGTACGTTTTTATCTATAAGAAGTAAAATGACGTCAATGACCTGGAATTCACGTAAATCTACCCCTAAAATGCCGTTGTACACCACTACTCGCTTCAAAATATCGCCGATTGGATAAAATAATAAGATAAAATCTTCGAAGTCTAGTAACATTTATACCTATTAATATCAGTCTCACTAAATTTTTATTGAATTAAGAAAATATAAAATTAAACATTAATTTGTTTTCCAGACAAATAAATGAAAATACCTTCCCAAATTAATTAACGTATACAGTTTCACTGAAACCTCTTGCTTAAATAAAATTCATTTCCTTGGTAACGTTTTTTTTTAAAGGAGACCTGTAGCAAGTGGTAAGCTGTAAACTAAATAGCTTACAGCAGGTTGATTTGAGTACCTAATGTTCATGTATATTGATGTCAGCTTAATCGTATTTCTAGGTATCTTTGTTAGTGAAGTGAATGTGAAATCTCCACCTGGACGTGGTTTCGTGGAGCTGTTTGACGGTGGCCAGGGCAGCACGTCCCTGGATGGATATCTGCTGATCTTTTACCAAGCTCCTCGAGACCGATCCTTCTACGAAGTAGACTTGACGGGAAAACGGTACATTGAGTTTCAGCATAACAAATGAAATGGAAATCAAATAGCTATACCAAAATAGCTACACCAAAAGACAGCATCAGCAAACAAGAAAAGTAACAGCAGCTTCAAGAGATGCAAAACTGTTTTGTGCTTAAAAGTACTCTGAAATGTTATAGCAATTTTACTGTTTGTATTGTCGAATGGCTGAACAAAAAAACATTTTTTTTTTTTTATCTATTCTTACTGTAGATCCGGTTCATCTGGATATTTAGTTATCGGTGGGTCCGGTGTTACTCCAACACCAGACGTGATCGCAGACGATCTTTCCTTCCCAGACGGACCGGGCGCAGTGGCCGTCTATCGGGGTACCATCGACTTGTTTCCTCTGGGCACAGTGGCAACTTCCCGGTCTCTCGTCGACGTGGTCGTCTACGGCGATCCTCAAGATCGGGCGGACGGTCTCATAGCCAAACTGGTACCCGGCCAGATACAGGCGTATGAAAACAGTGAGCTGGTGAACGGCGAGGACGTGTCGTTGTCCAGGTGCATATCGCAGTCCCCACTGAACGTGGCTGCCTTCGTGTCTACACTGAAGACTCCAGGTAGGCCTACTTAAGAAATTCTACTCATGAAGGGTTGTATTAAGTGGGCGAAGGTAAACATCACTTACAGTCGGATACGCATGACCTGCAAATAGACCAGGAGTCAAGTGTCGTATACCATACATAAATGGGTTGGAGAGGTCTCAGGTTCCCCCTATATGAACAGAAGAGTTTGGGGCGTTCCTATACTCCTCCCCGAAGACAGTCTTTTATAAACTTGCTTTAAAAATGGCTAAAAAGGGCTTTACAGATACTGTATAGTTTAAATACGCGTTGTTTGTTATGACTTTGGTATTCACGTACTGAAACATAGGTGTTTTCCCTTCTGTCCCCCACTCTATATCATGTAGTCATGTTCCGAAAACCAAGCCATGCTATCCTCTGTTTCACCGATTTGTTTGACAGGTTCCCCCAATAACTGCGATGCACTGTACAAGCCCGTTTACATCAACGAAATAAGCCCCCACGGTGCACCGTCCGAGAGGTTCATAGAGTTGTACAACGACGGAGCTGGCTACAGTTCCTTGGATGCTATTGTCCTGTTGCTGCTTGAGGAAGGGTTCAACATACCGTATAGTGTGATTCCCTTGACGGGGAATCGGACAGACAGGTAAGAACAGTTTTCAGTTATATTATATTTTTTTATATTGTATTTCTTTCTGGTAATGAAACCAAGGGTTCCTCAAAAGTGCCCAAGGCGCTGTAACCCGAAAGCCTGACGAAACCTGTAGAGAGGAGACAATGAGAAGAAATTACAGTTTTAGAGGTGGGAGGAAAACCCACGGAATCAGGTAAGGACTGAAAACCCAATCCACACATTTTGGGTGATTCGAACCCGGTTCACAGCAGTGGAAGGCGGGGAAAGTACCGCTGCGCCAACCTGACTCCCCAAAAGTTATAGTTCAAAACGGACGTGCATCATTATGCATTACCCGGCGCCTTTAAAACCCTATACATCCGCAACCCTTCAAAATCCAACTGCATGTTTTGTTGGAATCTGTTGGAGTGAGTACTGCACTAGTAAATGCAGTACAATGGGGTCAGGCATATCACCATAATCAGAGTCCAACAGTTTGGGGGTTGAGTAACCATTATCGTGTTGGATTTTGCAAGAGTGAGAAGGCTCCTAGTAAATCACTGAAGGCGTTAGAGTGTAATTTCCCCCCCCCCCCCCACATCATCCCTTCACTCTCACACTCTTTTGTCCGTTCCCACTCCCTGTGACCTTTGATCCTTCCCCTTTCTGGTCCCTCCCCTGTTCATACCAGACCCCTTGTGGTTTGCCATCTCCCTTTGTTTCTTTGTTCTCTCATCCACCCTCCCCTGCATCTTTCCACACCTTTCACACCTAATCCTCCTTTTGTGTTTCTTCTTTCAGCCCTGCATGTCTGTGTGCACCCCCATGTTAATGTATGTACCTCTGTCATTTCTGTTTTAGCCTCTGAAGAAGAACTTGCTAAGTTCGCAATGTCAGGCCACATTAATTTTAAGATTTATATATTTCAGGTCCATCCAGTCAGTAAGCAGTTTGCAGCAGTTTTACTTTTTTTCAGAGTGTAATTATGCTCAGAGTCTAATTCCGTTGTTATTATTAGACTTGCTTAGTCCTGTTATGATTCACTAATTGTGCTTTATCTTTTGGATTTATTATGTTACAGTAATGGCTACTATCTGATCGAGAATGTGACCGAGCTAAGGCCCATCGGTCAGGTGGCCCTCTATCGAGGAGACTATGCCACGTTTAACACGGGGCGTGCCCCAATTGGCTCCATGGTAGACCAGCAGACATACAGCACGCATGGCGTTGATATAGCCCTACTCGAGGGAAGGTAACAACGGGTCCATATTCTGGTTTAATCGTTATTACTTTTCACCTTTATAGTGATCCCAAAGTATTAAAATCGAATTGAAATTTATGTATAGTACAGTTTTGCTGAGAAAAAAGGCACCAAATATAAATTAAAAATCGTTACTAAAGCAAAACAAAGATTAATTTTATTGTTGTTAAAAAACTTTGGTTTCATATGAAAAAAGACATCAGCTGCTGTATATCTTTCAAGCCCATACGAAGAGAGCAAACCTTTCAGTTATCAACAAAATGATTATGATTAGCTATATATGACAGTCACTGATGACTGTTCGCATTGCAAGATGTCGAACCATGCAGTCGCTCTGATGCCGGCGTTTAATTCATTTTTCAGTTCGACCGTTTCGAAGGAAACCTTTTCCAGGTGTAACAGGTGTCAATCCTCCCTGGGTTCGTACCTCCCCCTTGCCCCAGCGTCGCCCGGCTACAAGAACTTGTGTCCAATCTCTGCCTTCGGCACCCAAGTCACTGTAACCCTGACTGATGCCTCGTATGACGCCTGGAACTCAGATAGCACCTTAAAGCCTGCCCTGGAGAGGGTCCTTGCTAAGGGTATCAACTCCCAATGTAGATGCGGCTTCACAGTGGACTATTTTTGCGGTTAGTCTTAAAAAATCTTCCGAACAGACTTTACTGATTGTGAGCAAAAGTTCAGTGTAAACCCCTGGATCAATGGCAGATTTCGTTAAGAATTCAACATTTCTCAACTGACTGAGTAGACCCATATGAGTTCACGGCAGACGGCGCTGTCGCCAGCCCCAACAATCAAGAGGGCTACAGTACCAACTATACGGGGGCCCACTAAACCATAAAAACAAATACAAAAATACATGTATGGCTTTTGCCGTTGGGGGCCAATTGCTCGTCAAGGGGGACAATTAGACGGCTGTAGACAAACTAGTGATATAAACTCTGGCTTCAGTTTATATCTTCATTTAAAACCAGATTTCAGGTTTATCTTATCCTAGGCAAATAATCCAAATTGCAAAAAAAATGTCGCAAGAATAAAACAAAAATGAGTGTTCATCGGGTGTATAAAATGTTTGGTTGCAAAATTTGATGTTTTTTTTTTTAACCCTTTCACGAAAATGAATTATGTTTTTATCGTTAAAAAAGCTCACTCAACATTTTGTCACTATTTTAGTATATCGTATTAAGACGATTGTACCGCTCACTGCATGGTATGGAAACGTCAAACGAGAAGGCTCATTAAACTTAGTTCCTGAAGCATTGTGGTGCCGAAGACAACAAATCAAAGATTCACCATTCTTTTATTTTTGCTGTATATATTCGACATTGACCAAGGATTTGATGTCTTCCCTTTTTTAAAAACAGACCCGAAGCTGCTTGAAGGTAGCGTTGTTTACCAAGCCAATATGTACGCCACCGGCCCAGGCCAGTCCAAACTACTGAACAAGAGCTTCCGAGCGTTCCTGATGGAAACGGACAAGATAACTGTGGACGGGAAAGCGTACACTGTCGCAAAGCCAGCAAGCGGTAAGTGCTCTTTCCTTTTTCAAACAGACCCGAAGCTGCTTAAAGGTAGCGTTGTTTACCAAGCCAATATGTACGCCACCGGCCCTGGCCAGTCCAGACTACTGACCCAGAGCTTCCAAGCGTTCCTGATGGAAACAGACAAGATAACTGTGGACGGGAAAGCGTACACTGTCTCTGGTGATAAAATGGCAAACCAAACTGGTAGGTGCTGTGCCTGAAATGTTTCAACTCGTTTAAGGGTGAGGGAATGGTGTTATGCCCCTACCCCCTCGGAATAGTGAGTTTAAAAAGAAATAAAAACAGAAAATAGGCGTTTCACAGATTTGTTTGCTTGGCGTCTGATAGATTGTTGACTTACCCCCTGTCTCTGGCGTGGGAAGAACAGTTCATATACAGGGTTCAAAATAATCATTCAGATCGCTCATGTACTTTAGTTTCAAGTTACGGAACTTTTAGCACAACCACTGTTTTAAAGTGCTGTCCACGGACCACAAAATAGGTGCGTTCTTTCAGCAAAACGAACACAATTCACACACATTCCTATGTGATTTAGTTTCGTTTTGCTTAAAGAACACTTAGCTTTTCGTGATCCGTGGACAGAACTTTAAAACGGTGGTTGTTTAAATTCCGTAACTTAAAAAGTACTTGAGTGATCTGAATGATTTTTATACTAAAAGAAAACTTATGGATTGGGCTTTTATGTCCTAGATTTTGAAAGTGCTACATGCAGAACTTCACTAAAACAATATTCCCGACATTTGTGTTTCGCTTTTTTTTTGACTCGCCCTGTACTGCATTATTCATTAACCAAGGCTGTTTCGAAGACATCCATCTGATTTGCTTCTTCGGAGAAAATAATTAATTTATACTCAATTAATATAGGTTTTCCTGGCTATTTTAACACTTGTGTCACGCGAATTCCCCATATCGATACTTTAATTTCGTCCCCGAACATCGCCAAGCTCAATTTTCAATTTGAATTTCAGAAAGCCACCACTAGATTTCATTTAAGGTTCAGTATAATTCAAATTGTTAGCATTCCGATTCGTCCAAAATCTTTGAAATTCGTCTCGTGAAGCAATCGGCGTTGAATTGAAAAAGCAAATTCGTTTTTTGTCATTCGTTTTAATGTTCTTGTCGTTACATTTCGTCTCTGGCGACTTAAAACGTTACGATTAAAAACGTGCCCAATCTTTGGACTTGTTTGCGCATTAATTAAATTGTAATTTTTAACAAATATTTCCTTATAAATGAAAGTTTTGAGTTTTCTTTGACAATTAACATTGAAATCAGAAATTGAACTTTCACAATATGCTCTTTGCTATAGCATATGGAAATTAAGCATTAAGATCAAACACCTTCGTAATGTTGCTCTTTGATATATGTATATGAATAAAACAACAGAAATAAGGTATGATGTCCATGGGCGTCGCCAGGATTTTTTCTAGAGGGGGGCAAAAAAAAATTTTGCCAAAAAATGCTTGTATTTCTCAACACATTCTCGATTTATCAGTTTTAGGGGGGGTCAGGGACATTTTGCCCCCCCCCAACTCATTAAATTTACACCACTTTGTCTTCGCGCCTCTTTTTCTTTTCTTTTTTTCCCTTTTTTTTCTTCCTTTTTTTTTTCTTTTCTTTTTTTGCTTTTCCAAAAGGGGGCAAGTGCCCCCCTTGCCCCCTCCTCGCGACGCCCATGATGATGTCTATCAAAGAACAACATTAAGAAGGTCTTTGAACTTAATGCTTAGTGTCCATGTCATAAGTGCATATTGTGAAATGTCAAATTCCTGACTCTAATGTTAATTGTGAAACACAGAAATAAAAATTCATACCTTACAGCTAACTACTTTTATTTATACATATCAGGAAATAAATTATCATTGTTTTAATACGCACAATTCTTCAAATAAGTCTAAAGATTGGGCGCATTTTCTAATCGTATACGATTTAAGTCACCAGAGACGAAATGTAATGACAACAACATGAAAACGTATGACAAAAAACGAATTTGCTTTGTCAATTCAATGCCGATTCCTTCACGAGACGAATTTCAAAGATTTTGGACGAATCGGAATGCTAACAATTTGAATTATACTGAACCTTAAATGAAATCTAGTGATGGCTTTTGAAATTCAAATTGAGAATTGATCTTGGCGATGTTCGGGGACGAAATTAAAGTATCGATATGGGGAATTCGTGTGTGATACAAGTGTCAAAATAAGCGGGAAAACCTATGTTCTATTTATTTGACTAACTCTTTTTAGTCGGCCAACATTTTCGTTGACATAACACCACCGAATATCGGCCGTCTTGTTTACCTTTACAAAGATATTTGTCTCGTCACAGAACATTATTTTATGCCCCATCCTAGAGGTACAGTAATAGTCATAGATATATGTACATGTCGATATGGCGCTTCCTCAAGTTCATTTATCTCATAGGTCTTTGTGGAAAAGGGTTGAATGGAACACATTGTGCATGTACAAACAGATCGAGTGCATAAATGACTTTCCAATCTATTGCAAGCTCAGTTTTTTTATTCCTAAAAAATGCCAAAACAAATTAAATTTTGAGAAACTAACAATTGTATGGCTAATATACTGTGGGGTGTCGAGAATGCATAAATATGCTGTGCTCCATAACCCCAAATGTACTCAATTGGCGCCCTCTTGTGGTCAAAACATCCAAAATAAATGTTGCACTGTCTTCATCTCATACAGGAACCCCTGTGTACGTGGTTGTCCTACCAGTGCTTTTTGCTGTTATTGTAATCATTGCACTGATCATTGCCGCAGGATACTTCGTCAAGAAGAGGTAAGTGTATTTATCCCTCGCATCCATATCGTCAGCGATACCACGAAGTAACACCCAAGTGGACTTGAGTTCGCGCTACGTGCGCGCGTAATACACTCATGTACACTTTACGCTGAATCGGTCATTTTCATTTTCACGAAGTAACACTCATCTTTATTTCACCTGTTTGAAGGCTTTTTTCTATTTTCTGTAATCCTACAAGAATACAGATTAATTACATTACACTGTCAAACGTTTCAAAACGTTTTTATCCTTAAAGTATTTCCATAACAGTGTTGTAACTGTGTGAAAACGAAAATCGTTCGCGCCAGTGTCCGATGTGCGCGCACACACTTGAGTGTTACTTCGTGAAACCAACATTTGTCATTAAGCGGTTTTTACGAAGTAACACTGAAGAGGCCTTGGGCTCTCGGCCGTGGATAAAAAAAAATATAAGAAGTGGACTCGTACGGTATCACCACATGTTGCCGTAGCGCATTGATCTTAAAATTTGGAATCTTCACTCTGAAAATAACTTGACGATTATGCACATGCCCTACAAGATTACAGTGTTAAACTGGGACAGTTAAAATAGCCAGACATTTTAATTGGTTATACGTGTGTTCCTCTTTTCTACACAGGAAATCAGCATCACGGTTTGATGACGACGTCAAACTTGAGGAAAGAAATCACAATGTTGAATTTGATAATCCTTCCTACACAAATGATGGCAAGTGAATACAGCAGGCCAATGGTATAGGGCCATAGGCGTAATTTTTATTCCTAGGAGGGTTAGGGGCAATGTCATGAATAATTCATGTTTATCCATGAGAACGGACAATGACATCAACAGCATTGTTGTTAGTTACTCAACTAGTTACAATACATTAAAGCATTTTAAAGAACGGTTGTCGTCGAGCTACCACACAGTAGCCTAGTGGATAGCGAGATGAGCTATAAAAGATCCCTGGTTCGAATCCACGTCGTCGCTGCTCATTTTCATCAGCTATTTTTCTTCTCCAAATTTATCACCGAGATAATTTTAAATTAAGGGGAAAATAGAACGGGAACCTAAGTCTTGCAATGATTCAAAGGAAAAACTGAATTATTCATGACATTGCCCCTAACCCTCCTAGGAAAAAAAATTACGCGGGCCATAGGCCTTTATTTGCCCGACCGTACCTATGGTCTGGTATTCTGACATTTCTTATTTCAAGTACGCATTCAAATTTGAATTTCCTGGACACAATACTATGCTATTCGGGGTATAAAGCACATGTTTGAAATCTTTCTTTGCCACGTATGGATTAAAGTTGTATTTACCGTGCTTTTTAAAGTTCCATCCCACAAAAAAAACATTCCTTTCTATTTAAGTGCTGTACTTTTGAATAACAAAAATAATGTGTATTTATAAAACACACGTATCCACCATTGTTTAAGGCGCTACATATACCAAGCTCATTGGGCCAATGAAAACTCCAAAGACAAACTCAGCTTCGTGGGGAGTATACAGCTCGATGCTGCCATTTCAGTACCAAGCAGCTAAAGTCAACCACAATAACCATCTCTGCACTCGCAGGTACCCATCTACTCTTGGTGGAGAGAAGCAAATAATGACAAAGTGCCTTGCCCATTGGCACACGCAACATAACCTCAGGCTGGACTCGAACCCACAACCTGCAGAATTACCCGCAGACCAAAAATTCAATGCTCCAGACCACAAGGCCATGGCACTCGAATGAGACATCGACCGACAAAAATCGGCCAACGTTCACTCTCAAAACATTGGTTAAAAACTTGGACAAAATTGTTAACCAACCTGGTATTATCTGGTTAACAGCCAACAGTTGGGTAAACTGTTAACCAACCGAGGTTGGTTAAAAGTTAACCAGTTGAAGATTTTCAGAATTTGTTGAAGAGCACGGGAATGCAACTTTAAAGTATGAAGGCATTCACTTGCCCCGAATGTTGCAGTCCGGGAATTAGTCAAATTCAAAATGTGTTCGACGTAAAGTCGATGTATTAGTTATTAATCAATGTAACTCCTGATTGGGTGTTAGTGGAAGTATATTATAGCTTTTGGTGATGGTGTTCCTTATGTAATTGAAATTACTCATCATTAGTTTGCGATATGTAAAACAGGTCTTTAGGTCATTGTTATGGTGTTAACCTTTCTGATGTTACAATTCAAGTTAATATTGATACGAAACCTAATGTTTAACATCACCTCGGAATGTCTAATATCGCAACTTCCAAGGTGCTGTTGGAACCATTTCAAATCACAGAGCTGGTTTTGAAGATGTCAATATTAGCTTGAAACTCGTTACATTTAAGATTTGTATTCGTAATTTGGACAAAATGGTTTGGGTTTAGATTTTTAGAGGTATTGTGTAGTATAACCGCATGTAATTTGCATTTAAATAAGGTTGGTGTACAGTCAAAATTGACATGAGCAAAATATGTTCACACTCGTACACGTTTTTTTTTTTAAATTGTTGTAGTGTTCTGAAAAGCCATCAGGATCGATATCTAATGACAAGATCTGCGGTTGGGTATTCTGACATTTCTTATTTCAATTATGCATTCAAATTTAAAGTTTGTGACACAATATGGTAATAGGTTAAGTATGTGACTTGGTGCCGCGTTTGGATTATAGATGTATTACCCGTGCTACTTTTGAGGTTGATAGTGAGAAACAGATTCCTTTTCTAAACTGCTGGTTTTTTTCTAGCAATACAAAAGTTATTCACTTTTGAATGAGACATCGACAGAACCAAAATCGGCCCAGTTTTAGTTATTGCATTATTACTTTACGAATGTCGAATGATTGGCTACCAGACAATAATGCCGTTCTCGCGGGCGGTCCGGCCGGGAGCCAGTCTTGCTCGCTCAGCGAGCATAAAAACCTTTTTCCCCCAGAGCGTTGCAGACGTCTTAGGAAAGAAAGAACACAATAGTTTTTTGGTTGGAATATAACATACAAGTTCAAAATTTATTATGAGCAAAACAAATGAAATTTGTTGAAGAGCACGCCGAGGAACCAGCTTTAAGTATGCATTGACTTGCATTACCGATTTGTTATCGTAGTTTGAACACAATTAATTGGTTTGGTTTTTTATGGGTATTAATATTTCAATAATTCCATATAATTATATTTGGTACAAAGTATGTTTACTCTCGTACAATTTAATACTTTCAGTTTTAGAAAAGCCGTAAGGATATTAACAAGTAGACTTTTATTAAATATGATATGAGGTTTAGCAAATATAGGACCGACATTGGTCTATTCATATCTTGAACTCCATATTATCAGATGTGACTCACAAAAGGGTGTAATAGGGAGTATTGATAGCCTATTTTCGATATGGCGGACACAGGAAGCCGTTACTTGGTTTGGGTGAATACAAAAGATTTTATACCCAAATCAAACAGCGCCCTCCTCTTCTGTCTGCCATATCTCAAATAGGCTAATTGGTGATGGTGTTCAATATGTAATTGAAATTGTTCATTATTAGATTCATGTGTAAACCTTTCTGATTTAACAATTAAAGTGCACATTGATGGGACACCTAGTATAACATCATCTAAGAATATGGCGTGCATTCTTGACAAAATAGAGATCTCTATTACTAATATAGATCTCTATTTCCTCGATTAATGGAAATATCTCAATTAATAATAGAGATATATCTCTTTGAGTATTACAGAGATATCTCTATTGCTAATAGAGATATTTTCTATTAGTAACAGATATGTCTATTGCTAATAGAGATATCTCTATGAATAATAGAGATATCTCTATTGATAAAAGAGATATCTCTATTGATAAAAGAGATATCTCTATTACGAAAAGAGATATCTCTTTTACTGATAGAGATATCTCTATTAATAATAGAGATATCGCTATCATAGTTATCTCTATTAAAGAGATATCTTTATTACTAATAGAGATATCTAGATTTCCTGCACCGTGCCATGAAGAAGTCAATGCATTATTAACATGCACCGCGATTTCCTCGCAAAGCTCGGGGTTTCATCTACCAGTCGTGTATTTTGTTGCGTGACGAAAATATTGTGAAAAAGAAAGTCATGAAGCGAGACAACAAAATTTACGTTGCCGCAAGGGTAGGGTCATAAGTTCATCAACCTCCCTCAAAAGACAATAGGTAGTGCCTCCCATGGAATCCAACGTAAGCTCCTCCAGAGGCATCCGTCCATTCTCATTCCTTGTTCCTTTGTTTGTATCTAACTTTTTTGCAACAGCTCTCGTTGTTTCTGTACACGAATTTCAATCGTGGACTATCGGTCAATCATGGACTCTTTGTTTGTGCCCTAACCCTTTCGTGCCCTAACAGGTCCACGATTGCCGGTGTTTACACACCCAGCCCAACACAAGACCACACATTTCCCATGAATAGCGCCACCTATTGACGGATGATGTCAAATGATTCCAGTCCCGCTCGCCATGTACAGAGTCCCCATTTTTCGAGTGGCGTCTCCTCTCTAAGGTTGCAGACCAATAAATAAACTGCCATAGACCCCAATAATAAATGACCCCACTTCAAAAATTCAGGAAAAATACTTACAACTCTCCAAGGTATTCGAGACACACATCAAATTAAAGCTAATTTCATCATCTTTCATTTTCTTTTCAAATTTCGGGGGTTAACTGATGACTTTTAGGAGAAATTGTTTCTCTTCATTTTGCCACAGAAAAACCTAACCCAAAATGCTTCTAAATCTGTTTTCCAGAGAGGGGAAAATCTTGCATGGGCGTGGAAAAGTCCACACAACGTCGGTGCTACCTGGTTTATGTGGACATCTTTTGTTCGGAAGTCCACACAGTGAGTGTAATGCTTGTACATCCCGGCCCGCTACGTGCTAGAATCCCCATTTGCATCAAGACTAGTTTTCGATCGGTTATGTGTTCGACTTTTCTGGCTGAAGAAATAGTGAACAGCGAGTAACATCGGCCCATTGTGGGTGGTGGGCGCAGTGTTTCTGCTTGGCATCCAAAGAGGAGGTCGGGACCTATTCGACTCTCGGGTTGCGTCGATTTTTTTTGCAGTTCTATGAAGATAATTTACACTTAATTCTAATTATAGTATTGACTTCTGGTGTTTCTTTACATTCCTTTTTATCTGTTGAAGGGTGTGAGGGGGGTTCGAACCCCGGGTTGATGCGCCACTAGCCCATAGCTTGCCTATGGCACTATTGTTAATACTAGTTGATCTTGTGTCAAGTGCTAGTGCTATTAATGTTAAGTATATATCCCCACGTCAATGTATATTTTCTTACCCTTTTCCCCACAAAATTACTCCGGTCTAAACTAAGCCCTTATTTAATTTTTATTGTTTATTGACTTTGACATCAATTTATTAGGAACAGATACCTGACTTCTGGACTTGGGACTTCGGGAGTGCGTTCGGTCTGTTGTAGTTATTGCACACGAGTGCTCTTCATTTTAAACACGTGCAACGATAGCGACTATTGTTCATATATCTGTGCAGTACATAATGAACATATGGCCGTACCAAGCCATGATTATCACTGAGCATAAACCGCAACTATGTTATAACATGGCACAACCCAGTAATCGCAACGCAATGATCGGACGTCTCGCCAAATTTGAACACTACATAAAGCGGAACTATCTGCTGAACATGTTGAAATGACACTCGGCAGAAAATAACGCCGTGGATTTGGACTGGCGCTCTCAGCAGTCATGCCCACTCTACTAGTCACCATTGTGTCATAACTATAGGCATATTATAATTATATTAAATCCACCCAGAAGCAATAGGCAACGTCCTATCCCTGCAATGCACCAGATTGTGTGGAAAGGCGGGATTCTCTCTGGAAGTAGCCTAGCAACCACCAACAATTAACTGCAGTCGGCTTAGCAACGGACTGTCAGCCACCGTGCCCGGTGTGGCCTTAAGCTCAACGGATGAGCGCCCCTGAAAAGGCATCGTCAATCCGGGGGAGAAAACCACTCGCAATCGGATTGTGTCCGTAGTTGCTTTGGTAAACATTTGGGTGAAAGCTTCCCTCTGAAAGCTAGGTTGAGGGCTTTTGTGTTTTCCCCACACAGGTGTGTAGAGGTGACGCATTCGCGAGTATAGGCAAACTCTGCGGCGAGGCCATTCTGCACTTGTAAGGGGGTCTTAGTAAATAGACGAAGCTATGGCATCAGACGACGCAGAATCAGTGAAAACACCGGGGATGCTGCTGAACGAAGACAATGCCGCGGGGAACAACAGGATGACCGAGCCATCTGCCACTAGACAGAGGGGTTCTCCTGATAGTATTCTCCAAAAGGAATCTGTCCAGTTAGTTCCCCAGTCAACCGCTATCCAGAAAACACCTGCCGTATGTACAGCCACGGCCAAGTGGAAATCCAAATTGTCCAGCGCACAAGCTGGCGATATGCCTTCATCGAGGGCGGGTACCCCGGGCCCAATGGGAGAGGGAGGTGACAACACACACCCTCTGTCTCCCAGCACACTCGACATGAAGGGAGACATCACTAAGAATGAGGGATCCCCGTTGGTTGAGCCCTCCTCTCCCGGCCATCATGCCAACGGATCTGCCGCTCATCATCACCTCGGGGAAGCGAACAAGATGATACGACCCTCCATATCCATCACCGAGGCACCCCAGGTCGGGAGGCCGGGGAGTCGCATCTCAGGCCGGGCCTCTGCCTCTTCGCTGTCCATGCTGGCCACGGAGTCCGGTAAGCTTCTCCAGGCCATACCACTAGCCACGGGAGGACCGTCCTGTCAGCAGCACGACAATCAGCTCGCCACACTGAGGATCAACAATCATTCCCTGCTGGCAGCGATCCCGTACATGCCTGTCGGATTGGCCTACATGTGTCTGCTTCTCAACATCTTCGTACCTGGTCTAGGTAAATATCCAATTCGGAAAAAATATTGCAACCTGACGCCCCTTTTTTTCATCTCATATGAAGGTCTGTCATTGCAAAAATGATGATAAGACATGAATCTGGGATTGAGAAAGCATTTTTGTTAGGAAATTTTCTTGACTCTCCAAAGAGTTTGTACACAACCGCTGAAGTGGCGTCAGGTTGCAACATTGTTTTCTCCAATTCTAACGTCAATGTTTAAGAGTGTGTCATCACAACACGTTAACAAGAAATGATACCGGAACTCCATCGTCTCTAAGCACAGAACGTGTAGACGACAAATAAGAAACATTTCCGCTTTTTGTTATTATATTTGATTCACTTTCAGTGGAAAACAGTTACTTAAATTTTTTTTTTATAAACGAACCAATAAGGGTGACTTCCTCATTCAACACCTTTACATTTTTTGAAGTTCTTTTCTGTGTTTACCGGTACTTTAAGGAAAAGTCGTAACGGTGTTTATTTTAAAAGGGTGATCTTTCTGATAAATTCCGCATATCTCGAAGAAAATGCAATCTGAGGCTCAGAGTTACTGTCGGTAGGCAATGTGTTTAAAAAGTCGTAACGCTCAGTGAATATTATCCCCCGTTGCCCTGAATGAAATGGCAGCTCCACTGTGTCTGAACACAAGGAAGCCCATGTCTCCACAACCACTCCGGTTTATGATTCGGCGCTGACGACCTGAATAATAAAATGTCATCGTGAATTTCAAGCCGACATTAAGGCAAAATAATGTAAAATGTGTAATTTTGCTTCTTCTGCTTGCATACTGTACACAACACCCTGCAGTGTTGCGTATCCATACTCAAACTTTTTCAACTATAAAACAAAATGTAAATTATTATATTTTTGATGCTTTTGATAGCTCAGCAAGTCATGCAGGGCCTAACATAATTATAACCACTTGTACAATAACCAAAATGAATGTTTTGCAAATTTCTCTCTCGTAAGTCTCACCATAACAGTGATATTGAGTTTACCATGCCTCACCGAGTGCGTCAAAAGTAGTCGATTTTACATAATGATCAATCTTTTTGACTGAGACATTTTAAGACTGAGAGGGCTATTTCTTTGGAAAGTTCACAGTACACGTTGAGAATCGTGTAGTGTAATGCACTTTGCTTGTGGTCGGATGTGGAAACACTCTTAATTTTCAGACGTTTTTACTCTTCATCTAAATGACTTAATTTTGGCTGAATAGGTACAAACTACGCTTTAACTTTCCAAGTACAGCAACAGCTTTTCTCCTTTTGATAGGAAAAAAAGGGAAAAAAGTTGAAAAGGCGATCTGAGTGGAAGTATATTTTCTCGAACACAATAAAAAAAAAGCGGGCCAATCTTTTCATGGGTCAGAAATCTCATCTGAGTACAAAAGATACTAGCACCGGATGTTTTAACCCACATTGTTTGCGATTTACATAATTTTATTTGAAAAACAAGACTGTTTAATTTCATGAGAAGTATTCCAGCAACATATTTAGTTGTTGTAATAATTTTTAAGGCATAGTTTGTTCTACAACCCGAATCCTGTACATTTTTTGCCTACATGTTCTATAATAATATCGCTATATTTATAATTGCCGGTAATTTATTTGATTAGGGCGCACACGGCATCAACACCCTATCCCTCGCGAGTATTTTGTGCGTTTCTGATTACCAAAGAAAGCTCTATAAGTTGGGCATTTAAATTTCACTTCAAATGTAGTCTATCTGCTTGTTTCACTTTCTACAAACAGCGAGAGAATAAAATTCGATAATTCGACGCAATGTTGACAAGCAGTGTCTTCAGAGCTGCCATTGGCGTGTTGCTGTATAAAAGCATGTTGTTATCAGCCTATACAGCGCGTCCCAAAATACCCGCAACTTTTTTTTTTGCGAGGCTCTAGCGTCGGCGCGGAAACATGTACCGCCATTATTTTGATACCACTTTAAAGCTGAGAATCTTAACTTTGTCCCTGGCGAGTATTGGTTTGATATTTAAAAGAGTTTTTAAATGATTTGTGTTCAAATAAAGGTATGTCGAAAACAAACTCAACCGATTTTAAGGGAAATCGATGATGCGGTACATCAGATGCAAACTCAGTCAACTACCTGTTGAAATAACAAAAAAAAAGTTGATTTATATTAAAAAGATATCGAACTTGAAACGGAGAACATTGTGAATTTATTTAAGGTGTAGACTGCGTGGATTGAAAAGAAAAGAAAACACAGAAAGTAAAAGGCAACGAGATCGTCGCATCATGAGCACGTGGGAGCATTTCCACATTAGAAAAATGCGCATGGTTGATATTCCTTGAAATCGGTTGAGTTTTTTTTTCTTTACATACCTCTATTTGAACACAAATAATTTCAAAACCCTTTTTAAAATCAAACCAAAACTTACCAAGGATAATGTTAAGATTCCAAGCTTTAAAATGATATAAAAATAATGGCGGTACGTGTTTCCGCGGCGACGCTAGAGCCTCGCAAAAAAATATTGCTGGTGTTTTGGGACGCGCTGCAGTCGTATAAGCTGATGAAAACATCAACGTCAGTGTATCTTTCGTCTATTGTGAATGTCGAACCAGAATTAAATTTGCTTAAGTGCTGGCAAAATTACGCGCGTTACATGGTTTCTATCGTTGATCAGGCCTACCTTGCCTGCTTATGCCCGAGGCTACTGGGAAAACTTCATCAAAATTTCATTTTCCTCAACCCCGCCATGGAGAACCACTTTTAGCACTTAGTACGCTGTTAGGCTACAGTTATTACACAAACGAGGGAGTTCATTAAGTTATTTCACGTGTCCATTCGATCTTGCGTAACCCGCTTGCACGATCGATTCTGTTTTTATTTAATTAAGTCGTGTTTTGCCTCGTCCTTTTCGTTTATTGTCTACTGTAACATTGTGCTATTTCAGATAAGCAGGAAAAAAAGGCTCACCCGTGCATTTTATGTTAGTGAATGTAACGGGTAAATTTACAAGGCTTATCAGAATAAGCATCAAGAAAAATCAAGCTGGCAAAATCAGGTTGACACTTTTGTGTGTGTGTGTGTGTGTGTGAATGTGTTAGGATCATCGTCGGGCCTTGAGATGTCCTTTGCAGTGAGTTGGTCCGAATTCTGGTCAATTTTGAAAATCACGTATAAGTCGTTGGTTGCATAATGTCATGTTTCCTCATTATTTAAAACAGTAATCACTCTGAACAACACTGTTAATAACCTGTTTTGTCGCTTGTTATTGTAAAAAAAAAATAAGAGAAAGTAGTGGAACTAAATAAAAAAAAAATAGGAATGGTCATTTAAAAAAAATTATCTTGAATCTGCCACTGTCTTTACAGTCATTTGAAACAATGTCAAAAATTTGATTGGATTCGGCCATTGCATGATTTTGCGCAACCACTTTTCATGTTTTAAAAATAGTTGCTCATTTCAACAATCTCTAACAACGAATGCATCAGCCTAACTAAGACAATTGATCTAACCTTTGTTGCATGCATGAGCTCTGCATGGTCACGTATAAATGCATAGGATCATTTGCTTGTCATGCATTTTGTTCTTCTCCAATAATAACAATACCACTCAAAATCCAAGGAGGAATGTTCAAATTAAACCGAAACTGCTGAAGTATACTAGCTCATTGGATATTACACTTACCGCGAGAAAACACTGAAAAACCGTGCACAACCTTTTGATCATGAAACACTATTTTGTCAGTAGCACAATTAAAATGTATTTCTCCAAATCAGTCAATATTGCCTGATCGCTGAAAATCACCTATTTCTTGATTACTTTTAAGTGACAGCATGGGTCCTAGCTCTATGGTGACAGAAAGTCATGGCGGAGTAATTTCACGAGGTGATTAGTGCCAGTGCGATCTTTAATCCAAGCAATAAGCTGTTTGATAATCGTTCGGTTGGTTACTTTTGAAATATTTATGCAAATTATCATATGCGCCTTTTACTTCACCCTTGCTCAACACAGCGGCAAAATATTTGTAAAAGTGGCGGTGTAAATATTGACTCGTTTTAGCGGGAAGACGATAGTATTTGCCCGCTGTGTCTACTTTCCATGGCGCTTTCCATGCAATACTTATGATTGCATTGGTTTTTATGACGTAACCCCGGCCGAAATTGCCGAGAAAAAAAAGAACAAATAATCATACTCTATTATTGCAAATTAAACGCAATCGTAGGCCTATGATGTTATTAATACGTCCACTTTTAATCCAGTGTTTCAATATCGGCAAAAGTGCCTTTTTAACAATGAGTGTTTGCTTCCATACGATGAACAGACTTTTATTCGGATATATACGCACACACACATAGTCTGTTTTATGTTCATTTTGGTTTTATGATTCCCGCTGGGAAAGAATCTATCAAATTATTTATCTATGAGGATTATGTAAAATGAGGCTGTACAGCCCGCTGTACCACAATATTTAGCCACCATTATGGATTTTTGCAATAACAATAATGGCATAACATAGGCACTGACAGCAAACATATCATGAGGGCAGTAACAGTTGCAGACTTATTAAATCTACGTTTACCAGAACACGGACGAGGACTCAATTATTGAACTTTAATGAGCAATTCGGTAATTGACAGCAAACAAACAATGCTGACGTATTAATAAATAAATCGACGCCAGAAGGCTTTACGGCCCTCAAGTGAAGTATTGCTTATGAAACCGTTACCATGGCAATGCATAACAAGTCACTTGAGCAGAACCAGCGAGGCTTATTATCCGTTGCTAGGATATTAACCAGACGGAAGCACAACATCATCAAAAGGCATCCTGGGTGGGGGGTGGGGAGAGTTAAGTTCTTGACTGTTACATGTATGGCATATGGCTCGTAACTTCAAAATGGTGACTGCTCTATGTTCCGACACCCCTATGTTCCGACAACCTACACATAATATTGTGTTACTCCCGGTTGGTCTTTTTGGGATAGGAAAAGGCGCAGTCGGAACATTGGGGTGTCGGAACATAGGTGTGTAACCCTTCAAAATGGTCCTTCAAACCTTCAAAGCATGCTTGAGAAACATAATGATATCATCTCTGTGTATTATTGTGATTCATAAGTATTATGATTAAGACGATGATTGTTTTTGACATCAATTAGAACGTCTATTTTTTTTCTTATGTTCTTTCAATGGAGAGCTTATACATGTATATACCTTGGTGGTGACATAAAATATACGTTCACACATGCTCTCCGGCACCATGTTAATTAATCACCAACTGCATGTGTAGGCTTTTGCATTCATACTACTTTTCCACGATAATGTTTGTTTACATTTTTGCTAAGTGTATGTATTCAGAGACCGATCCATCTCATTTCTCCTCTCTCCGCTCAACTGGTCCCGCCCGAAACCGGTACTGAAGTCCATTATATAAGCCTATGCCTAAACAATGCATTGCCAGTATAAACATAGATGTATACATATCAAATGCCTCAAAACGGTTTATGAATAAAAATTAATAGTAATTCATTTCAGATGTGCCATTTAATTCGTGTGATTAATACCGAGCCCAGAGCTTGCCAGAAGTACAAACAAATCCGAGTCCGTAAGGGTATAAAAAAAAAGTCATAAAATTTATATTTAAAATGATTTTAATTCTAGCATGGCTTTCAGCGGCCAGAATACTGCATCAAATCCGCTTTCTCAAGTGCTGCATAGGTTCTTTATTAGAGAGATCAGAACCTGAACCCTTTACTGTCATACTATTTTCTTTTGCCCGTACCTGTCTCGGCTAAATCAATCATCCCTCTCCTCGTATTAATGAGATCTCCTCTATACAACGTCAAATATTACCCGCTGACCACCTGCTCGCAATGTGTCATTATATTGACTTTGGAGTATATATACCTGGCCGTCACCTTAGCGATAATGAGTGCAGCAATTATGATAATCAGCCAGCCGTTGATGCGCTCAAAACTCTTATTGTAATATGGCATGCCCCTCGCATCCTTATTGCCTGGAATAAAAGCTGATAATTACCTTCAAGGTCCGAGGGGCAGTTAGCATGGCTCATCGGCTTATCCGTTTAATAGGGAATGTACATCATTGGCTTTTGCTGTAATTGTCAGAAATGAACTATTTGAGGGGTTAGTATAATAGATCAAATATTGTTACACTGACATGTTTGACGTTTTGTGTTCGAAAATGCTGGCAAAAACCAAGAAAAACCAAAAATGTTCAAGTAGTCTGGTTCCCTGACTCCACTAAAGATGAAATGGATCAATTTATAGATGACGAAAAATTGTAAGGTAAGGGAACCAGTCTAGCTGGCCTGCACCCGTTCATGAACATGTAACCAATAGCAAACAAAATTTGGACTGAAACAAAATGGCAAATTTGGAGCAGTAGTTGAAAAATAGTAAGGTTTTTCCAACGGTGGTCGGCCGACCACCGTTGGAAATTTATACAAAAATACCACTTTTCTTGATAATGACTTCACACTAGGTGCCATAATTTTACAGGATGCTTTAGACTGTCATTTACCAACATCCTAGTAAGGTATTTGGTAAAAATTTGGTTGTTTTGTTTTTCGATGTTTGCAAATGTTGTATATGTTAATGACGTTTGAAGCTCTCTCCACACCCAACCACGCCTAGCTTTATAAAAAAAAGAGCCTAATCCTTCAAACTACATCAGTTTAAAATACGAGCGCCGTGGAATACAATTTGTCCATTTGCCATTCAAAATAAAGGCCCGTTCTCCGACACCAACTTTGACAAATAAACAGACTTTCCACTGAAAATAAATAAAATTGTGATTAAAAAACTCCACGTTGCTTTACAATCAGTCAAGATGACGTCGCCTTCTCGCCGTATGCTTTCTAAAATATGCGGCTACTTTTTCGCCTCCAATATGCGAAACGGTTTGCATTCAGGGACTTCCAATTGCTAATGATCAAAACAATTCACACCCAGATGAGACAGTCTAGTTCCCTCAATTTGATAAGCACGACAGACCCTTTAAAGTCTTCTGCCGAGCCCAAATCACTAATTGGTTTCAAACGTCCTGCTTGTGCCGTGTCGAATAAAGAAAATTCAAGTTTATTTCTATTCGACACGGCATAAGCTCGACGTCTGAAATACGGGGTGATTAGTGCCAGTGCGATCTTTAATCCAAGCAATAAGCTGTTTGATAATTGTTCGATTGGTGTTTTTTGGGATATTTATCCAAATTATCCTATGCACCTTTTACTTTACCCTTGCTCAACACAGCGTCAAAATATTTGTAAAAGGGCCGGTATAAATATTGACTCGTTTTAGCGGGAAGATGATAGTATTTGCCCGCCGTGTCCACTGTCCATGGCGCGTTCCATGCAATACTCGTGATCGCAATGATTTTTATGACATGCATGCTTTCTAAAATATGCAGCTACTTTTTCGCCTCCTATGCGAAACGGTTTGCGTTCATGGACTTCCAATCGCTAATATTATTAACGAAAAAAAAAATCACACCCACATGAGACAGTCTAGTTCCTTCAATTTGATTCTGAGATCACGCACTGCTACCCAGTATCGATCCTAATGCCACGCAATTCAATACACACCTATGTAGGTGTTAACCCAGGCCTTACAAGGTTCGTTAATGCCAAGGTATAGCTCTGGAAATGTAGGTGACTATATACGGGAAATGTAGGTGACTATATACGGCCTCAACTCATTTAATTTGTACATGTATACTGGAACCTTGAAATTGCTTCAGGTGACGGAAAACAGCCGCTGTGTTCTTCATTTTGGATATTTTTTTTTTGTAATGAAAGCGAATGAATCAATGTACATGTGGACTGAATGCGGGCTCGAACCAACGAAGAGGACTCCCGGTGTTGTTGTAACTTCTATTGCGTGGATACCGCATGTCAAAGGCCCATGTGAATTATTAAGATCTTGTGGATCATGGAGAGGAAGAATGCTGTTCATGCGTTTGGAGTGTATTTTTCCCTTTATAATTGTAGAGTGATATTTAGGTGGTTAAACCCGCGCGGCGCGGTTGGTAGTCAAATTTATGAAAAAGCAACTAACTATAATAGTCAGGAATTCTAGATGCGAGACCCACCCATTTATTTAGTTAGTTATTTATTTCCATTACTTTGCCCAAAATATGCCCAAACAGTTAAAAACTGGTTTTCATTGGGCCCTGCATACATTACAAATGTATTATTAAATAGTTAAACTCTGAGGAAAACTACGTTGGTGAAACATACGACGAATATTAACATTGAATACGCAAAATTGCATGAATTTTGTTCCACGAGGCTCTTTGACAGATGACCATGTAGGCTACAGTTATTGAATTCCGCCATGCAGTGCAAGGCAACACAATCTAATAAAAAAAACCACCGATATCAAAATTCAAAATTGGACCACTTGCTCCTCCTGTCCAGGCACTCTGATAGCCGGCTTCAGTCTGTTCTGCTGCAAGGCTGAACCTCAGCAGCACACCAAGAAAGATGAAATCATCAACTCCTTCTGCACCAACGCGTGTGTGGCTGTCTCACAACTCTTCACAATCCCTTTCCTGCTCGTTGGTTGGATATGGAGTGTCACCTGGGGCATCTTTATGGTAACATTTGCGAGTAAGTATCATGATAAATGCCACCCGCACGGCTCAGCATTGCAGGATTTTTTCTCAGTTGTGTATGTGTGTGGGGGAGGCACCAGCGTGTTATGGGGGGGGGGGGGGGGAGACCAAGAGCGGACCCAACAGCAACGTCTTTGACACTATGAAGGGCGGTTTATTTTCGTACGGTTAAGGGAAGTCAAACTTAGTCATCTAGATTCCTCTTTGTTCTAAAAAATTGAAACAAATACTTTAAAAAGACATTTCCTTGGAAAGCGGCAAATTTCCAATTATTTTTTTTGGGGGGGGTGGCTGTGACACTGCTTAGCGTGAATGTGAATGGAAAGTAAACATGTACATTGTACACGCAATGAAAGCAAGCTTTGCGGTTAATTTTGCCGAAGTTGATGTACTGAATGAGCAAACATTGGCCGTTGACATCACATTGACTGGGTTCTGTATACTCTCCGAATGCCTCTAATACATACATGGCAATATACATGCATGGCAAAACTAATAGCGGGAATTGAATACGTACGTGCTCATCATGTACATGTACATGTATGTCAAATTCTTGTGCAGTCACGGTACGAGTATTTACCGTTGACGTCACTAAGTCCAAAACGCATTTTAGCAGCCATTCACGTCAAAACTGCTCTCCCCGTACTCTGCAACATGATCCATTTTTTCCTTCTCCCTACTGAATTTTCTTTTGGTATATTTTGTTTATATGGAAAAAACACTTTGGACGTTTTCAACGACCGTCAGAAGATACGCTTTCATTTCGGGTTGCGTTTGCGCCCACAATACCCGGAAAGATACCTAAATTATCGACAGTTCCAAATAATTCGAAATTTGTATAGTAAAATATTCCATAACCAAACGGATTTTTTTATATTTGATGTCTCATTCAAAAGTGGATAACTTTCTAGAAAAAATAACAATTATTTGAAAACAACATCTATTTTTCAGGGTGAGGCTCGTAAAATGGCACAACCTTAAGAAAAGGACTTTTAGGGCGGCCGGCTACGAACTTCGTCACGCTTGTATAAAAAAGCACACCAAAACAGCAAATGTGTATGGCATATATAAAACTCAAGTAAAGATGCCGAAGATAACGACTGTTTCGCTCTTTGTTTTTAGTTGAGTACAGAAACTACAAGAGAAACGAAAAGAAGATATCCACAGCGAAGGCCGTCACCAAGGCGTTTATGGGGCGATGAGGCAGGATGCAACACAAGAAGCTTTGTTTATCGACTGTTGGACATTTTGATGAATTAAAAGGCCGCAGTCTCATTTGCAATCTGTAATTAGTTCTCTGTGGAAACAAAAACAAATTGTCAACAAGCGCTCTATGTAGGCCCCAAGCGATGGATATTCAAAGTACAGTAGATTTATAAGCAAGACAATTACTAAACAATCCGTTATTTGCAATCGTGCGTATGCAAACGACTGAAATTAAATGCAATAGAACATTTCCTTAGAGTCAAATGTTTCTAGTGAATTTAATGCCGTTCGTCCTTACTATTGTTCAGTTAGGCCTACACATTAGCATGTGGAACATGGCGCTACGTTTCAAGATGTTAACCATGTTGGAAGTTATTTGTTGTTTTTCACACATGCCTGTTCATCACAAAGTGTAATATCATGGGCGTCGCCAGGATTGTTTTCTGGGGGGGAGGGGGGGGGGGAGGGGAGGGCAAAGCACTCCCCCTGTACTTTCTCTAGCATATTCTCAATTTCTGTTAGGTTGGGCGGGGGACATTTACCCACCCCACCCCATCTACACCCGTGCAGGAGGCCATATGTTAAGTTTGTATTACATTAATACTAAATAGGACTTCACACCTCTTGGTTTTTTTTCTTTTCCAGGGGACAAGCGCCCCCACCCCCTTGCCCCATCGTGGTGACACCCATGTGTAATATTCAATGAACTACACTGTATTTATAGCATTCGGTTTCCTATATATAGTTACTTCTTCCCCCGCAATAGATGAATTGTCACATTGCCTGTATAAATCATGTAGGCGGCCTCCATGACCCAGAAAATTCTGTACTATAGCATCACAGGTTGACCTATTCAACCACATAGTTGGATCCGTGTTAAAAAAAAAAACCCGCAAAGCGATAAAGTAAAGAGGCAACATTAAGTAAAAAGCTACAATGAATCCAAAACAACAGCAATATCATATTTGTAATTAAAGCAAGACGTGTAACTTTGTAATATACACTTCATATTTTTTTTTCATGTGCAATGAAAAGGTGGTTTGCTCTCTCCATTTTCGACGCGCTGCACACAATTCGGCGCATTTTCATCAATTTACTCATTATTTTCACGTAAAATATTTTTTTATGAGAAAAAAAAAAGGGAGGAGCTGATTGATGTACCTCCCAAATGATCAGAATAGAGTCTGAGGGTCTTATAAATAACGCCGTTTATAATGAAGGGGGGGGGAACAAAACTGGAGTTACAACGTTAAGGCCCAAAAAAAGTCTCCGGTTTCTGGTATGGAGATTGCCCAAAAAGTGGTGTTGCGACGCGGCTTTTTTTTTTTTTACCTGATTTTTTTTTGCTTCAAATGTCGGCTGATGACTGCTAATGGTGCCCGACTAAACTCAGTGCAAGTATATGGGAGTCCAGAGAGGCCACATAAAGCTTATTCTCGATCATATCCCCATCTAAAAACACGTTAAAATTGTGCAGCAGCAGGATTCCAGTCAAACCATTGAGTTTGGCGGTTTTGAGACATCATCTTTCATTGAAAAAAAAAGTTTTCATTTTGCCGACGCGCATTGCTACGGCGACGCGCTCGCATACCAGAAACCCGAGACTTTTTTTTTGGCCTAATTAATCGGTTGCTGTAGCGTTGTCAATACAAAGTTCTTCGCTACAGATTAAAATAAAAATATTATTAAAGTTGAATTTGATTATTTTTTTATCTACCTTTCCAACTTTGATGTTTGAAGATTGTCAATTCAGTGACTCTGACACATTATTATATGGAAAACCAGTTTTCACATTTCTGAATGAGGGTTTGGCACTATTATTGTTTTGATGACATATTTTTAACACAGTTATTATTAACTCAATAGTTGTAATCAGATATTACGTCATGTTTTTTGCAATACTGTGATGTTCAACAATAAGTGCAGTATTAACAAATGTACACTCATAAGGCATTTAATAATTATGATGTAAACACTGTATATATGTACATTATTTGGGAAGTTATATTTTTTGTGGTACTTTGAAAAAAATAGACATATTGAAGGTACATGTGTATCTGTAATTTCACAAAAATTCTGTACATGTATTCGCTTCAATTTTCCTCTGCATTCTAAGATAAATTGTAAGTAAGTACGTAAGCTAAAATAAAATACATATACATGTATACATGTACATACATCGTATATTTCGTTTTTTCTTTTTTTCTTTTATAGATATTTAAAGTTGGTGTACATGTATACGTGCTTTTTCAAAATTTTGATTTTCTTTTCCGAACGACATTTTAAGGAATGCAATGTCCTGGACCAAAAAAAATGGTTGATTATTTTTGCAGGCCTTTATACAATTTTAAAGGGACACTAGGTCGTGAAATCCCCGAAAATGTTATGTTTTGGATTGTTTACTTAGCCTATTTCAAACATCTGGTTGAAAGGAAATCAACCCGTAGTAATGTCTTACCGTTCCCGAGAAAAGACAAAAAAAAACCCGCTTGTTTACATCGGACATGACGGAGTACGAATACGTTTTTCGCGTCGTTCTCAGAGTACGATATACACGTTGTGCGTCTCGGGAACAGCGGTGACCAATCACCAATGCAAAAAAGTGGTTTCTTCAACGTCCGCAAAAGGCGAACGCTTTACGAATGAAATCACAGCCAGCATCCAAACAGCTCGAATTTATGGGGTCGCGCACGCATAAGACAGGAATAACACAAAAACGCCCAGTTTTGAAAGGATAGTTGTGTGGATGTTTATATCCTACTTTTAAATGTTATTCAGATTAACATCATCTCATTCAAAGCGCGTTTTGTAGCCCAATTGGGCTGTTCCAGGACCTAGTGTCCCTTTAAGAAGCGGTTTTAAATGGCGCGCTCCGGTTCAGAAATTGCGCACACTATTCGGAACGAATTAGGAGCGTCCCGCTCTTAATTCAAAAGTAGAAACTAATCAATTGATTACTTGTCGTGGGCTGATTTTTTTTCGTGCGGTGTCTCATTGGAAAGCTCATAACTAATGTAATGCTAGAAAATTATCAATTCAATAAGAAAACATATTTTGTCAAGGTGCTACACCCAAAAAGCATGTATACACCAACTTTAAATTACATCTAAACGCATTAACGCAGAAAATGACATTAAAAATTGCTTACAAACAATAATATTCCTCGACAGAAGCCTTGCGACTTCGACCTATAGAACACCAAGGGTTTGCTGGAAGGGCGGGGGGTGGGGGGGGGGGGGCGGTTCTACGGGGAGGGCTAGGGAGGGGGGCTTTACCCCCCTCCCAAAAAAACCTTTTGTTTATCCCCCTCCCCCCCCCCAAAAAAAAAGTCGAAAATAAAATAAAATAGGCCTAGTACTATCGAATGTTAGAAGGTGACGTAACATGCGAACGGTCCCTCAAAAAAGAAAAAAAAGAAACATAATATTCGCTATAGCCGGGCATGCGCGGATTCAGAGGGGGTGGTGTTTGTGTCAACACCCCCCCCCCCCCTTCCTCCGTTGAAAATTGTATTGATAATAATAACGTACATGTAGGCCAGAGGCGAAGCCATTCGTGAGAAGGGGGCACTTGTACACTATTCGGTAAACAGTGTGCCTGATTGTATGATTTGATCAGCGCTCCCCATTGAAAATATGGTACGAGCCCCCCCCCCCCCCCCCCCCCCCCCCCCCCCCCTACTGATTTTTGGAGGCCTAATTGTCCGGAGGGAAAAACAATTCTACATTTTAGCACGCCTTGCGGCAAAAAAATTTGGATCCACTCTGCTGTAGCCCCCTAAAATATATGCTCTATAGAACCGCGCCTGGGGGTGAGATGGCATTGTTGTCGATCGGCCGTGGCAACCTCGGACAAAGGGGGTCACTATCCTTGACACAAAGGGCGCTGTTTTGGCTAATTTTACTGTACACTTTCAAGCCATCTTCCTGCAGTTATTATTTTCAGAATTACGCTAAATTAAAATTTACTAGCACATCAGACCAAACCGACGATAAATGTGTTGATAAATGCCCAAAGGCAATGCAATTCGGTACGTCAAAATGCGATATGCATGCATTCAATTTCTTTGTGAATACATACACATGGTTCCATCATTCATGCAGAATCCCTCCATTAGTTTGCGGAAACACCTCGGATATGTGATCCGTTTTTAATGCGGCGTTTATGTTTTGACAAGACAAAACGATAGCTGGTACATGTACTCCAAAGCTATTTCTATTGCCGTTACAAACACACAACAGGCAAAATTATAGAAGGTAATAAACGGCCGACACGGCGCGCCATACACCGCGGCGTATTTTGATAAAGGGAAGCAGCTGATGACAGAAACGGACAGCAATTGATCATGACTGTGAACAGACTATTATACCAATTATTGTCGCCAGCTATTCAAAGACAATGCAATGAATTAAAAATACCGCCCGTGTATTTAAAACTATAACTGTGTTTGGTTTATGTTTCGTTGTTTTGTGTGTGTAGCGTATATACCTGTCAAGTAGCATTTAGGCTGTCAGAAACTTGTAGGCTTACATGCACAAATACGATTTAAGGTTTGCAATGTGAAGATAGCAGTATAAGATGAAGTGCACCATGTCAAATCTCTTATACTTTGTGAGGTTCTGAAAAGACCGTGGAACCCAACGTTTCGGACACTGCGAGTATATACTCTGCCTTCCGGTAACAGGCAATCGAACATGAATATCTGCGGGCCCGTGACGAAATTTTGTAATTTGAATTCACCATTCTTTCGTCCGTACGAAGCATAACGGGGATTTTATTTACTGGAATCTATTTTTCCCCCACAGCTTACGGTGTTTTCACAAAAAGTAAATATAGGTTTTCTCGGTCAATTTCGGCAAATGAGCAGCCAATTTAATTTTCGTGCGTTCGAATTGAAGCTATTTTGCCTCTCCAGTTGTTACTGCGTTTCAAATTCAGAATTCGGCCATTCAATTTCGTTTTGAGGCATTCAAATTCCTTTAGCACTGTGTTCAATTTAGCATATCGTCATTCTTTTTCGTGACACACAATCATCATTCAATTTAGCAAAGCTGGTTCGACTGGAGATTTTACTGATTTAATTTTTTTCAATTTCGTAAAGAGGCAATCAATTTCGCTTAAAGAGAATTCAAATAAGTACGACTAAAGAAATACGAATAAACAGATAAACTGTACTAGGCAACTGTTTCGTATCTTCACTTTAATTCAGGCAAACCTTGTTTTCTTTATTTATGCTTCCAGTAGACTTTACATGTGGCCAATGAGGTTTTTTCTTCTTCTTTGTTTTCTTCTTCATTCTTTTTTTTTTTTGGGGGGGGGGATCTTTATTGGTTAACTGACCAAGACCTAATTTTGTATTGTGTTTGAATGGGGTGTTTCTTTATGTTTTTCCTGGTTTTTTATTGTTTATGTTGTTTCTTCCTCAACCATCAATCTGTTGGCGTGCCAGACATCTTGGCATATATGTTTGGGTATGGTTGTACCACTGCATGCACTTCGCTTGGGTGATGACATCAACGCTCTGGATGGCTGCTTGTTGAAGGAGATCGCACCTCCACTGCTGCATGTTCATTCCTGCTTGCTGGGCAGCCTGTCTGTCTCCGACACGTTGTTGCCACTCAGGTAACCCAAGGATGCGTTTAACTGCAGCCTTGAATGCAGAGTGTGCCATCTCCGTGCTGTTCAGGAATGGGGAGTAGGGAGGGAGGCGCTTCAGCTGGATCATTGGGTTGGCACCTTCAGGGAGTTGGGCTCGCACGTGAGGCCTCGCATTGTCGTATATGAGGTAAATGGGTTCGTCGTCTGGGAAAACTGCATCACACTCTTGAATTGTGTCCGCAAGAAACTCCTCGAATCTCTCTCGCGTCACAGTTTCGAATGCGATTCGGTGGTGCACCAAGCCTACTTCACTAGAAACAGCGAAGGTGACATTGCAATTTCTCCCTCGTTGTCTGTCGACGACTCGTCTTGCAGCGATCCCTCGTGGAGCTCTACCCTGGGAGCGTCGAGTCCAGACGTTATAACCTGTCTCGTCAATGAAGACTAGATGCGCCAGAACACCATGCTGCAGGAACCACTCACCATACTGGACGCGTTGATCAAGAACTTCAGGGGAATTTCTTGCATCAGGGACGTCCTCCACTAGTTTCAGTGTAATCATCATCCCATCCAAGGCCCTGGCTATGGTGGTAGTAGAAACCTGGGGCTTCTCTGGCAGATGCTCACTCAAACTAGCCTTCATTTGTTGAAGTGTCAAGACGGGATTAGCGTCAAGGATGCCTTGCAGATGGTTTCGCATGTCATCATCCATCTTGCTGTGGGTTGCTCCTCCTCTTGCCAGCGTCTCTCGCCTTCCAGTCCTCAAATATGTTGCAACAATTGATCTGGCTGTGGACTTGTTGATGTTCAAATTGACCGCAAGCTCAAGGTAGTCTTGCTCGTTTCCCTCGAAGGCCTCAATCAACCTTTCTCGATCTACCTGGGCCACTCTAGCGTAGTGACCACGAGCTGCCATTTCTAGAAATATGCGTGTAAAACTGTAGCGAAAGCTCGTCTTCGAAGTACATCGGCAAAGTGACTCAAGTGCCAAAAAGTGAACCGTATTTATGCCTTCAACATTCTTAAGGAAACAAAAATTTAACAAAGCGTTTTTTAGATTGCACAAATTCCAGAAATGACTGCCCAAAAATGAATTTGAATGACTAAACACACGCCTCAAAAAGCTCCTGCGAATTTGAATGCTGCTTTGTTGAATTGTTAAATTGCATGATTATTATGTTAAATCGAATGACGCAACAGTACATTTGACTGGTCATAAAACGAAATCGAATGACCCTTTTCAGTAGCATTTGATTTCGCGCGAAATAGAATAGCGTAGTGATTAAATTGGCTGCTCATTTGCCGAAATTGACCGAGAAAACCTATAGTAAGAACGTAACTAAATGATCGGTTATCTTTTCAAGGCATACGTGGTCTTTACAAAGGTTAATGGAACGCACCTTAATCATTAGGTGTCTTTTCAGATTGTTCGTTGTCTTTAGAATGTTCCTAAGTCTCTTTCATTTGTTCGTTGTCTTTACAAAGGTTAAGAGAAAGAACGCACCGAGAGCATTAGACGAATTTGATCTGAAATGACGAACATTCCCAACCCGCTGAAAACTTCTTGAGGGGGTACTGTTTCTTGTTTCCTGCAGCAGCTGCAGGGCCCAATTTCACAGAGCTGCTTCAGCATAAAATTTCTTTAAGCATAACAAACTTTGCTTAATATAATCAAGTTACCGACCAAAACTCCATGCGATTGTTATGTTAAGCCAACAACAGCTAAATACCAGTCACAAGCAATGTACATCGCATGGAGTTTTGGCCGGTAACATAATTATATAAAGCAAGTTTGTTTGTGCTTAAGCAAATTTTATGCTAAAAATTTGATCCAAGCCACTCGACTATGTTGCCACCTCTCTGAAAAACAGTTTTAGAGGCATTTTGGGGTCAAGGTCGATCGTCACAAAATGTAGAAAAACACTCATGATCAAGGAATCATGATCAAAAATTTGGGTTCAAAGAGTGTTTGTGGTGCGAGTAAAATGACTTTTTTTCCCTACACGAAAAGAAAGGAATATCCACACTAGGTATGCAAAGTCAATGCGTGTTAGGGTGTTATATCGCTCACGACAGATCCAATCAAAACCCACATGCATGGCGCATGTATTGTTCAAATTCGTACTAAACGGCGACAACAAATTTCAATCCACAAGAACAGACACATAATTGTTCGGTTGTGGTTGTCCAAGTGTAATCATTTCCACCACTACACTTTATTTTGTGTTAAGAATAAAATGACATACAGTGAACAAGAAAACAACAATGGAGGACAAGTACTACGCGTGACTTTAGTTACAGAAAATTCTCAACAAAATGAACACTCGAAAACTACTTTTGAAAGCCACAGGACGCTTAATTCCTGAAGAGCGTATAACGTGTACACAAATTTCGGTAATTACATTTGTACTACTGAATGAGATAGACCTGCTCTGATGCCATAAACTGAATACAAATAATACATGCATATATGTAAATGCGCATGAAAAGCTAAATAGATGAAGTATTTATACACTGAAACTGCAACCATCTTTTTTTCCCCCAGGTGCAGAGTGCGATACAATGGCTTAAACATTCCCCCGACCTTCAACACCAATGCCTATGAGCCTCAATGCTCCATGAGCCTCAATGCCCTTTGTTGCAACAAAGATGGGAGCAGCATGGTACGTTTCCTTTATTAAAACGGAAAAACAAATAAAAAGACCCCCCCCCATAAAAAAAAGATGTTTGAATCCTCGCCTAACTATATAAAAAATAGCAGTAACTTGCACATTATTTAAAAAAAAAACCGGCACAAAGTTTACTTTTTTTCTAACAAGATCATTATCATCAACAAACTGTACGAATGATTCCAGATGCTCCAATTGTAAAGCATTCACACCACGGTATGAGGATCATAGATGCAGGTGTACATGTTAACAATTCTGCTTAATACATGAAGCAACGTCCACTATCAGAGGACACATGTTAATTGAAGTTCTAATAAATCCAATTAAGCTTCGTTCACAACAGAATTTGAAAGCATGTTGGATCTAGATGTAAACCATACACAAATGACAATTTGTTTTGTTAATCTGTGCTAAGTTAAAGCTGTGAAGATCTATGCATGTTGGCTGCTTTCTTTTTGCCTTAAAAATTGGTGGTTTTTTTTGTCAATTCCAGACCCAATGAAGCCCTGTTATGTGCAAAACAATATCTATGAAAGTTACCTAAGAATGCAGTCCCTGTAAAAATGATTTTCTTATTTTTTGCAAGTGTTGGCACAAAATAAAGGATGTTATGATTTGAATTATTCTAATTTGAGAAGAGTGATCAACTTGGTATTTGTTTCATTTACACAAGAATAATTCATTTGTTGGTATCCTCATATGAATAAATACCGTACAATTCAAGAATCCAGATGAGATTAACTACAATATCTAACCACGGCCCAATTTCATGGACATGCTAAACGTTAAACAGAAAAAAAAAACTTGCTTAGAAAAAAACAAAACCATTTGCGAGCAATGAACACTGCGTGAGATTCCAGCCTGTCACCGGTTTGTGCTATTAAAGCGAATATTTTCTGTATTTGGTCTCCAGCTCAATAACCGACCCATACACTAAGAAATGACTTTCGAGCATTCAGTAACTATTTTCACAAACTTACATGTTTGACTGTTGGTTTGTCTGAAGTAAGCCCCAAGGAAAATTACTGAGCTAAAAACCAGAAATTATGAAAAGTTTTCGGACTTTTAAATGTTATGGAACTATAGCCCCAAGCAAACTTTGATAACTCCATGTAAATGGAAGTTTCATTTATACCAATTTATACCTATGACAGCTAATTCGAGAAATCCAATTTCAACAATAACCATCGCATTTTGTTGCACACTGACTGATAAATCATTGTAAAAGTTTCATTCAGTTCCTGGTTCCAATTCAATCCACAAAATACTCACTTGAGGGGTACATTCTAACCTCAAGACCGCGACTTAGAGGGATTCAATGTATTTTGTTCTAGATATTTTGTCTTGGTGCAGCACACACGAGGACATCTTCGATAAAGCATAATTAACAAATAAGCCATGGTTTGAAAAGTCATTCAAACTGTTAAGAAAAAAGAAAGCAGCATGTGAAACTCTTTAAGAGGTGAATATTGAATTGGGCCACTGAGGAAAATTCCACCTGTGCCAAAGGCTGTCAAGAACTTACAACTGAACATCAAAATAGCCTCATTTCCATACTATTAACGTATGATCTAGAGCACCGATTCCCACCTACAGGTTTATGTTGCATGAGGGGCGTTGGAGAAGCACAACTTGAAGGTGTAGGGGTACTTTCCACCTGAGAAATAAAAACAAAGGAAATGATAGCATTAACGGTGTGAAAAGCAAGACTCCCGATTTCCATGGCAATTAGTTTGATCAGTTATGTATTCAAGTTCATCATGTGTTTACAACTATGTACGTAGGATCATTTGCATTTACCGAGAAAAAACCTTGTAATGACAGAAACCTTGGTTAAGGGGCCCAACAGGTCCCGGGTCTCCCCCCCCCCCATTTACAATCTTGAATTGAGCAAAATTCATATCATATGCATTCAGTGCCCTCACCCCTGAAAAAATGTATGCACCCCAGATGACCCCCACCCAGATGTTCAACCCCATAGGGCTAACCAGCAGGTTTACCCCCCCCCCCCAATATTTTGTAAAGACTGCCTTTTTCCATTCCAACGCCTTTTTTCACCAGCGCTTCAACCCCCCCCCCCAAAAAAAAAAATATTTGTAATGAGTGCCCTCCTTTTGTTAAAAAGTGCCCTTTTTACTTAAAAAGTGCCCTTTTTCCTGAACAAGTGCCCTTTTTCCTGAACAAGTGCCCTTTTTAAACAAATGTTCTGCCCTTGTTTTGTCATCGGCCGTTACGGTTGTCTTTTCTTGTAAAATTTCGCACATGTATCACCCTGAAAGCCCCACCACCACTATTTGATTTTACGGAGGCTACATGTCCGGAAACAAACGTGTCTACATTTCAGCACAGATCTGCACGGATGCCAAGTGTCCGGAGAAAAAAACTTGTCTACATTTCAGCACGGATGTGCAAGTGCCCTTTTCAAGAATGTTTTAACCACCCCCCCCCCCCCAATAAAAAGGACCTAGTTACGCCCGTGAACCCTAGTTACCCCACTGCCCTCTGATAATAAAGGCTTTTGTTTTGGGTTGCTTTTGATCCCAACTAAATAATTACTGGGCTGCAAAAAACTCAAACTTTGTAAAGTAATTATTCCAAAAACTTACTGCCTCAATCAAGGGTGACTAAGTTTTTTTTATTGCTACAAAAAAAAAAAAAAAAAAAAAAATCTACTGTTTGTTTAAAGTCTACTCACCGGGGTTTTCCATGTTGGTATGGTTTGCAAGAATCATAGCCTCCATAGCGGTGGCTCTGTTCTCCCATTCCACCAAGCCAGTTACACTACGCTCAGCTGTTTGCAAGCAAAAAAATAGAAACACACAATGAAAGTCTTGCACTGTCAGGCACATCCACAGCCATCACCTACTACCTTGATCCAGCAAATTCTGCGATAGAGTGGTTCAGGCATCAGCACAAGCAAGCAGGAGGTTGTGGGTTGGAGTCCCACGCAGAGCCTGTGACTTTTTCTCATCAGCTCTCAGACAACAGCGGGAATACAGTGCTTATATTTTAGCTGAAAAGTACTGTCTGGATCACTGCCAGGTAGCAGCTAAATGAATAGTTTTATTGATGGCGGTATGTAGCGAAGTTACATTTGTACTACAATGGCTTCTGTTCCCCATTTCTAAAATGAAAGCCGTTCCATAAACTGCCATTCCAGTACAGTAGTTTGTCAAACAGACTCCTTACCAACAAGCCAGTTTGGTATTTAACCTGCACACGCGCACAGCGATATTTGGTTCATTGTACATTCAGGATAATCGCACGCTCATCGAAGGCACATGAACGCACAAAAAGATGGTTGCACGACGCTCGCATGACACTCATGCGTTAATCAAGAGCAGAATGGGCATTTGCATAACATCATGTGACATTGCTCAGTGATTTTATCCTGAATGACCTTTGATCTGGACTACTTCATCGCGATACCGAACTGGCTTATTCATTTTACGTAACGTCAAATGAACGTGTGGGGGAAATTTTATCAAAAACAGTTTGTGACAGGATAGATATCTCTGAAAACTGAAGCATTTCGCTTACATTTGGACTCAAACATCTTGATGGCAATTGGCTCGGCAGCTCCGGCGTTGAGGAAAATCTACAGAAAAACATAGACAAAACCAAACATTACGTTACATGATTCTGAAAGCTCACTTATAAATGCAAGTCGCACAACTCTAAACGCTAGTTCATGCTCGGCCCAAAATGAACGCATATTTGTGACGTCATGGCAAGCAAATTGGCAAAACTTGAACACAATTCAATTCTGGTGAGTACTTCGTGGCGTAAAATTTGGTTGGCATTCGTGGGAAATATAAACCTGACTTAATGCAGCACTAAACATGGAATACAAATAATGTTTGGACTTCGAACAAAGAAATTGACTGGAGCAGGGTTTGAACCTGTGACCACTGGATTGCTGTTCCAGTGCTCTACCAACTGAGCTATCCAGCCTAATGTTAGTGGGGCCCCATTTGTCAATGTTTTTGTTCGAGGGGCGCTAGTCAGAGGAGCCATCACCCTGTATATGCCATGCAGCCAGGGATCATGCCCAAAGTCAAGATGCTAGCAACATTTATGCTACACACCTGAGAATAAGCAAATTGGGATCACTCAAAGAGGACGCAGCTTTTTAAAAATAAATTTTCAGGTTCGCATGTTCAAGCCCCGCTCCAGTTAATTTCTGTGTTCAACATTTGAAAATTATTATAATGCACCTAGATAGTTTCCCTCTCTGAAAAAGAGGAATATAAATCACGTCTTTCAAGAAAGGCTTTCTTTGGTGTCAGGATAATTACCTGCTTGATGGTTTCTTCAGTACTCTCAGGGTGTGCGTTGTAGAAATGCAAGACATGAGACGGGCGCTGAAGACGTACAGGAAGTTAAGGAAGAAAAATAGGTCAGCCCGTACTTGTCTATCTAATAGGGGATGCGTGCTTCAAGGGATACCTCACAAAGGTAAAGCTATATTTCAAAAATATTCTACCAATGTCTATCCCCTATCACAGTGTCAATAAACCACAGCTTTGACAAACAGTGACGTCACAGCTGCGGTAAATTGTGGTGTTGAAATACCTGGTGGCCATTGCTGTAATGTGATAATACAACACAGAGCAACCACCACTTCACTACCACATCCCTGATATGACCATTGACCCTAACCCCACTTAGTCGGAGTATCACCTGTTCTTCACGCAGCCCATCTCCGGTAAAACGTCTGATATATCTAAGCATGCGTGACGTCATTTCATTCCGAAAATCAGGACTAAGATTGTGATGGGTCAATTTCGCTGCCGCGTTTTTGTTATACAACAACCTGTACAAAAATGCTACTCATCGTGGGCGTGATGTTTACGCACACGGGGAGCCTGCATTACCCGCGTATAGAAGGCGCCTGCTGATTGGTCAGTTTCTCGAGGTCATACGCAGTCTAGTTGCATAATAAATCGCCGCATCTGTTGACGTATCAAAGACCATGGTCAGCTTCGCCAGGGCCAGGGTCTATTACATAGACTAAACCCCACTAGGGTGTGTGAAAAACCATATTACAATTGGAGGATTCAGAACTCTTAGGGTTAATAGGTACTTGAATTTATGTGGTACGGAAAATAGAATCCAGAGAGACAAACATAGTGGTATTTCTTAAAGGCCTTTTGTGGTGATACCGCAAATAGCCTGGAATCAAGTTCACCCTGCTTGTGTTTCTAGAAACAATCATCTTGTTTAAATTCACAGCTACAACTAAGAGCTAATAGCACCTGCTTGCTAAGCAGTTTTCCACATCTCTCTAAGACACTCAAGTACAAGTGAACAATTTGAAATTTCAACTAAAGCACTGTTTTTGGTGGGAGGATTTCAACACAAAGGATATGATTCTTGGCAGCCGCCTCCTTGTTCATGAACCTGTTGTTGCGGTTCTTGGAGAAGTCCATGTAAGACGGGGTGTTGTCTGGCAGGTTCCAGGTACCAGGAGGAGGGTTCAGGAAAGTCTGGTTGGAACATCTACAAAATAAAAATAAAAATAAATATATATGATATTTAAATACAAGGCTTCGCATTGCACCCTATGCTGGGGGTGGCAGCTTTGGCGCCTGTCGCCCGCAAAGCTGGCGAGATTCGCCTTTGCCGAATGTTTGCAGCCGAGACAGCAACTGGTGAACAACTCGTGAACATACACTCACAGTCTCACCTTCTATACCTAATGTGGACATTCCTGTGTATTCATATGGAGTAACGAAGTGAATACGTCACGCGCGCAAAATGTGTGTAAAAGACATTAGCGCGTGATTCTGTCCGTGAACCAACACGCGCGCGTCCTCCATTCGTTTGCACTACACTTTCTGGTTCTAAATTACGTCACATTTCGGTACTCCATAGTTCAGGAAAATTAGTTTACTCCCACTGTGAACATGGTGAACACTCTTTCAGTCCAATTTTTTATCATGATTTCCTTGAGTGTGCCTCCTCATTTTGCGACGGATACACCTAACCCCAAAATGCCTCTAAACCTGTTTTCCAGAGAGGGGGAAACCTAGTGTGGACGTGTGTAAGTCCACAAAGCGTTCATGCTTCCTGCACCCTATGGACCTCTTTTGTTCACAGGTCCAAAAAGAGTATGCCAGGTTAGAGCATACATACACACATACACCTGTTTTTCTTTATATTATAGCGGTGATACCATTTTCTGTAAGGGGAACACAGAACACACATGTTGGTCCCCAATACTCTCCATAGTTGGCAGGGCTTGAAAAAAAAAGGTTTCCTGACTGTCCCACACAAACGAAAAATTTGGTCATACAACCAGAAGTTCCAGGTTGCCGACTCGACATTTTTTTTCCTGCAACACTCACAAATTGTCATTGCATGTGAAAACTTCAACCTGGTACTTACGGATATTTTAAGAATAACATTGCACTTGTGAAATCCTGCATTGGATTGGATACAGGGTATCGAGAGATCTTATTCAATATTCCATTTAAGATAACGCACTTATTCACAGACTTGTGTTGAATATTAATGATAGTAATTACAAAATGCTTTTTCTGATTTTGCTACAACTTTGCTAAGTATGTCTGTCTGTCCTAGCATAAAAAATGTTTCTCAACCAATGCGTTTCCCAGATGCACCCCCCCCCCCTCCCCTTGATGCAAGATGATAAAAAACCTGGCACTTTAAGGTTAAGACACAAGGCCTTGTTTCTAAGATGATGACTGGAAGACTGAGGTTAGCATCTTACCCAAGCTGTATGGTCATGCCAAAGAATTCAATGTTGCTGAGATTGGTGATGGCTCTGCTGACGGCAAACGCATCGCCCAGATCCACCATGACCGTCCCTGGCTTGGACTTCATAAACTTCACCTGCAATCACAACCAAAGTTTTCATTATCACAACAAAAAAAACACCCAGGAAAACTTTTTCTTTTAGAACTTAAAGCAGGACTGTTCTCATGGTTCTTATCAGAACTAAAACTACTTAGCGAAAGTTGATAATTAGCAGGACAAGTTTTTTTCATAATCAAATATCTACTGAGCGACAGTAGTTATTACCACATGGTGTTTCCGCAAACCGAAACGTTACCGATACTCCACCATGCAAAACCTAAAATCTTAAAGCTTGTTTAAATCACAATTAACCCTAACCCACCTCACTCCTCCAAAATCCTCCTGGCGGTTTTGGAGGATTCTAGAGGATTGAGGATGAATGGTGATTGAATCAAATGAGGATTCTGGAGGATTGAGGATGAATGGTGATTGAAGCACATGAGGATTTTGGAGGATTGAGGATGAATGGTGATTGAAGCACAAGAGGATTTTGGAGGATTGAGGATGAATGCATTTTGAGGCAGGACTGTCTGATGATTTTGAAGGATTTGGCGTTGGTTATCCTTCATTTAAACACGAGTGCAAAGTTTTGGGATGAGGAGGATTTTGGAGGATTGAGGATGAATGCACTTTGAGGCAGGACTGTCTGACAATTTTGAAAAATTTAGGCAGAGTTGCAAAATTTTGGAAAATTTTGGAGGATTTTGGAGGATTGAGGATGGTTGTAAGCAACAAGGGCCTAGGGGGTTAGGGTTAAGTATATACAGGCATTGTACATAATACAGCCTTCAGGTACTCTTTTACAACTGACTATCATTGGAGTGATGGCCAGGCTTTACATGCATAAGCCCTTGATTTGTATGAGACAGAACAGTCCTCTTAGTGAATTCTGTGCCCAAGTACCCCTTAGTCAGTTACAAACACAGAGTTTTGAACGACTTGAAGGCATCACTGCTGTCTGACTGGCATTCGCACTAAGATGCTAGTGGTTTGTGCACGTTCACCGCTAGTATTTCCAATGGATGGCCCGCAGAGGGTGCTGGATAGACGTGACTGACTGATATAAACCCCCACTATCTTTGCGTGGGTGCCTGGCTTACAGCAATGGTGTCCAAGGTTTTGGCAAATTGTCACTGAGGGGGTTACATGTACTTTAACCCTAACCCCTGGAGCACTTTTACTAGAAACTTTATCCTGAATCTGCAAAAATCAACCAATTCTGTCATGCAAACAAATGTTGGTGTCCTGAGTCAATCAGAATCCACCAGTGCAGTACATATACCTCGTACACACCACACATATAGCCAACTGTTGAGATTCTGAATCCATCAAAGTCCCCCAACTGCTCAATATGGAGGTATCCTGAATCCATCAGAATCTTGCAGTACCAGTATGCCTACTGTCCTGCATCCATAATAATCCCCAAAAATTTTTCAAAATGGAAGTATCCTGAATCCGCCGAAATCCTCCAATACAGGGGTGTGGATTTTGATGGATTCAGGTACGTTAGGGTTAATATACACAGACTCTACATCAAAATAGCTTTAAAAAGGGTTTGTACCTTGTAGACGTTCCCAAAGGGGCAGAGGATGTTGAAGAGCCTCTCACAGTTCATCTTTTCCAGGTCAATGTTGTAGACCATGGCGATTCCCCCGTGTGAGGGCGCATTAGGGGGCAGCGGCTGCAGGGCCTGCTGGTCCTGCATGTGGCCGTACTGCTGTGGGTATTCACCGTGATCCTGGTACCCACCACGGCCGGCCCCACCACCACCACCACCGCCTCCGCCACCATGGGGTGGGCCGTAGCCCTGGTGGGGATCCTGGTAGTGTTGGGGCGGGGGTGGGCCTCGCATGGGGCCACCCCCTCCACCACCACCCCCCATTGGACCACCACGGCTGTCTGTAAAGAAAAGAAAAGAATAATAGAACTTCAGATTTAGGGACCTCTTAGAGTCTACTAGACTCCAACACAAGGAAAAAAATCTTGACTTAACCCTACAGACTAATCCGGCGACAGCCATTTTCTGAGGTGGCACCAGCTTCGCGCGAGTCGCGCGCAGGTAATATGCACGCAATCAGGGCTCCTCCAACCAATAGGGTTACCAATATGGGCAAATGCCTCGTCTTTAAGAATGTGAGCGACACGAGTGCGGACGTGGTGCCACCTCAAAAATGTGTTCCGTGATCAAAAGGTTGTGCATGCTTTTCAGACATTTTCTCAAATATTGTAATATCCACTGAGCTAAAACTTTCAACAGGTTAGGTTTTGAACGTTAGGTTTTGAACATTTGGTTTTGAAAATTTTGAGGGGTGTTAAAAGCAAAATGATCCTATATGCCTTGAAGAGTGCAGTTCACCTACCAAATCTAGGGTTTCCTCCCCCTCCTCCTCCACGCCGTGAGTTGGCCTTGGTGGGTCCGTTGTAGGTGGATGGCGGTGGATCGTCAAGTAAAGCATTGCCGCGACCTAGTGGGGAGGTGACAAAAGGAGTCCAGGCATTACACCGTCATTCCTTTCAAGTGCGTCCAGAATGCAAGCTATTCGTTACCCATGTCAAAGATCTCACTGAAGACGTGGAAACCATCCTCGTCAATTTTAATTTCTGCGACACATAATTCATTCCTTTCATGAAATTTTTGCATCAGGAAGCTTTTACTTGAAGAACGTGTTGCCCTAAGTTGCATTCTGTCTAAAGCTCGTCAAATGCATCCTCTTTCACAATTTATCAATCTATAACGGCATGTATAAAGTTCACACATATATTCCTGAATAAACAAAAACAATTGCAATTCTTTCACAAAAAGATGACACATGTGACATCTTAATTCCATTATCATTAATGTGTATACAAACCTGAGGTCCTTCATGCGTGATACTGTACATGTATATCAAAATTAGTTCCTACATATGCAGGTCTCCTAACAGTTTGCGAGATTAACATTAATAAAAGCATTCGAATGAACTTTTGGCAAGACGAAATAATTATCCTTACACACAGTCACGGTAAAGTGGTCACAATTGTACTAATATATTATTTTCAAAAAATCAAAAGAGACAGGGGGCTTAGCACCTTTATTATTTTATCAGAAACATGTAACATTAACAGTACTATTTCAATTTTACATTATTTTTCTAAACTTGTTACCTGAAGAACGTTTTGCAATGTGTGTCTATATAATCCCCTGCTAAACAATAAATTAGGGGGAAAACCCAATTATCATGACACAGTAAGCAAGAGAAGTTAAACAGTAGGTTGTACAGCCCAAATAGAGATGCTGCCAGTATTCAATTTGTAATTTTTACCTCCGTTACCAGGGTTCATCAAAAGGACAGCAATTCTTCATGTTTGCTCCCAAAAGATTTAGGCACGGATGTGGATGATATCCAAATGAACAAATGACCGACGACCAAGACAGCTGAGGTGCGAAGAGCGACGAGACGTCTCAGGAGCTCCTTGGGGTACCGTTACTGCGGGAGGGCTCGATGCGCTGCTGTTCAAGAGATGACTTTATTCACATCTCCCTGTACAATCTTTGGACAATCAGGGTTTATAGCATTCTGCAGTTAATGGGATGCGATCGCTTGAGGTAGGAGGCGAGGCATACAAGTGTTGCAGTGTAGATGGTGTCATACATGGATGCATGATTGAGGGTTGGCACGATCTACGTGCTGAACTGTGTTTCATGATGTCCTCTTCTCGTGTTCGGTGTAAGTGTTTTCTGTGTCTTATTGGGGTTTGACCATCTAGCTGGCTTGTTTCAGATGATGAACCTCGTGTCTTGTGTGGAACACAGTTATCCTGGTCTCTCTGTTGGTATATTTGGTTCGTATTTTATTCGTTGTGAAAAGGCAGTTGATGACAGATTTCATGAGCGTTTTGAAATAGACATTGAATATCGGCTTCGAGTCTGTGTGAAGTGCTTCAGCAGACATGTGCACATCTTCCGCCAGACTGGTGTTGGTTTTTCGTGTCACTGAGTAAATCCTTGGTCGACTCTTCAGTATGAAAGCGTCTGTAGATGGTTTCCTGCTGTCAATGTTAAGATGTTTGACTTTCTTCTGTAGCATGAAATTCAACTTTTCTGTGTCTTATTCTTTACAATAAATTGTTTACAATAAATTCATTCCCTTTTAGACATATATATGGTAGTAAATGACATACATGTAACTTGCGGGATTTCACACCAAGGTCAGTAGGAAATTGTGTTCAGGAAAAAGAGTAAATTCCAGCTGGGTCTGGGTTACGTGACCACTCTGATTTTAACTAAGATGTGAATTTCTAGGGTAGAATGTAATTGTTATCCTGATGTTTATGTAACAGATCCACTTCAAAGTACATATATTTTTTCCAGATGTGTTGCAAAATATTTTCTCCAACAAAGAGACGATTCTCAGATTTTTGTGATTTTTTGTATATTTCCAAATTTGACAGAAAACCTGTTTGCCTGGGTATTCCATGAGCTGTTTAATTGAAAAATGAAAGAGATTTAAAGCTATAGTCCATCATTTGCAGCCATCCGAAAAGTAACTGGCGTAATTATTGTTGAAAAACAAACTTGGTTGAAAGATAGTAAGGGACTAAACTCCCTGTGAAATTATTCTTTCTGGGAAGCTGTCATTTTGAAGTAATCAACGAAAGAAGGCATTTCCAACGGTGATTCTTAAGAAGCACCGTAGGAAAATTTAAATTAGTAGTTCGTTTTGTTATTCAGCGCAGGGCGCACAAGTATTGGAACGACGCACACGCGCGCGCGGTTGTTATAATTCGTCGGATCAGTGCGCGACGTCGCGTATAGCTGCAATTCAAAACAATTCAAAACATGATTCAGTAACTTTTGATTTAAAATTGAGATCTTAAAATGCTGTTTTTCTCGGAATATACATCAGCTGAAGCCGAGCTGAAACTTCATCAAGTAAGTTGTTCAGTATCCTTCATTAGATTTTGAACACGTTTGTTGCTTCAAACGAACAAAATGCACTAATTACAAATGATGGACTATAGCTTTAAAGGTTGACAATGGGCATGTTTCGGGAAAACTATTTTGAAGTGGTTTATCAAATTGTTTCAATAAACGACTGTGAAATCACAAGGTACATGTGCATGTATGAAAACAGCTTCAAGTTTCATATGAATTCTAAAATACATGTAACAGGGATAATACAACTATGTACGTAAGTATACCTGAGCTTCCATGTATGTTGACATGTTTGTACCATACCACATCAGTAAAAATGGCAGGCGTTGCCTTGCCTTGTTTAATGTTTTAAATTCCATGTCTTAGTTTGATTATGGTGTATCGTCTTTTTTTAACAAGCTCAGTTTACACGTACATGTACATGTTTAATTCGAAAGAATTCACAATACAAATATGACTTACATAAAGTAGTCTTGTATTCGGTGATGATATACACATTATATCACATTAAAAATGTACTGTTGTTTATTATCATTACAAACTATGCAACAGACAAATCATACAGGTGAAGTTGGTCAGAATCTTTATCTGAATTTATGGCCAACAGTCAGTTGCCGTGTCACGCATAGCCGCTCTATTTTTTCGTCCACACAACTGATAGCAACGCGACGCCAGCGAACGATGGCCGTAAAAAGGGCTTCAGAAAATTGGCAATTTTCATGGCAAACCACAACCGATCCAAACTAACAAAGTTGTTTTAGGTAGTTAAAGACCTACTTCATACATCTATCAAAGTATTTTTTTCTCAAAAAAAAGATTTCGATGCATTTTGACGATATTATTTCACGGACAAATCGACTAAAAATTAGGTCATGAAATTTCTGGGTTTTTTTCGAAAATGACGAAAGTCTCTCAAATGTTGAGGTAATCAAACGAAAGAGTGAACCTTCATCTGCAAAAAATCTTGTGAACGTGATGTCGTTAATATTTTAAGAATTCGATGTACACCTAATGTTTCCAACAACTTCCATTTTTCACAACGCAAAAAGATCGTCGCCATTGTAAAGCATAGAGCGAGGAACCCAAACTCGGTGTGACCTTGTGACCCATACGCCCACTGATTGGTCGAGCTCGCGCTCAAAGTATGGCCTGCTTAATATTCATAAGTCATTCATTGCGCGAATAGCGCGTGCTATTCACAATGTTTTCAGGCCTGTTATCAAAATAAAGCACACGATTTCAACTTTTCACTTATTTAGCCATCTTGGCCAAATAGTGCATGTAATCGAGGCACTTTTTGTGTTTTTCTGTAGTCTCGAATAAATCTAGTAAAATCTCGTGTACGCTTTGGGGCCATGCGTGCTTGACCTCGGGACGAGAAACTGAGGTCAAACAGGGCTGTGTGCGTGACACGGCTACTGACTGGCCAACAAGAAAGAGTATTTGATGAGTGTCAATTATAACATTGTCACATTCCTTCATTTCACTTTGCTTGAATCAATGTTTCAAGTCTTGCGTGACACAAGTGAGTTGCTGAACCCATATTGTTTGGTGGAGTTGTGCCCAGTGTTTACTGTGATCTACTCCTGGGCCAAGAGGTCGTTGTGTACATTGGATTTGTGACAACCTGAGAGGGCGTTATCACAACGAACCACTACCTGTATCACCCATGAACTGCTAGCAACGTCTTGGGAATATCGTAAACTCCCCCCCCCCCCCCCACCCCGGAAAATGGGGGCAACTACAATCCTGGCCAAATCTCGCTGGGCCCCCAAGCCCCGGCCCCCGTTCAATGTTGTCTCTCATTGCGCGGTGTGTGCTCCATCAGCTGGAGAGAACAACATTGACCGGGGGAGCGGGGGAGTGGGTGACCGTGGCAGGCTCAGGAAGTGTCCCAACCATTTTGGCCGGGATTGTAGTGCGCAAGCGCAGCAAATACCACAAAAGAGCTGCCGTGAATTTCCAAAAAAGAAAATATTGCTGCATCTTAATTTAATGCATCTGGATGAAATCTAAGAGTTTGGATCAGAGTAATTATGAAAGGCTTGGAATGCACCATTCATTGTGATAATGCCTTCTCGCGGTGGCAGGTTATCGTGAACCCGTGCACAACGTCTTGGCCCAAGACGACTGTAAATCGTGCCTTTATACACATGTTAAATCTTGGTGGACGGATTTGTGTTCAGATCCTAAATTCCTTTTTCTCTCTTTTTTTTTTTATTTGTCTATTCATATTTAAATATTGACAGATGAAGGTATTTATTTACGTAGGGCCATTAAATGATAAACATTGGGTAAATAATTGCGGGTCAGTCTTTACCATTCCAAATCACACAAATCAGCACTGGCTAATGTGACTTTACAATCAAAACTCGTACTGCATGTAACATTGTTGCATTGTAAGTACATGGTAAACTGTGCAAATTATACATGTAGGCCTATTTGTTATGTTCACAGAAAATGCATTAAAACATCTTCATTTACAGAATACCTGGTTCACTGACAGTAACTTTGTGCAAGTACAGCTGTGTGCAAATGAGTTTACTCAATGAAAAAACAACTTCAAAACTTGTACAATGTAGAGATAACATTCACATTTGTTTGTGTAGTTTCCGTTGTCCTTTTCACATGTTGTGTACACTGTTTGCTGAACAATTGAAAACACATTGCAAATGTGCTTGTTATGATCATGCTGAAAAAGACACAGGTACAAATGTCTGTAGAAACAATTTGACCCCAGGCTCCATTGTACAATCATGTACTGTTGCAGGGATACAAGTGGACTCTGGTATTTTTGCCTAAAATTTGAGGTACATATGTATAAAGGAAAAGTATATACACACACACATGTATGGTTCAAATTATTATTTACCATTTGAAAAAGGAAGCCTGATATCAGGCAAGTGCAGGACATACATCCCTGCATGTAGATACAATTATACAAATGTAAAAGGTATAAATGTGTTTTTGTCAGAAAATATAACAATGCTACCATGTCAATGTAAATTATGAACTACTGACTATACTGTATTTGTTCCCTTTAATGTCAAATGTGGGTATCTGGCGTAGTATATTGTAACACGTATTTGACATTGGTTTTGTTTTTAAGAGACTGAAAGGTAATATCTAACATTTGCTTTTGCTGTAATTTTCAGAAATGGATGGATTTAGGGCTAGTCTTTTGTAGCAAATATTGTTACACTGACATGTTTAAAGTTTTATGTTCATAGATGCTGGAAAAACCCAAGGAAAAAATGTTGTTCTTGTAGTCTAGTTCCCTGACCGTACTTCAGACATAATGGAGCAATTAATAATAGATGTCAGGGAATTGTCAGGTAAAGGAACCGACTAGCTGGCTTGCACATGTTCATGGATGTGTAACTGATTGCAAACAAAATGTGGACTACCTGAATTTTTTTCCCGATGGTCAGCCGACCATTGTTGAAAATTGATACAAACATTCTACTTTTCTTGAAACTCACAGCACTCTGGCGCCATGATTTCAGAGGATGCTTGAGACTATTATTCACTCACAGTCAAGTAAGGTATTTCATAATAATTAGGTAGTTTGTTTTTTGATGTTTGCAAATGCCGTATATTACCTTTAACAATATCAACGAAGAACTGAAAAAGACGTTGCAACGTCAAAAATGTAACGTACGTTGTAAATTCTGTAATACATACTCATAGAGTTGCATTAAACGTATAAGAAGAAAAGAAATGCTTAATTTTTTTTTTAAGTGTAAATGTACACAGATGTGATGGAAACTCCCTGGTTTATATTTGAATGAAAATATATCATGTGAATATATTACATATCAATAAATATTAATATAGATGGCAGATGTAATTCAACACTTGTGTGTGTGTTCTGAACACCAGACTAAAACTTACATTCAGTGATTGAGCAGAATAAATTGTATTCCAAACACAAGTCTCAATTTTGTGTGCATGGATTTGTAAAAGTTGCATGTTACGAGCTTTTTTTTTTAGGGGGAGGGAGACAATCATGACATAATATCACTTGTTTCAATAGTAGTGATAGCAGGGGGAAAGATACAAGGACAAAGAAAGTACAATTTGTGTTAAATGCGGGAATATTTAAATTATTAAAAAACTTCACAGCAAATTAATCAAATCAGAAAATAGTATTTTGTACATTCATTCAACAATGCACAAAAAAGAGTAAAATCGACCGTAAGAAAGGTCAGGAATATATGATGCTACAAAATCATATATCCCACAAACATCTTAACTCAACTTGAAAATTCCTAAATCCTTGCTCTTTCAATCTTTGCTTTTTTTTCAGTCCGCTGGACATGCTAGTTCCTTTCCCATGTTTGCGCAATGGAATAGACATACGCTTATCAGCAAAAAGACCATCACATGATAGCATTAGAGGTCTTACGAAAAATTGCTTATACAATGTACAATTTTGGCATTTCTGGAACAGCAAGCTTACCACTGTTACATGTGGCAGGTTATAGAAAGTCCATGCGATAGAAATAGGGCAAATTCTTAATGACGACTCGACAAAATGGTTTGGAGCAAGGTTTAACAACCATCCTTCACTCATCCTTCAAAAATTTGGCAAGAAATAAACTGAATGTACAGACTTACTTGGGGGCGCCAGACTGGCGTTGGTGTAGTCCCAGGTCTCATGATCATTCTTGTACACCGTCAGGGTCTGGGTCTGCATGGAGGAGATTCCAAATTTGAGTAACGAAATCACAGCTTTATTAGACCGAATTAAAATGAGGCTCAGCTACAGTGGGCAGGACACATTCGCGTGTGTGTACTGGTTTGTGCGAGTGTGGCACGAAGTATGCACGACTTGGGCCAAATATTAAAAAAAAACAAATGTTTAGCGTCCCCGCCCACTTTTTGGAGGCCGCCTCCTGTTTTGTTTTTTTTAAACCGAAAAAATGATAAATGTTTAAACAGTGACATCATTTTGGCCTCTTTGTCTATTGCATCTAGCCCATATAAAGCTGGTATGTCATTTCCTGAGTCCAATGGCGGCCAATAAAAAAACCTGGTGGCCATCTTAAAAAATAGCCTGGTAGGGCCGCCATTTTGGAGAACAAAAGTAGTTTTATTTGGCCTTATTTTAAATGTGCATAAACCCATACATTGTAGCATCTTGTGACGTCATCAGCAGTGCATTCAAATGTCACTTCCAGTGGTTTCCCAAACCCCCCCCCTTGTACTGTTGCAACTGTTAATCCTGCCAGAGTCTGTGGTCACTGCACGCAGCAGGATACAACTGTGGTATCAATAGCTCTCGTTGTTTCAGAGCTGGCCATTCATGCACTGGTGTTGGTAGCTGAATGCATCAAAGTGCATCAGTTCTGTTCCACCTGATGCACTGTGTTGCGTCTGACAGGGTTAGGGTTAATTAAGGGGGTAACTCGTGTATGGAGTCCATAGCGTTTGAGTAGCTGCATCAGATTGCCATCTCCAAGGGTTGTCTACCTCCAAGGGTTTGTTTACCTCCACGAGGGGGTTCAGGTTGCAAACAAATTGATTGGCAATGAGCAAATTGACAATGAGACTAATTTCTCTTTGGGTGTTTTCCAAAGTATTTCAATCTATTACTGCCTTTTCAATTTTTATATAAAACTAAGGTTGTATCACAGATGAAGCCAATTTTCCGAAGACAGGCTTTGCCATGGAATCAATTCCGTTTAACGAAAAGTATCAATTTTCTCTTGATTCTCACAATACTTCAAAGTACATGCAGGAGTTGTTTTGAATTTACATTCCCCGTTCTCTTCAACACATTCAATTTTTTTTTCTAGTAATAAATTTCAAATTGTACGTTTTATTCCAACAAAAAAGAATTTCTTATTCCTTGGATGTCTGCAAACTTCTGAAAAGAAGAGTTTTGTGTTTGGCACAAACAGATCCAAGAGAAAGGGAATTATTGTCTGGCAGCCAAAAACAAAAAACTGAACTTGTGAAGTAATAATTCAATAACTAAACATACGCTGATTTTTTTCAACCGATGTCTCATTCAAAAGTGAATAACTTCTGTATTGCTAGAAAAAGAGCAATTTAGAAAAGGAATCTATTTTTCAGGATGAAACTCAAAGATAGCATGGGAAATGTTTCTTTAAATCATACCCATCAGATCCTTGATAATCCCCAAGACATTTTGGTTTATAATGGTCACACAAGAACTCACCCTGGCAAATTCAACTCTCAGCGTGCAGCAACCAGAGTAGATGTCACAGCCCTGGAGGCCCTTCTTAGCCTTGGTGGCAGACTCGATAGATTCAAACGTGGTCAACAAGTTAAGGTTAGACATGCAGTACACCCAGAAATGTCAATTGTGACTGGAAATAAGACTAGGAGCTAACATTAATTGCAATCGCAATTTCTGATACAAAAAACAGGAAATTACCTTATGGCTGCCAATTATTGTAAACTTCCAAATGTATGAATTCCAAGCCTAGGGAAAAAAACTGCTTTTATTTCTAAATCAAATTGGATCCAAGTTCAACTGATATAAAAATTCCATGACATGAAATGGAATTTCTGGGTGGAGTTTTAGCTACAATCTAACTGCAGTGAAGAGGAACGCCAGAACGACTTTTGCAACATTTTCCCCAATGTACATCCTGTTTGTCCTGGTTGTCAGAATATTTTTCTCGCAAAAGGTAGAGTACATCATTTGTAGTTTGTGCATTATATATTTGTTTGAATCAACAAAACTGCTCAAAATCTAAAGAAGGGTGCTGAACAACTAAATCTGATGAAGTTTCAGCTCAGTGAATGCTGTATATTCCGAGAAAACAATATTCTAGGATCTCGATTTCAAATCCAAAGTTGCAGAGTCATGTTTTGAATTGTGCCCAAATTCAGCATCCGGGACACGTTCTCATTCAGCTGATTGCAGCTACGCGATGTCGAGCACTGAACCGAGGAATTATAGAGGGCGCGCGCACGTCCTGTCAACATTTGTGCGTGCTTCGCCAAATTAAAAATGAACTATTAACAGAAATTTCCAAAAATGCGTCTTTAGATGCATCGTTGGAAAGGGCCTTCTTTCATTGCTTTCTTAAAAATGACAGCTTGCCAGAAAGAATAATTTCACTGGGAGTTTACTGCCATTACTATCTTTTAACAAAGTATGCTTTTCAACAATAATTTTGTCAGTTGATTTTGGACAGCTGCAACTGATGGACTGTACCTTTTAATAAGCTGACATAAATATATTTCTCAACGAGGCCAAACTGGTATAACTGCTGCTGAACTAGTGAAATGATGACAAAAGCTACAGATGTACAAATACTGATAAATAAAAAAAACATGTTAGGAATTTGTAGGGGGGGGGCAAAAGGATATTCCACCATGGACTGGATGCCATTCTTCCGGAAGATGACAATACGTAGGACCTCACCAAAGCCCTTGCAGATAGTGTGGATCACGTCCTGCAGGTGTGAATACCAATAAATGGGGGTCAATATTATGCATGTAAAGGCACACAACTCACACATATCATGGCAACGTTAAATTTTATGGTGAATGGGGTTTATCCAATATAGCATTTATGCCTTCAATGGTATATATGCAAGTGGAATCACTTGCATGTTATAAATATATCAGATTATAATGACTAAAATTCAATGCAAAATTTGCGAACATTAGGGTGTGTGCATTGTACATTTGTCTCCACGTGCATCCTTCTGTTTTGAGGCGTGCGATCACACCCCCACGCCATCACACGCCTAAATGCTTCCTGAGAAGTGCGAATAATCACACGCCTGAATCCCTCAGTACCGCACGCCTCGGCATACATTTACGAAATAATTATACTTTACAATTTGTGAAAAATAAAGAACGTCGGTGAAGAGAATATGGCTTTATTGTAAACCAAGATCAATATTTTGAAAAACAATACCAGATTGTTCAGTCCCAGCTTGGACCACAGAATCACACGCCTAGAAAAATCACACGCCTAGAAAAATCACACACCTAGAAAAATCATATGCCTAGAAAAATCATACGCCTAGAAAAATCACACACCTAGAAAAATCCAGGTGTGTGTTTTTCCACATACGTGTGATTTTCAAATCAGACAGACTGTTTAAAATTTAAATAAAGCTCTGTATTGGATTTCTGTTCACTTTGAATTAATCAGACATCTCTAAAACCAAAAAAAGGAAAAAAAGAGTCTTGTGGGTGAGGGAAATATAAAACAATTACTATACCCCATACATATTCATGATCAAGAGCCGAATTCCCACTGATCTATTCACCATCACGTTCCAGCCGCTATTTTATTGTTATAGTGCAACTGAGTATGTATGAGGTATAATAAAACAAATACAATATGGTTTATTTTGAGTGGATAGCCGCTATTAGCTCCCTCGGTATTGGAAGTTGACAAACTACATTGTAGTTTGTCAACTTCCAATACGGGGAGCTAATATCGACTATCTACCCTCAAACCATGTTATACTTGACTAATATTGACTGCTTTAACTTGTTTTACAGTAAAACTAGTCTCCCACAGAATCCAGGAAGCGTTCTATTTTCCCTCAGCTTTACGCTCCATAGATCACCTTGAGAGGCTAGTTTTACTACACCACTTGAAGCAGTCACTATTCTTACAATCTACTTACGGTGTTGATGGTATAGAAGGGGTTGTGCACAGTCAATAAGATGACTGCATTGGGTATCTCTTCAGGCATGTCCGGTGCGTTCTCACTGTCAAACGGAAACACACCAACCATTACATTTCAACTTTTAAATGAAGCAAGTCAAAGATATGACAGGGACTATAAGGCCAACAAAAAAATAGTTCTGCTTCTGATTACATGGCATTCTGAAACAGGGTAGGTAGGTAGGGAATTTTTTTTTTTGCCAATTTTGTTGTGTACAATCATATGGAAGATCTGCGTGTAGTCAATGGTAAAAATTAGAAATTGATGGTTTTGTGGTTTTTTTCCCTCATTTTTCCCATAAAAAAAAATTAGGGTAGGGGCTGTCAGAATAGGTTAAGTAGGGAAACCAGAAGAGGAACTATTTTTTTTGGCCTAAGCATTTATAACTGATGTCTTGAAGACCTTACGACCCAAACTGTTATAAAAATCGAACACACGGTTTCTGAAAAATGTCAAATTGTCAACACTGGGCATTAAAAAAATCACTTGTTTTCCATTGACTGTGTAGAGGAAAATGCATTCAAAGATGCTATCACCAAATATTAATTATCATAATTACCAAACACTGTTTCCGATTGAGCTATACCTCAATCTAATCTTGACTCTGTCTACTAGCATGCCAAATATCATTGCATTTCAGATTATAATTCTACTAATTCATCTAAATCCAATTTCCTGAAATACTGCAATTTTTTTTTCTCCAAATCCCAACACATACAGGGTGTCTCAAAAAAAATTAGCAGTCAATCCATAAATATTAAAAATATCAGCACTCTCTTTTTGCAAAACTCATCTATAGAGTCTGAAGGTGCACTAAATACTCTACACAATGGCCTCTATCCCATCTCATTTGAACACCCCCGTCCAGAGATACAACTAATTAAATAAAAAGACTTGAATTCCAAGTTGGGCCACTTTGTATCTAATGGAAGACATTCACATACCAAGAAGGTCAAGAAAGTGGCCCTAACAGATTTTGACAGTCTTTCCAAGCTCTGCCGTAACTTTTATCAAAAGGTCCAAATCACAGAGAACAATTTTCATGTGAAGGGTAAAGAAACACTCAATCATATCATGGCAAAAAGAATATTAAAAATTTAACGATTTAGTTTCCTCAGATTTTTTTTTGTTTGACTGCTACATTTTTTTTGGAGACACCTGCACATATTTCAAGTGTCGTTACTACTTACCCTGGTCTCTTGATGCGCTTGCTGGTGGAAAAATTGATGACGGCGGGAGAGCCAGCTACATTGATCACATTCTCAGAGTGATTCTGTCAAAGAGTCAAGACGGATTGTTATAACCAATTCATAGATTGTTACACTAACAATTGAATTTGAAGACTGTTGGCATATCGCAGCCTTTATTCAAATAAGGACTGGAACATTTTCGCACTTTATTATTTCGTATCATTATTGTTTCTTCTTAAAGTGGCATACCTGGGTGTAATCAACACAAGCTGTGGCTGCCTCAATGTCCTCAAACTCCACCAGAGACTGGCCTTTCCCTGTCATCATGTAGACATAGCTGTGGGAGAGTTTACAAAAGCAATGGTGAGCATTCCGGGTTGTGGAAAAAAAACAGAACTAATTTAACCATGTCTGGCAGCTTCATCACATTTCAAGGTTGGACACTAATCACAGAAATATGACATGTACCTGCAGGTACATGTACATCCAGGACTGGCAACTGGGCTTTTTGCATGTGCTTGGCTGATCCACCTGAAGCACTGCAAGAATTATGCTGGACTCATTGCAAAAACTGAGAGGAATTTAAGAGTTGTAACGGCATGGCTCATTACCAATTTTGAGATCAATTGCATTTGTGCATTTACCATTTACATGCGTAATGCTGTGAAATATTATTGACTGATCTCCTAAAAGCCACTGAATTTTCAAGCAAAGGGAACGTTAACCCTAACCCACCTCACTCCTCCAAAATCCTCCTGGCGGTTTTGGAGGATTCCAGAGGATTGAGGATGAATGGTGATTGAATCAAATGAGGATTCTGGAGGATTGAGGATGAATGGTGATTGAAGCACAAGAGGATTTTGGAGGATTGAGGATGAATGCATTTTGAGGCAGGACTGTCTGATGATTTTGAAGGATTTGGCGTTGGTTTATCCTTCATTTAAACACGAGTGCAAAATTTTGGGATGAGGAGGATTTTGGAGGATTGAGGATGAATGCATTTTGAGGCAGGACTGTCTGACAATTTTGAAAAATTTAGGCGGAGTTGCAAAATTTTGGAGGATTTTGGAGGATTGAGGATGGTTGTAAGCAACAAGGGCCTAGGGGGTTAGGGTTAAGGTTATGGCACAAGTCACAATGAAACTACATTAACCCTAACCCTGCCAGACGCAGCACAGTGCATCAGGTGGAAAAGTCTGGTGCACTTTGATGGAAAATGCTACCAACACCAGTGCAAAAACCGGCCACTTCTGAGACACTGAGGGCTAGTCCCATAGAACAATGCCCGAGTTGTATCCTGCTGCGTTGGGGGACCACAGACTCTGAGGCAGTTTGGCCTTGAGACTTTTGACCTGATGGATCTTGCTACACTGGGCAGGCTTGTCACTTAGACAAGTGTTGCATGTTGCTGCGTTTGGCAGGGTTTCTAGCCAAAATACCCTGGAGGGTTAGGGTTAAGATTTGAAGCTGTGGTGATGTGATGGAGGCTGGTGAGAGCATACTGTCTGAATCGTTGAGTTTCCCCCAGTTATTTTTAGAACCACTGAAACACACACACACAATCAATCAATCAATCTTACTTTATTTTTCACATAACAATGCAAAAGTATACCAAGAAAATCATAAGATCACAATAATGTGGATGGGGTCTCTAAAAAGCACGGCTTGTCGAGTAGTGAACCCCCCCCCCCCAATGAATTAATTAATTAATTTAATTTAAATTACAACACACAGATTTCTTGCAACATAGTGCAACTGCAAACTTACTGTTATTACTGCAAATGTTGATGTTATGAATTCTCTTCCCCTTTCACTTTCAGTATTGACCAACCCTGAGTATGATATTCATCGTTATTTATTATATTTTAACTCTAACCGCCCTAAATCCTCCAAAATCCTTTTGCAAATTGAAGGAATTTGCAGGATTGAGATTACATGGCAAAAGTGCGTTGCTGATTTCGGATTAGCACTGTGTCAAGGTCTTAGGCCGGACCTTGTGTTGTTTATGCTTAGCCGTGCATAAATTTAGTCCTTGATTATACTTGACATCCTCCACACTGCTCCAGGATGTCACTGCCTCTGCCTCAGCCTATTGACAGTCATACCGGTAGCCGAAGATTTTGCAGGATTCAGGCAGTGGTCACCCCTCCATGGACCATATTCAAGAAATAACGGAGGAATTTGCAGGATTGAGGCTACATTTGTATATGCCATTTTTCCATGAGGCCAATTGGAGGATTTTGCAGGATTGAGGCTACATCCTAGTAAAAAGGCCTAGGAGTTAGAGTTAAGGCCCCCCCCCAAAAAAGTCGGTCTCTGGTCAGCGCGCGCGTCGATTTTAATCATGCGCGTCGATCTTTTTTTTTTTCAAAATGTTCCGCGGTAGCTCCAACAGCGCCCTCTATTTCCGCACCTCCTCATTTTTTTTTACCAAAGAGCACCAAGGAATGGGAAATTGCACCAAGGCAAATGATCGAAAGCACCAAGGCAAATTATGGAGGACACTAATGTACATGAGGACACCAAAAAAGCAAAATAGTACCCACCTTGTCTGTACAATCCTAGCTTCAAGAAAGAAAAAAAAAGCAAAAAAAAAAGCCGCGTGGCCGCATCAATTCCGGAACTTTGGTCTGACCAGAGACCGAATAATTTTTTTTGTTGTCCTAATATCATCCAACTTTACCTGATGGGACCAAAGAACTGCAGCGCCTCCACTAAGTCACCATCAGTGACCCGCTCGCTGAGACCACGGACATGTACTACCTTGGAGGTCATGAGTTTGTGGTCATCATCAAAACGGTCCTGAAAAACAGTGGGAATTAAGAAAAGAAAATCAATATTCTAAATTAGAACGTATGGGTTGGTTGAAACGGTAAACTTCCATGAAACTACCTGTTGGCAGCATTCTATTGAAATGAAACACATCACTTTTTTTTTTTTAGAATCGAGCAGAATGTTGACAGTAGGATTGTGCCATGTGCTTAAAAACCACAATTCCCCATACCACCCCAGTACGTTATGTGCAACACTAAAACTTGCCACTGAAAAAATGGAATTGAAAAAAAAAGGTAAGTGTTGTTTCAGCAAAACGAAAAATTTCACATAGGGATGTGTGTTTGTGAATTGTTTTGCTGAAAGAACGCACACTTTTTTTGGTGATCCGTGGACAGAACTTTAAAACGGTGGTTGTGTTTAAAATTCCGTAACTGGAAAAGTACCTGAGTGATTTGAATGATTCTTATACTAAAAGAAAGCTTATGAATTGGGCTTACATATCCTGGATTTTGAAAGAGCTACATACCAAACTTCACTAAAACAATAGTCCCGACATTTGGGCTTCGTTTTTTTTTTTTACTCACCCTGTACATGTAGTCATACAAAGCCTCACTACATGTACATGTAGATGAGCACCACTGATTGCAATGCATGTGCAACATACGACACTCATAATGTGTCCATTCCATATTGTTTCAAAATTCAAGTCACTCCATGCATAGGAAAAGAAGTCTGCTGGAGCTGTGCAATACCTGTAGGCACTAGGTAGCACTAAAGGAACTACATTGTACATGTAACCACCCATGTTAAATGCTAACTGACTTTTATGTGCATTCCTCACTTTCATTCAGTTAATAGGCTACACCCCTGAGCCTCTTTTTCTGTTCAACACATATGTGAAGTAGGCAAAGAATGCATTGTAATTTGTACTCTATAATCTATTGTCTGTCAAAGGCACAGCGCAACCAATAAAGCCTAGGCTGGAATAATTTTACTCACCCTGTACATGTAGTCATACAAAGCCTCACTACATGTACATGTAGATGAGCAGCACTGATTGCAATGCATGTGCAACATACGACACTCATGATGTGTCCATTCCATGTTGATTCAAAATTCAAGTCACCCCATGCCTAAGAAAAGGAGTTTACTGGAGTTGTGCAATACCTGTAGGCACTAGGCAGCACTAAAGGAACTACATTGTACATGTAACCACAAAATGCTAACTGACTTTTATGTACATTCCTCACTTTCATTCAGTTAATACACCTCTGAGCCTTTTTTTTTGTTCAACATATATGTGAAGTAGGCAGAGAATGCATTGTACTCTATAATCTATTGTCTGTCAGTGTCAAAGGCACAGCGCAACCAATCAAGCCTAGGGTGGAAATAAAAAAACATTGAACGTTTAATCACTCAACAAGCACAGTACGCGATTAAAAGCTAGAGTAGTGTGCATGAATGGATCTCATTTTACCCTACCACAGTAGAATCAGAATTCAGAATATTCATTGAAGTGATGGATTTGAGTAACAATTAGCTGTGCTGTGTGGATGTGAAGTTTTGAAATCTTGAATACAAAGAGACAATGAGTCTTGCTGTGTGGAATGTGGTGAAGTGTGGCAGAAAGCCCACATGCTTGCCAACACAAAGACAGTGAAGAACTTTGTTAACCCAGCAGGATATGTGGCACCCCCCCCCCCCCCCCCAATCTCCCTACACCCTATACACACCCCTGGACTATTGTTACCTAACACATACCCCCCCCCCCACAAACGAGGGGGGGTTTCCCTCTGTCACATATCATGCTACATATTGAGCCAAATAAAATTTAAAAAACATGTTTAGCGTTCCCGCCCGCTTCCTTTTTGGAGGCGGCCTCTTTTTGTTTTAACAAACAAAAAATAAATTTTAAACAGTGACATCATTTTGACCTCGCATGTAGCCCATATAAAGCTGGTATGTCATTTCCCGAGTCCAAGTGGTGGCCATTTAAAAAAAAAAGCTGACGGCCATCTTGAAAAATAGCCTGGCCGGTTGTTTTGAAATAAACAAAAAAAGTAAGCGTGTAGTTACATAAAATATAATACTCATTTCAAAATGTACACGTATAAAATGAGTAAGACTTTTACTTCGCTGCTTTAACATGTTCGACTGTGTAGCCATGGTCCATAATTGTAATTCTGTAATTTTTTTCATGAGACCTTGAATGAAATTTAAATCGTCTCGATTTTCGTCACTGTTTTCCTTCACAAACTACAATATTTTAAATAAAGAAGGTTGGGCGGGTGAGACATGATATCAAACTAAACATATTTTTTAAGTGGCCTTGTAATGTGGAAGGGGAACAGGCTGTTGGGGAGAGGATTACTGTAGGATTTATGTCCATAATTGTAATTGTGTAATTTTTTTTTCATGAAAGCTTGAATGAAATTTAAATCATCACGATTTTCATCATTGTTTTCCTTCACAAACTACAATCTTTTAAATAAAGATTTGAAGGTTGGGCAGGTGAGACATGGTATCAAACTAATATCCAAACAAAAACAAAAATAATAAATAAACCCGCTAATTTCTCTGCACTTTATAACCCTTTAATATTTGAAAACCACCTTTGCCCATAGAGTTAGAACTGGCATCATGCGGTATTCGCGACGGAAACCTCGCCGATAAACGGTTTTCACTTTCCATCCAGATTGTAAGTAAACCATTGTATCTCTATCTTAATCATCGTATCTCAGTTGGTGTATTTAGTAATTCTGTGGCCGTTTTGAGGGTGAAATCTGATGTTTTTGATGGCAGTTGGTTGGGTGGTTAGTTATTCCTAATGTTAAAACATTTGTAGGGTCAAAGTTACTCGTACTTCACATCATGTATGATAACGTTTAAACCGGGGCTCTAATATAACCAGGAAAAAAAATTGTAATAGCACACCGTTACAATCTTCTTCTTTCGTTTGTTGGGAAAACAGTTCAGATATCAACTTGCAGTTGGGTCAACCATAATTTGGTCTCCTGGTCCAAGTTAGTTAGACTGTCTGTTCCATATGGAGATTGGTAGATTGGGCAATCGGATAAGAAAATGGTCTGCAGTTTGGTCTGTAGTCCCACATTGGCAGGTGGCAATGTCCGCGAGGCCCCACCCAGCCATGTTGGCTCTGAAGCGCGCCCCACGCCAGTTCGAAGGCGGTTTAGGCCTCCCGTGTTATATCACTTCCACTGACATTGGTGTGGTCCTCGACGAACTGATGTAAGCGTGTAGTTACATTAAATATAACACTCATTTCAAAATGTACATGTAGGCCTATAAAATGAGTAAGACTTTTTCTACACTGCTTTGACATGTTCCACTGTGTAGCCACTGATTTTTGGAAAGAATGTTACAACCTGACGCCACTTCAGTGGTTGTAACTTGTATACAAAGTCTATGGAGAGTCAAGAACATTTTCTAGGTATTTCCTAACAAAATTGGAAATATTTCTCAGTCCCAGATTCAGGTCTTATCACCATTTTAGCAATGACTGCAAATTTTTGCAATGAGATGTTTATATCCTCGAGTCACCATAATTGACGCAGATAACACTTGCAAGGCGCGCGCGTTGTCTGACGCAAATTTAATGCGAGTGCGTCAAAACATATCCTCGTCATTTAAGGGGGTCTGACGATATAGAAAAAAAACAGCGTCAGGTTGCAACATTCTTTCCTGATTTTGAAATTAAATTTATGGGGTGATTTTCGAGTGGCAGGCTTATTAATATAATGTACTCCTAGAACTATGAGGCTCCGCGTGAGCAGAGCCTCATAGATCTAGAAGCCCGCAAAATTGTCTGCAGCACAAAACACTAATAAAGTACAAAAACGTCCATCAAAATGCAGACATTTCACACAGAACCGCTGCACAGTTTGCCCCTATACTCCGTACTTTACCTCTTGACATACTCACGTATCATGGGCAGAACTAACATAGGTGGATTCTGTCGGTTTTTAGGCCAAAATGATGAAAAATATGCCCTTTCCGCACTGAGCCAACCGAACACTTGAAACGTGCATGCATATGATCGAGCGATGATTTTTGGTTCGCTCGGAGCGCGCCGCGGGGAGTACGGTACAGACGAAATGATAGTATGAGCATGCGTACAAGTGCATGTACCGTACCCCCCGCGAAAATCATCGCTCGATCATAATGCGTGCACGTTTCAAGTGTTCGGTTGGCTCAGTGCGGAAAGGGCATATTTTTCATCATTTTGGCCTAAAAACCGACAGAATCCACCTATGTTAGTTCTGCCCATGATACGTGAGTATGTCAAGAGGTAAAGTACGGAGTATAGGGGCAAACTGTGCAGCGGTTCTGTGTGAAATGTCTGCATTTTGATGGACGTTTTTGTACTTTATTAGTGTTTTGTGCTGCAGACAATTTTGCGGGGTTCTAGATCTACGAGGCTCCGCTCACGCGGAGCCTCATACATAGTTCTAGGAGTAAATATAATGTAGGCTAATTCAGTCAACAAGGTCATCAGGTCATGAAGGTCAAACCGTCAATGCTATGCAACATTTGAAATTTACTAGGGCCTAGGCTAGTCCGAGTAACTTGGACCCAACTTATCGCCTTTTTAAAAATTTGGACATGGTCTGGCGATAGTAGGGTCCAAGTCCATTCCGAGACCTAGACAACACAGTCACTGACAGTCCCAAAAACCAACATTTTCCAACAAAAAACATCAGATTTCACCTTCAAAACGGCCTCCAAATTACTAGATATGTCACCTGAGGTACAAGTAGACATCGATAATTAAGATGGTTGTACTGAAGTTTACTTACGATCCGGAAAAAAAGTGAAATTTTCCGTTCATTTCGGAGAGCTCCCCTCGCGATCTTGAACACGTTAAATTTGCGATCGTGTTTAAAGTTTGAACGACGCGATTTCTTCTACATGCCCAGCGTACATTGGATGGTCCCCGTATCCCGAGTGCGATTCCGTTACCGAGCGCGCGCGATGCATCGATTATGATAATGATCACGTTTGTAAACACATACATGTGCATTTCGAACTGTAAAAGGGAATCGGGAACCAGCTTGAACTGGTACCCGCTATAAAAGCTGCGCTAGTTCCCGACTCCCTATTATCGTTTGAAATGCACATGTGTTTACAAACGTGATCCAGTCTACTCATTATCATAATCGATGCATCGCGCGCGCTCGGTAACGGAATCGCACTCGGGATACGGGGACCATCCAATGTACGCTGGGCATGTAGAAGAAATCGCGTCGTTCAAACTTTAAACACGATCGCAAATTTAACGTGTTCAAGATCGCGAGGGGAGCTCTCCGAAATGAACGGAAAATTTCACTTTTTTTCCGGATCGTAAGTAAACTTCAGTACAACCATCTTAATTATCGATGTCTACTTGTACCTCAGGTGGCATATCTAGTAATTTGGAGGCCGTTTTGAAGGTGAAATCTGATGTTTTTTGTTGGAAAATGTTGGTTTTTGGGACTGTCAGTGACTGTGTTGTCTAGGTCTCGGAATGGGCTTGGACCCTACTATCGCCAGACCATGTCCAAATTTTTAAAAAGGCGATAAGTTGGGTCCAAGTTACTCGGACTAGGCCTAGGCCTATACAAAATAACAAAGTTAATATGAGAACCCCAAATAGGATGACAACCAAAAATCAATGACTGTTGTTGGTCACGGAGGACATGAAGAATCGTACAGTGAAAGCGCCCTCTACGGGCAAAGGACAAGTGACTCCTAGAAATGATGCGGGCAATGTCGCGTCGTTTGCATTTGCAAGTGCCGACAGATGTTCGACAAGAAAACATAACTATCGAGGTCCATTTACACAGTCAAAAATATGACATTGTTCTCCAGACATCGAACATGAAAATGACGCAAATTACCCTGGTTCCAGACTGCACACCGCGCCCGCCGACTTCAGTTCTTTGACGTTTTGTAGCGTGTCCCTCGAAAGTCGCCATCTTGCATGTCATATCACGATAGCTGCGCATGCGCAGCGTGTAAATCGTGACGTACGGCGATGGTATACCGCCCTCTAACTGCCTTTTGGGAAAAAGTTTATCAGCAATTGTGGGAGGGGAAATTGGGGGGGGGGGGGTTCAGCGCAAGGGCCAAACAGCAAAATGGGAAGATTTGCATATAATCAATACATTTCATTGCCTTCAACTGAACATGTATCATTTTAAAAAAGAGGATTATTACAAAGTAATTACAGACAAAGATAAATATTTTTTTTCAGTTGAACGGTTAAATTTATTTTTATATGTACAGTCTTGAAATATACATTGTATAATACACATTTGCAAAATTACATTGAAGTGAATGCTGCATTTTATAGACTTAACTTTAACTTGTATTCACTACCCTTGTGAGAGGGGAAAAAATGATCTTGCCCCTTTACCCCAAATCTGATTTCCGATAACTAATTTTCATGCAAATCCACTCACCATAAAATAAAAGTCATGCCATCTACAACTGAAAATAGTAAAACATGTCCATTAGAATTAAACAACAAAAAATAGCAATTGTTTGCAACATAAACTAAATGGATCCATCGTATCTGGGCAGTTACACATTCCCAAGCATTCCATATCTGTCATATCAATCATACTCCTTTTTCTTTTCTTTTTTATTTAAATATAGCCTGTTGTTCAAAGCACACATTTACATGTATCCAGGTTTTCTCTTTACTTTAAAATCAATTAAAAATTGTATGGCTCTTGCATGATAATCATGAGAAAGTCCACCTGATAAGGAATTTCCAAAAGGAATTATTCCGAAAAAAATTGGCAATCCTCCAAATCGTTCATTTTTTTGTTGAAAACACATTGCCACTGTATTACTTCTTCACAGCATATGAATATTCCCCTGAAGATAAAGGATTTCCAGAATGAAAAATCTGAATACTTTTAAGTCTGATACTTGGTTGATTGCTGTAATTTTGTCCCGAAATGAATATTCCTTTGTTTCCTTTTATAAATCTAGTGATCTTAGCACTGTAAAGAATGAAGTTTTAAACAGCCAAAGCTAACTTTAGTCATGCCTTGTAGAGTGACTTGTCAAAAGTAGTCACATCTGGTCTAATTCACTTACATGTAGTGTGAGAAGGAGAGGCAAGGGGGTGCCGAAGCTAACAATGTCAAAAGTTGACATGAGTGGTCATCCCGCTGAACGACAGGTTTCTTTGTTGAGCTCTGTGCACTAGTAGGCCTCTTCCACCCCAACACACAAAACAAATCAAAGCATGTAGCACATTTGCTTTTAATGCGTTTTGTTTGTTTTCAATAAAAACACCGGTCAAAATGCAAAGAAGAGTGTTCAAAACTTAACCTGTTGAAGTTTCAGCTCAGTGAATATATTGCACTTTTCCAGGGAAAAAAGTGAAAACATGCACAACCTTTTGGTCACAAAACAAATCACCTAAATTTCTTGATTTCTTCTAAATGACAGGTTGCTTAGTGCCAGTGCGATATTTAATCACAGAAAACTTTGTATATAATCATTTGGTAGGTTACTCTGGGATAAATTCAAGCGATCCTATGTGCCTTTAACCAGTTTGCGCCAGGATTATTTTGACAAGAACGGAGTGAGGCGCAGGATTAATTTTCACTCGACCTCAAGCCAGGCGGGTTGGAGCCATCACCCTCGTGTTTATCTGTCATCCGTACCGAATACCGCAAAACCTTTGCATGCATATACGTCATCCGGCACGAACTGGTTAAATATTGTACACTTCTCTGGCATGTGGTGATTATCAAATCATTTATGTTTGACGAAAGTGTCTGTGCACAGTTCTTCACTCTACACTGGTCCTCCTCCCCCCCCCCTTCATTCTTGCAAAATGTTCTCCTGCAAGACTTTTAAAATGTTTAATAACTACATGTAGGAAAAGAACCAATTTCCCACTGCTTGGGAGGCTTCTGCATTTGTTTAATGCCTAGTTTGACAGCTAAAAGCCCTTAGTAACACGTAAACCCATTGACATTTGCTCCTAGTTGTAGTGAGTACTCGTACTTACACTCATACTCGTACTCGAGTGCATTTTTTGGTACATGTACTCGAACTCACATTCATGGTAAATTACTCGTACTCAAACTCGACTACAACACTGATGGTGGTTGTGTGTTCATTTGGTTTGAAAATGGCAGGATTTTTATGAATCTCAGGCTGAAGATAAAGCCAAAGCTGAAGACCGGGTTTCGTAAACCCTCTAATACCTTTAACAATTCTTCACGCAAAGAGGAAATTTTGAATTAAAAAAAAAGCCCACACAACTGACAGCACCAAAAACCCTTTATGCAGGGACTTGATAGTCAAACGCAATGGAGATGATGACCCTAATTACTGGAATGTATGATAAATCAAAATCTTTCAACTTGGCACCAGAGTGCAAGGGCGGATCCAGAGAAGTTGGTGCCATGGGATCTCTCAAGTGAAAAGTGGCTTTATTTGAAAACAATTTCAGTCACTGCCGGGGAGGCCCCCCCCCCCCCCCAGCCTCCACACCCCCCTGGATCCGCCACTGCAGTGTCTGAAACTACACGGTGAGGAACAAATTTAACATTTCAAGAGAATATTTGGTGTCGTACTCTGGATATAAGGCACTGTGGATACAAACCAAGGTTGTCACTGACAAAAAAAACCTCTTGGCCAGGAAAACCGGTTTTGGATTCCAACTAAGCACTGATATTTTGCTTAGCAGAGAAATGAATTCCCTTGGCCAAAACTGGTTACCAGCCACACGTTCACGCAATGTACATTACATGAAACTGGGGCTTAGCTGACTCATGCTTAGCACGTAAATTGGCTAAGGAGATATTTTCCTCTACCTAGCTACTCCCACTAAATTATGATAATCTTTAATTTGGCAAATACTGTGACATTTATTTGGATAAACATATATAAATTCCCTGAAGCCTCACGGTTACAGATCACTCCATTAAGCCCCACTATGGATCCACTGCTGTTTGGTCCAATCATAGATGTTATTCGTGTCCAGCAAAAGTTTGACATGCATGCAATTGCGTATGACACGCGTGTCTAGAACATACATGCCGGACAGGGGAGGCACACGTGTTGCTGAGGACCACATGCACTGGGGCTGGGCCTTATTATGACTGCAATATGTCTATTAACCCGGCTGATGCTCCCTTACTGCCAGGAGAGCTTCTGCCTGACACATCAGGAAGGACCACTGGAGCTATCCGCGGGACAGCTGGAATGACAGATTTAGGGGCTAGCATGGGCCCGGCGAGCTTGGGGGGTTTCCCTGAGCCCCGGGGGCTCTCTGGGTGCTGCTGGATGAATGGTGAGAACTGGGGTACAGGGGCGGAGAAGGGGTTGAAGGCCTGGCCACGGGGACTGTGAGGCTTCTCCTGGGTCATCTCTTCCAACGGCAGGCGCACCTTGGGTGTTGGGGTGGACTCGTGCTCCAAGAACTTGACAAACTGCTCTGAAAAAGACTACAGGAAAAAGACCAAAAGAAGTACAAACTTTATTTATGACAACTGTCAGAAACACACTTTAACCCTTCGAGCAGCTTGCCCAAAACATTTACGTGGTGGAACCACCTTGAGAATGTTATCACATACGTGTTTCTAGGTCAATAACCCTGGCATGCCTGTACATACACAAGATATAGGTCATTCATATGGCCAGGGATTGTTTACAACCTTTCTGAGCTCTGGGCGGCACGAGGGGTTGACACAAAGGGAGGGATCGGCAGCACTTAGGGGTTGGCCACTAAGATCTCCAATTACTGCACAAAGGCATTAGCCGCCATCATGGCTTCTGTCTTTCAACACTCCTTACTCCGGAGTGGCTAGGGTCTGGCCAATGGGAGTCTACAGGCTTGTGGTGTATAGTAGGGGTGAGGATTACATAGAAGATTGGCTTTATTGGCCCATTGAAAAAAATTATGACCATTATTATTTGGAAAACATTGAGAATTTTATCACGGGGCCACTGCTCGAAGGGTTAAAGGCATATAGGTTAATTTGCTTTTCATGCATTTTGTTTGCTTCCACTAAAACCACCACTGAAAGACAAATGTCTGAAACCTAACCTGTTGAAGTTTCAGCTCAGTGGATATTACACTTTTAAAACAAAACCAGTGAAAAACCATGCACAACCTTTTGATCACGAATCAGGATCTCATTAATAGCACTCTTCATTTCCAAAATCTGTCCAGTGACTAATCGTTGGAAATCACCTACATTTCTTGATTTTTTTTAACATGACAGCAAGCCAGATGGGATCATTTCATGTGGTGTTTAGTGCCAGTACGATCTTTAATTCAAGTAAGCTTTTTGATAATAATTGAGTTTGTGTTACAGCATCACTAGAAGACCCTTCCCTAATTGTTCATGGTGGTGTATATTATACTACACTACTTTGACGGTTATTATAACAAGCACATATTATTTTTATTATTTTTTTCTCTCCTATAAAGCTTGAAAGACTTTGCAAGCGAATTGTAGACGCAAAACACTGGCAGCAAAACTTGCCAGAGCTAAAATGGGCTTCAACTTTTTCTGAGCATGAGTTCTTGCTGGACTTTAAAAATCTGCTTTTTCACATTTGCTTTCACGAGTATGAACCTGCCCTTAGGGTAGTCTATGTAAAAGACCCGTGCAAAGCAAAAATTGTAATCATTAATTATGCACAAACACTGCATCTTGACCTCGACATTCTGACCATTTAGACTGCGCTTTCCATATCGGGTCTTGTCACAGATATCTATAAATAAAACCTAGACACGACATCTATTATTCTTTTTTACACTGTAAATTGAGCAAAAAAGTCTGCGGTCACGTGCTCTGTAACAATATGTTACCCGATACGCCAAGCTGGCCAATCACGTTCGTGTCGAGGTTTTTGTAGATCTATGCGCGCCCGGCCGTTGTAGTTCAAAAACACTGCATCCGAATCGACCAATCACAATCCTAGTCCAGATTTGGGAATGAAATGACGTCACGATTTAGTAACGTCGACTCCGATTGGCTGGCGCGCAGTGCCGCATAAATTCGCATTCCTAGATATATCAGACGTTCCACCGGAAATAGGGCTCCGTGGAAAAAGGGTGATACTCAGACTACCCTTAGGGTCTCATCTTTTGCGACTCATCAACCCTTCTACTCACGTTTTCCAATGCTGTTTTACGTGGGGTAGAGGGTGGGGTGCTACTGGGTGTTCCCCTCCCCCACAGACTGGACATCCAGCCCCCTTGGCTTCCCTCGGCTCCAATCTGAAGGACAAAAAAGGGAAATATTACAGGTAACTTATTAAACCCATATTTATGCTTTCCAATTTTGTCTGGTGACAATTTGTTGTTGTCAAGCCTTCATGCATGATTTTCAATGGGAAATTTGACTTTTTTTATCTGATTGTCTTGTTTTTGCTTGGACTCCACTGCATAAAGCTTAAAGGGAATATACAACATTTGCAAACATTGAAAAATAAAACTACCAAGTTTACGAAATACCTTACTAGGATGTTGGTAAATGACAGTCTCAAGCATCTTGTAAAATTATGGCACCTGGTGTGAAGTCATTTTCAAGAAAATTGTATTTTTGTACACATTTCCAACGGTGGTCGGCCGATCAGTGTTGGAAAAACCTAACCATTTTTCAACTACTGCTCCAAATTTACCATTTTTTCAGTCCAAATTTTGTTTGCTATTGGTTACATGTTCATGAACGGGTGCAGACCAGCTAGACTGGTTCCCTTGCCTTACAATTTTCCGCCATCTATAAATTGATCCATTTTATCTTTTGTGGAGTCAGGGAACCAGACTACTTGAACATTTTTGTTTTTCTTGGTTTTTCCAACCTTTTCGAACTCAAAACTTCAAAAATGTCAGTGTAACAATATTCGATCTATAAAACTAACTCCTCAAATAGTTCATTTCTGAAAATTACAGCAAAAGCCAATGATGTACATTCCCTTTAAAATTGCTAAGCGGATCATTCTTCTCTTTTTCCCATAAAACATGGGAAAATCATCATGGACCATCTGGTGTTTTTAGGAGGACAGAATGTGATCATGGTACATTCACAGCCAACCCTCTTCCATGTTGAGAAAATTGTTGCAATACATATAAAAATTACTTCCTGGGAAAGACAGAAAAAAGAACATACCCACAGGCCAGAAAACGGACTGGAACAATGAAGATTATGAGGTACATTAACCCTAACTCCCTAGCATGATTTACTAGGAGCCATACCCATCCTGGCAAATTCCAACACCATATGGGAAACTGCACACATGTATTTCTGACTTTGTTTCTGGAGGTGTGCCAACCCAATGTAAAAGACTGTCAGTTTAGGGGTACTGTACCCATCCTGACAGATTCCATCAAAACATGCCGTTGGGGTTTGATGGGTCGAGTACTGTTAGGGTTAATATACAGGAATATGAACAGAAAGTTGGATATACACACACACACGTGTCAATGCAAAGGGAGGTAAAAAAAAAAAAGTCCTCACCTGTTGTAGCTCCTCAAAACTGAAGTTGAGGACATTGCCAAGAAGCTTGAGTACCTCGGGCCGTTTCTTCTGCGGAGCATGGAAGTAACCTAGGAGCAGGTTCTTCATCAAGGGCCTGCGGGGATGGACAAACAGACAAGTTGACTTCATTTAGATTTGGATATCTTAAGGGAAGGATCCTTAATCAATGGAGTCTTCCAATGATTCTGCTGACAAAAACGATTAATGGTGGGGGGGGGGGGGAGGAGGTGGGTGTCACACCCACAACCCCTCCTCTAGTGACGCCTGTGGCCACACTTCTGCCAAGTAAAGTGTTGGGGCTACACTTCCAAGAGACTGAAAACTCCACACACAAAAACCTTAAGCAGACAGATAAGAGACTGGTCAGACAAGTTTATGCCACATCTAAGTCCTCAACAGCAAGTTAAAAAAAATAATAGGTTAATATACTCTGTGCACAGGTATCCCTTCAATTGTTACAAAGACAAAGTTGGGAGGAACCAGTGACAGGGACTTTTGAACACATTTCTGATGGCGAATGATGCTCACATGAAGACACTGAGGGATTGCGTTCATTCCGATAAAAATGTGTGTTTCGTGACATAGCCACGTAAAGCAGAATGCCCACGTAGTGTGACCTTCCAAATGAAGCTCCTGTGAGTAATGATGGAGTGCAATCTACTGTTCATGCATCGAATCCATATGGGTCATTCTATAAATTTATGGTCCAAAGTGTGACATTTTTCCTGTCCCTGTTACCTTGGTACTTTGTAATTTGCCATTCAAGTATCATTAAGAAGGAATTCAAAAGATATTTGTGTTTGTTGGGTAGGTAGCTTGCTATTCATTATTACTAAGGGAATAAATGTGTGCTTCGGAGGTTTTCATCACTCTGTTTAAGACCACTTAGAGTCTGGGTGCTGATAATTACCCGAGCCGGAGGCGAGGGTAATTATCAGCACCCAGACTCTAAGTGGTCTTAAACAGAGTGATAAATACCGAAGGAGCACATATTTATTCCCATTCATAAATACCTTTTCGGTAAGAAAAAATCATATAATTCGTTCAAAACATCCCGATTTTGTTCAACAAATTCACTTTATGCTTTTTGAAACATCCCTCTTGCAAAATAATGGAGTGTTCAGCTGGCGAGTAAGATGTAAACAACCCTTTTATGGAGATTGACACGCGCGTATCATGCTCTGCGCGATGTCGCGCAGAACGCACCTGGCGCGTTGCGTTTTGAATTTAGAACTTTAAAATTCTGACTCCCTGGTAGTGTTGCGCATGCCTACGTGAGGATTGTGAACGTTCAACCAATGAAACGATAAGAGGCACTGGATTTTTAGTAGTCCACATTTTATTGTGACACTGGAAAAGTGTTTAAGACCAGCTAGCCATGTCTTCATCATCCGTTTAAGACCGGCCACGTGACGGGCTCTCGACCAATAGGAATGCGTAAACTGTCTTAGGTATTTATGAATCTCGGATGACAACTGCATTAAGGACTGACATCAGAATTATGAAATCATCAAGTCAGAGGTAACAGGGACAGGACAAAGAGTGGACCCCAAATTTATAGAAATGAACCATATAGGAGTCCAGCAACTAACAAAGGCTTACTTGTCCACTTTGCCCTCACTGGCATTCCCCAACTCGTCAAACCGGGTCTCGTACTCGTGAAGGAGCTCCTCTTTCCTGGCCACTGAAAGGTAAAGTTAGAATTAGATCATCAGGCCTTAATAAGTCAAGACAACTAGCGAATGTAACCAAAATTTGATGGTTCTTAAAAAACATTACACACTTCATAATACATGAAATTAACAGCATGGCTATCGAAGCTTGCAGTCTGAAACATCAGACATGTGACCTCAATCTTCTTTTGCAGACTCTTTTGCAGGACGTTACATCTTTAAGTAGAGTCACATTTATTTCAATTGGTTTGTCGATTTAATCTTGCATCATAATATAGGTTGCCAGATCTGACAGAAAGGTAAGAACTTCAGACCATGAAATCCCACTTTAAAGCAGCTAGTTTTGTGGTACGTGTTATAAGATCAGCATTTTGCTTCCATTCATAGACCATATGAAAAAAAAAACAGAATTGAAAACATGGTGCAGCTGAAAACAACTTGTAAAATGAGCAATACTCTTACGTTCTTCCCTGAGATGGACTGCTACTTCTTCTTTCCTGTCCAGCTGTTCGTTTAGCCTAGAAGCAGCTTCCAATGCCTCCATGGTTGCTGCTAAACGCTCCTGAATCAGACAATTTTGAAGATGACATTTGAAATTTTGCACTGCAGAACCGAAGGCTCTCCCCACTCTGCGAGTTTCTTGGGTTTAGGGGGTTTTAACCCTAACCCCCTAGGCCCTTGTTGCTTACAACCATCCTCAATCCTCCAAAATCCTCCAAAATTTTGCAACTCCGCCTAAATTTTTCAAAATTGTCAGACAGTCCTGCCTCAAAATGCATTCATCCTCAATCCTCCAAAATCCTCTTCATCCCAAAACTTTGCACTCGTGTTTAAATGAAGGATAACCAACGCCAAATCCTTCAAAATCATCAGACAGTCCTGCCTCAAAGTGCATTCATCCTCAATCCTCCAAAATCCTCTTGTGCTTCAATCACCATTCATCCTCAATCCTCCAGAATCCTCATTTGATTCAATCACCATTCATCCTCAATCCTCTAGAATCCTCCAAAACCGCCAGGAGGATTTTGGAGGAGTGAGGTGGGTTAGGGTTAAACATTTGCTAAATCAAATCTTACAATATGAGGTTAACATTATTGTACACTCACACAAAGACCAGATATCCCCATTGTATGCCCAATTGCATGGCTCTGCTAACAATGCCCAATTGCATTGGCTCTGCTAACAATAGAAAATTCTGAGCAGGTATATCATTGGTTAGCATGGCACTTTGGCTTGTGGCCACTCATACGTCCCATAAGCAAAGATGCTGTGCTTACAGGGTCAGCACAAATATTTCTGTGGTAGCAATGTTGGCACAAATTGGTGACCATAAGCGCCAACTTCTGTGGTGAGCAGAGCTCTGATATTGGACCCAGCTCCAAAATACTCCGGCAGTTTTGCAATCAAGTCCATCGAAAGTCAAGTCATAAGATATCCAAATTGACAAAACTATGACAAAAGCATTCCCTTGGTATGGTTAATCTCCTGTTGCTTGTGACTGGACTTGTGAAAGAAGTTGTGATTTACTTGTGTCAAGGCCTGTGATGGATTCGACTACAGCACTGCAGTGTGAGTGCCTCTGACGTGCAATCACTAATTAACATGATCGCTTATAAACTCTCACTAACTAGAATAATATCTGAAAGGATCTTACTTGTAGCTCCACCGTTTGTTTGAAGAGCTGTTCTGCAATCTTATTCTTCTCTTCTGCCCTCACTTTGTATCTCTCCACATCAGCCGCAATAGCTGCTTCTTTCTCTGTTGGTTCAAACATAAAACAATAATGCAGAGGCCTAACGGTATGGGTCTTTAGCTGAACCTTTGTCAAAGGCAAAATGACAGTCATTTTGTACATGTATGCCTGGACCAACTCAATGTCTCCATATCTTTACAAAAAAATACTGCAAGTAATCAGGTAATACTGGCAGGCTGGCAGTATTTATAGTCAGTTAGTAAGCACACTGTTCAGTGTACCTAACCAAAATCAACAATGACCTCATTTGACCCCTAGATGACCTTTGACCTCAAATGTCTAAAGTCATCTAAAGTCCCCCTACCCAAAGATTATTGTCATCAAGTTTGGTTGAGAGTGGTGAAGTCAGACTTTTAATATGACAGTACTTTCCAGTTTACCTAACCAAAATCAACAATGAACTCATTTGACCCCTAGATGACCTTTGACCTCAAATGTCTGAAATAATCTGAAGGACACAGACACAGAAGGACCACACTATCGCAATATCCCCTTTCTGGCTTTATAAAGGCCAGGGGATACAAAGGAGGGGCCTCAGAAAAAAGGACACCCTTTGCAAACAGTCACAAATGGCTATAGCTTACAAACCCATGGGGCATCGACTTGGGACGATCGACTGTGGTTTAGGAGAGTAAACAAAAACAAAGAAATGTGGATCCTTGTGAAACCTAACTACTTCTCGCACAATGCAACAGAAACAGCCTGAATGAAGACTATGCCCATCTTTTCGCATGTCCCTTGGCTAGTAGCGTATTCCCAAACCTTGAGTTGATACCCGGCTTCAACTTCAGGCTTCAACTTCATGACGTACATGTATGTCCCCAGAGTTGAGACCCTCTGGCTAACTGTAGTTCCACATTCTTTATCAGAAACATCAAATCGTCTATTGTGATGTTGAAATTCTGGAATGTTTTCATTTGGTTTCAGTAATTAACCTTCCAAAATGACTCATGGAATTGGGACAGAGCCAAAAACATTAACCCTAACTCCCTAGCGTTTTTTACTAGGAACTGGACCAAGTCCATCAAAATCCATCAATCACTGTGCGTCCAATACAAAACTGTACATAACATAATGGAATCCACCACTGACAGACTGGTTGACATTCATGGACTTGCTAAACATGGCTTTTATCACAATATCGGTAGCAGTACAGTAAGCTAGGCAAAATCAATCGGACACCCCTAGCACTGCTTCAGGCCATTAGGCCCAAGACCATCAAACTCCATCAATATTTAGTCACGCCAGGCCTTCTGGACCAAGTCCCCCAAAATACACATCAAAATGAGGGGATAGATTTTGATGGAGTTGGGGTGGTGAGGGTTAATGAAACCGAGATTTGGAGAAAGGTCCCATAATTGCGGATGACATACCTTGGGTGAACTGCTCCAGGACCATCTGCAGGTTGGCCAGTGAGGTGCTGTACTGCTGCACCTGCTCCTGTGCCTCACCCAGCTGCAACAAGGCCTGGTCCTTCTGGCTTGTGACCGCGTGAAGCTGGTCTAGTAGACTCTCTATCTGACTGCTAGCTTCCTTGCTGTCAACCAACATTTTGGAAAAAGAATAGTTTTCTACTCTAGTGAGTGGAGTGTCATGGCCGAGCGGTTAAGAGCACCAGACTCAAGCTCCAGGGTGTTTCTGATCAGCACAGTGTGGGTTCGAGTCCCGGTCTTGACACTTGTGTCCTTAAGCAAGACACTTAACTATTATTGCTTCGTCCTTCGGATGGGACGTAAAGTCGTAGGTCCCGTGTGTTGTGAAATGCACATAAAAGACCCCAGAAACACTTATCGCTAAGAGAAGGGGTTTGCCCCATGCACCTTGTATACCCTTAGAAGGTGCTACATAAAATGGGTCTCATATTTCAAATACTTCATTTACTTGTCTTTAAAACAAATTCATTGGCGCCTTGAGAACCTTATTGTTGGTAACACGTACGCTATATAAGACTCCGTTATTATTATTATTATTATTACTTGTGTGAGGAGTCCAGTGTACCCACCTTGCACTGTGCACAGCAGATGAGCTGGTGCGTACAGCCTCCTCTGCCACGGCCAGCCTATTCCTCAAGTCTTTCTCTCTCTCTTCCCCCTGCAAGGCTTCCCTTGTGTACCCTTCCTCCACTTGTAGCAGGTGGCCCCGCAGCCGGTCCAACTCCCCGACTAGTCTCTGCTCCCTCTCCCGAATATTATGCACCTGAAGTAGCCACAGATAAAATGTTATAGAATGAAAAGTCATTCAAATCATTGGAAAAAATAAAAAAAAAAAAAAGGTTCAAATACGAGAACTGGTTTCCCATAAAGGGTAAAACTGAGGAAATATTTGCTTTGGCTACTTTAGCCGTGGTCAATGCTCTCGTCGTTATTCGTCCCGTACGCGGTCAATCGTCGGCATAATCCTCACGCGCTATATATGCACATGCATGTAAAAATACAGCGCGAACAGCGGCCTCATGCGGCCACTATTTTTTTATGCAAATCAGTTGGGGACGATCGAGAGCCTTGGTTCAATCGTCGGCAAAAGCTTATGTTTATCTTTATTTTGCGCTGGATTTCTAGCGCACGACCTCGTATGCGAATACAGATAAGTGTAGGCGGGGCTAATATGTGGAGTGTCCAATCACACCTTGGTAAATCCGGACGTCATCAAATTATTTGCAGCTATTCGCCTTTTGCGGACGTGACAGGAACCACAGTTTTTGTGCATTGGTGCCGTGTGCAGAGACACACAACGTGCACGTGTATGGATTATGTACGGTGCCACGTTTCACTATGCAAGTTTCCACGCAACGATCGACCAATAAGAAAACGACATTTAAGGTCAGCTAACATAATGAGCACCACCCCAAAAACCTCACATGGACGATTGAACCAAGGCTCTCCATCGTCCCCAACTGATTTGCATATAAAAATAGTAGCCGCGTGAGGTCGCTGTTCGCGCTGTATTTTTACATGCATGTGCATAGCGCCTGAGGATATATGCCGACGATTGACCGCATACGGGACGAATAACGACGAGAGCATTGACCAAGGCTATGGCTACTTTAAAAACACATTTTTTTTACTTCAAACATCATTTTCAAAAGAAAAGGTTTGTAGAATACACAAATAGGTTCAATTTGGTTAAAATATTAGGGTCAGAGTAACAGAAGTAATGCAACTTTGTGGTTTATCACAACTTAACTTTAATGCTTTTCCTTTGTTATCCTCCAAAAATTAAGATTCTGCTTATCGATTAGTAATTATTCAGCAATACATTTTTCTCTGAAAACGAAATAGGACAGACTATACAGATTTATTTGGCGAACATATTAGACGCTGTTTTTGAGTTGGTGCTATGCTCGTGCGCAGGCCGCACGCGTACTTAAAGACAAGCCGCTGGTGCGTTTTGGCAACCCTATTGTTAGTAAGAGCCCGTAATGTGTGCGTACTACCTGAGCGTAAGCTGTAAGCCTGGTTCCACCTCACAAAATGGATGTCACACAAGTAGTCTACACAATCTCTATTACAGTACTCAAATTACAGTACTCGATTACCCATGACAGTTTTATGAAACATAAAATTGTTTCCTCTGAAAAATCACGAGTCCAAACATTAGGATGAGGAGATTTAGGGGAAATGAAAACTTTTTCATCAAACAGAGATGCCACAGGGTTTGCTTGAAAAAAACAGAACTGGGTCTGCTTGAAAAAAAACCGGAACGGCTGCTTGGAAAAAACGGAACTTTTTGTGTGTGTGAAAAAGCCACTCCGTGTCCGACACAAAGTCCCCGTTGTCATCTTTATCTTGTAGCCAAGCCAAGTTCTGTTTATTTTTTAATTTTGCTTCTATGGCCTTTAAAGCTGTCGGTTCGTTCAATCACTTTGACTTTTTCCATATTCCTAATATTTATTCTGCCTACCCGAATTTCCAACGTAATATTCGACACGAAACATGCACGATTCCACAACACTGCTGTCGGTGTACATGATCCTTGCACTACGCGATGCGCTCAACGAAAACATGGTTGGTACCCGCACATTTTGTATTCACATATATCACTGCGATCGGAAACCACCGATAGCTGAAATGATAGACTTGATTTCCAGGCTGAATGCTACGTGTGCTTAGCACACAACACGCCCGCACGCGGTGAAACACGCGCGAGGCGCCGTTGTATACTGCGTGCAAGTACATTGGCCGCTTGTATCGCATGCAGGCTCGGCAACAACATACACAAAGACTGTTTTTAAGACTACTTCAACGAACAACGTTGTGCCATGCGTGTGCCTAAATGTACTAAATCGAGGTAAAAATCAACGCATTTCCACAGTTTTTCTTCTCTTTTTCTGGTTAATTTGACGGCCGGAAAAACCGGAATTTTGTGAGATTTTTTTAAAAACCGGAATTCCGGTTAAAACCGGAAAAGTGGCATCTCTGATCAAAGCAAGTTTGTCTTGTATAATTTCCATACCTCAGTTTGCAGAGCCTGTTGATCATTTTGATGTCGCTGTAATGCCAGTAAGGCCTGGTCTCTCTCCTGCTGAAACATCTGAGCCTGCTTTTGCATTGCCTCTGTCTCTCCTAGTAACCTCTGCAGCTCCCCCGATGTCCCTTCTTCTCTCTGCTGCACCAGCGTAGTCAGCGTCTGATTCTTCTCTTTCAGCGCTCCGATCTCAAAGTCCTTCTCTCGGATCTGGGCAGCCAGGCGATTGCTCATGTCCTGCAGGGCTCTTCCTTCCCCGTCCTTGTTGTGCACAGCGTGCTGCAGGGCCTGATTGTCTCTCTTCAGGTTCTCGTTTTCCGACTGGAAGCCCTGGAGTTGCACGCTCAACGTCTGGTTCTGGCTCTGGAGACTGTGAAGTTCTATGTCCTTGGATTTGGAGTCATTGGTGAGGGTCTGAAGCTGGTGGTTCTTGAGCTGCAAGGCAGCGTCCCGCTCCAGAAGAGCCTGGTTTTGGAGGTCCACCTCCTGCCTGAGGGCAGCAAGCTCCTCCAGTTTGTGCTGCAGTTCATCCTGCTTTGTCTTGATTACACTGTCTCTTTTGGACAAGGTCTTGGCTTGATGATCCAGCTGTTCCCTGAGTTGAACAATCTCAGCTTCTTTCCGGGCAAGAGGTTCTTCGTTGGGAGGTGGTGCGGATTGGACGGGGGCTATTTCTGCCCTAATGAGGCTTTCATTGCCAGGTGAAATATCAGGAAGCTGGAGCCTCTCCTCCTGCACCTGAATTTTGGACCAGAGGTCTGAAATTTCTTCCTCTTTGGTTCTTAATAAGGCACTTAGATGGTCATTCTCCTGCTGTAGCTGCGATATATTTGTTGATTCATGAGGTTCTTCATTTTGCTTAGCTATGCTTTCATTCAATTCAGACAACTGGCTTTCTAGATCTAACACAGACTGGTTCTTTTCTTCCAGCTGCTCTTGAAGGTTGGCAAGGGATGAGTCTCTGTGTTCGATGTCTAGCACAAGCTGGCTCAAGGATCTCTCCTTGTCATCCAAGTCTGCATAGACTGTGTTGTACTGCTGCTGGATCGCTGCTTGTTTGTGAGTCTCTTCATTGACTACACCAACCAGCCTCTGCACTTCCTCATAGTAAGTCAGGCTCTCATGATGCTTCTGGTGGATGCTCACGACAAGTTGGTCCCGTTCTTCCTTCAGCATCGTGTTCTCTTTCTGCAGCTGCTCGTTGTCGCCAAGCACCCTGGAGATGTCCGAGCTGCTGTTTGGCTCCGCCGAGTGCAGCACCTGTAGCAGTGAGTCATTCTTCTGTTTCAGAGCCTCAATTTCCAGGTCTTTGTCCTGGATGAGGCGGGACAGATTCTGGAGGGCTTGCTTTTGCATGTCATTCTGCGGTTCATCAAGGTGGCGTTGGATTTCCTTGTTATCCTCCTGCGCCTTCTCAAGGGCTGTTTTCTGGGCTGAGACAACCTTGACCAGCCGATGGACTTCGTTCTTGAGGTTGCTGCATTCCCTTGTTTTCTCGTTCAGGACAGTCATCATTTGGTTGCGCTCAGAATCGTACGTTCGCACTTGCATCTGCAGCTTATGGAGGTCTACCAGTATTGTGTTGCCCATTGCTGTGCGTGACTTATCCTCCAGGAGGTTGGTCAATGACCGATTGCTTTCTTTCAAAAGATTAATTTCCTTCTCCTTCTCCTGCAAGACATTTTCCAGGTGTTTTTCGTTGTCACTCAGAGAAGACTCAACAATTGTATCAGACATCTGACGGAGACGCGTGGACGGCGGTGGTTCCATGTTAGCATTATGAAGACCAGGCACTTTTTTAACTGTCACTTCCTCGTGGATGATGCCATTTTCTCTGTCCTCTTGTGGAGCACCTTTCTGCAAGTTGGAGTCTCTTGTTAGCTGCTCAAGCTTCGCAGTCAGCTGAGTGACTTCAGCATCCTTCTGGCTCATCACAAAGGTGTGTTCAGCTTTCAGTTCACTGACATTCCTTTGCCTGAAGTCAAGCTCTTGTCTTAGTTTCTCAAGTTTATCCTTTAACAGAGAAACCTCAGTGTTCTTTTCATCAAGTGCCTTTGCATGATGTGCTTCCTGGTCTTTAATCTGATCTTCAATACTAAAGAGCCTCTCACTCAGCTGAAGGATTTTATTGTCTCTTTCTATTATCCACGCACTCTGAGAATTTGATGCAGATTCTCTCTCAGCCTGTTCATGAGCATGCTTTTCTTGTGTCTCCTGTAGGTCATTGTTGACACTATCAAGCTTTTTGGCAGTTGTAACTTGTTCCTGTTTGAGAGAAGCAATTTCTGACTCTAAGTCTGAAATCTTTGTCTGTGATTGCTCAAACTCCCTCCTCTGATTTTCAGATTTTTCTTCAAGATTCAGCAGGGCTGACTGCTTTTCCTCGACAACTCTCTGGAGGTCCAAAGCTTCTTCCTCTTTCCTCTCCAACATGTCCCGGAGGTCACGCACTTCACCCTCCAGCTCTGTGATGACCTCAAGGGTCTTGGTCTCAACATCACTGCGTTCCAGTTGATCCTTCAAGTCCAAATGTAGCTTCTGAACTTCCCTTGAAAGGGTCACATTTTTGGCTTTAACTTCTTCCAATTGGACCTCTGTTTCCTGCAGTTTCTCTTGCATCTGTTCAAACTGTTTCCCTTTATTTTTGCTTTCCTCCAATGCCTTGAAAAAGTAGGAGTTCTCCTCAGCAAGGTTCTTGATGTCTTCATCTTTGTTTTTCAGTATATCTGCCAGCTGTTGGTGACCCTCCAGAGTGGAGTTCAGCATGTCTTTGGTTCCAGACATGTCAGCTTGCAATTCCTCATACTCACTCCTGAGTTTCATCACCTCAGTTTCCTTGGCATTTTTTAACTGGATGAGTTTCTCGTGTTCTGCTTGTAGCGTGCTGGTGTCTAATTCTCTGGAATGTGAAAGCTCTTGCAATGTCTTTTCATGTTGCAGCTTGTTTTGCTGGAGTTGTTGCAGGAGACTGTCATTCTCCCTCTTCAAGCTGTCGATTTTATCCTCATAATTTGTAAGGAGCTGCGCTGTTTGTTCTGATGAAGCAACCTCCATCTCCAACGTTTCCTTGCTATCTTCAAGAGCCTTATCCAGCTTCTTTCTGCTGTCTGTTAAATTTTCAACAGCAGCCTCTAATTCACCGATACGGATTGTTAGAGGTTTTACCGCTGATTTGCTTTCCCCGCTTGATGCTGCTGCCAGTTGTAACTGACTTTCGAGTTCAGCAACACTGTTATCCAACTTTTCTTTGACATCGAGACTGACCATCCTTTCACTTTGCTTTTTCAGCTGTAGCAGTTCCTTTCCAAGGCTTTCCACTTGTGCTTTTGAGTCATTTGCCTGTAAAACAAGCTCCATGTTGGTGTCTTCTAATTTCTTCTTGATTTCCTCTGTATCGTCGAGCTCATCCCTGAGATTTAAGATCTGGTCCTCTTCCTCTGCTTTTTGTTTGGACAGTTCTGACAACTCAGCTGTCCTTTTATCGAGTTCTGCTCTCAGTTCCTTTACGTCCTCATCATATTTAGTCCTCAAGGCACCAAGCTCTGTCAGACCTGCTTGGCTCTCACCTAGGCTACTCAGTAGTTCCATCTTCTCAGCTTCCAAGCTCTCGGCTTTCTTTCTGATCTCATCTCTGGACTGTACGATCTGCTCCAGAGCCTGCTGATGCTGCTGATTAAGGAGCAGCAGGTCAGCTTCCAGCCGATCTCGGTCACCATCATCCTTCAAGGATTCCTCCTTCTGGAGATTCAAAACCTCCAGGTGCTCCTGGGCTTGCCTGGCGTAACGCTCGGATGCATCCCGTGACCGGTTCAAGTCGCTCCTCAAGGATTCCACTTCTTGGGACGATGCCTCCTTCTGGTGATGCAACTCCTCTGCCTGCTGATTGAGGTGCTCTACTGTGGCCTCTGCCTCATGTAACTGGTTCTTCAGTGCCAGCACTTCTAGGAGCAAGGTCTCGGAAGCTTCTTGCTGGGTCTTGTTTTCTTTTCGGAGACTGTCTAATTCTTTCTGTACGGCTTCCTGGAATTACAGAACAAGAGAAAAAAGAGGAACACACAAGAAATGACTTCAACAAAATATCCTTGTACCGGGTTCCCACAGAAATCTGAAAATGGATTATATCAACTTTCTATGACTTCTTGTTAAATAACAAATGTCCTATTACTTTTCTACGACTTTCCATGATAGCTTTAAATTCTAGGATTTCTCCAGGTTTTTCCATTACTGTGGGAACCCTGACTTCTACGCATTTGATGTGAGCATCTGTCTATTCATTTTTGGGTCTGTTGTGTCTCAAAAATTCTGGTGAACCAAAACAAAATACTTGAAGTGCAATTTTGGATTTTGCAAGCGCCCAGAAAAGCATACCGGTACCTTTTTACTGTAAGTCATTCTCATGCTATTTAACGCAGATGTAAAAAAAAAAACACCCCAAAAACCCTGTATTTACACTGTAAAAAAACCACACTTTATTTTACAAATATATCCTGACGGCCGCACCTTTTCTTGTGTGAGTGAATTCCTCTCCTGCTCCATCTGGCTATGCTCTTCCTCCATCTTGTCCACAGTGTCTTGTAAGGTCTCAATGTCTTCCTCTAACTGATCCATCTGCTGAGTCTCAATCTCCCTCAATCCCTGGAACAAGACAAGAGAAAACGGCCAATCGGTCACAGTTGGTCAAAGGGTGCAAAGCAGCCAAGTTGTTGTGGGACATGAGGAAGGGAAATGAGGAGGAATAGGAGACGAAATGAATGCAGACGCATTTATGTCAATACCTTCTCTTACAACATTGACTGGATTCACTCTTGATACACTTCATTAAAGGTACAGTCCATCATTTGCAGCTATCCAAAAAGTAACTGACATAATTATTGTTGAAAAGCATACTTGGTTTAAAGATAGTAACGGGACTAAACTCCCTGTGAAATTGTTCTTTCTTGTCATTTTGAAGAAATCAATGAAGAACGGCCTTTCTGACGATGCGTCTAAAGACGCATTGTTGGAAATTTCCGTTAATAGTTTTTTATTTTATTTGACGAAGCGGGCGCAAGCATTGACACGACACACGCGCATGCGTGCGGTTGCTGTAATTCATCAGGCTCAGTGCACGACATCGCATAGCTGCAATCGGCTCAGTGAGAACATGTCTCGGACGCTGAATTCAGGCCAAATCCAAAACATGCCTCAGCAACTTTCGATTTGAAATCGAGATCCTAGAATATTGTTTTCTTAGAATATACAGCATATCACGGAGCTGAAACTTCATCAGGTTAGTTGTTAAGCACCCTTCTTTAGATCTTGAGCACTTTTGTTGCTTCAAACGAACATAATGCACAAATCACAAATGATGGACGCTACCTTTAAGTTAATAAAGTAATGCTTGAAACTGTATTGTATTCTTTGCATCAGTCCTTCCTTGTGAAATGACACACAAAATCTGACAAAACGAATCAGCACAATCCATTTCTGGACCTTCACATGTAAAACATCAAGTGGGGGAATTGAGAGGACTCGAGAGGGTTCCAAAAAGGAGTTAGACTGAACCCCCTCTGAGCCTGTAGCCCTAGACAGGTGTACCTGTTTGGCTGTCAGGCTCTGTAACTCAATGTCCTTCTCCTTCAGCTGTTCCCTCATTCTAACCACCACCTCTTCCAGGGCTTGCTTCTCCATGTCCCAGTCGGCTCGGATCAGCTCAAAATGCTCAATCTGTTCCTGGAGGACGTGGGCTGCCTCAGGAAACCTGCCAAAGAAATTACATCGGTACTTGAATGAATTCACAATTAATTGACTTTTCTGCTCCCATACTTCTTTTCTTAACCCTTGCTCTACGAGTATAACTTTTGGCCAGTCAGCTGGCTACACCAATGCCCTCCTCATTTGCGTATCAGAGCATTAGGCCGTGGTTGGAATGTTCAACCTGAGCTAAAGCTACCATTCAGTTTTAATATCGAAACCTGCATTGTAGATTCCGACACAAAAACACAGGAAAGAGAAGCACAATTTTTTTCTTGATCAAATATTTCTTCATGCCATCAAAAATCACCCCACTGATCTGGGCGGAGACCTGACTCCCCACAGATGGGTGGACACAATTAAAGTTGCCAATAACTATTAACATAAAGGTTTTCATGTCCAAGGAATACTTAGTACAGTTGCCAACCATTTCCAACGATTGGGATGCATTTGAAAGTATTTGCTTGGTTGTGACAATTATTTTAGCGGAGTTAAACTGGACTCACTTTTTGAACACAGGTCCAAAGCGTGAATGTGAACTTATGGTTGGGAATATATTTTGATTGATGGCTGAATATAAATACTTAATACACACAAAAAAAACTCGTTAAAAATGTTCGCTATTTTAGATCATGCTGAAACTTTTACAGATTAATATTTCAAAATCCCGCATTAGATTTTAAATAACCGGTGTTAGATAATCTCACCTCTGTTTCATTCCAGAAAACATGATGGAGTCATCATACTCTCCGTCAAAGCTGATATTGTCGGAGCTTTCCAAGGCACTCGCCTGACTGTCTGGTACCTCGCTCTCACTGGTGGTGTACCTCTGCATGGTAGCACGGCTTGAGCCGGCAGTCCTGTCTGAATCGGTGCTGGTACCAGATGGGGAGTCAGGACGCTTGAATGCGATGCGTCTGACTTCCTCCTGCCTGTTCAAGTCTGCCTCGGTAAGGGGAAGCCTGGAGTTGCTCTCAGTCTCGCTGTCGCCTGAGCACTCTGGGGTCTTCTTGGAGCTACTGGAGTCCGACTTAGAGTGCCGCATCACTTCCAGGTCTTTGTTTAGCCTGACGATCAGGCTCTCACAGCTCTCCTTATCCTCAGCCAGGGAGGCACAGGACACGTTCAGCTGACGGACTTCCATTTCAAGGTTCTCCACTTTCTGTCGGAGATGCTGGTTCTCCTCTTCCAGGGCTTGGAGCAGATCTGGGGTGATGTCCTGGTCCTCTCCGGCGTCCTGGCTTCCACCCAGGTCTGTGATGAGGTCTTCTGCCTCGTCGCCCACTTGGTTGCTGGCCGCCTTCAGGAGGGCGACTGAGGTCTTTCCTTCTGATACCTGAGTGTATGTCAGTTGCAGAAAAAATCAAACAATAATTAAAGCTATAGTCCATCATTTGCAGCCATCCGAAAAGTAACTGGCGTAATTATTGTTGAAAAACAAACTTGGTTGAAAGATAGTAAGGGAACTAAACTCCCTGTGAAATTATTCTTTCTGGGAAGCTTTCATTTTGAAGTAATTAACGAAAGAGGGCATTTCCAACGGTGATTCTTAAGAAGCACCGTAGGAAAATTTAAATTAGTAGTTCGTTTTGTTATTCAGCGCAGCGCGCACAAGTATTGGAACGACGCACACGCGCGCGCGGTTGTTATAATTGGTCGGATCAGTGCGCGACGTCGCGTATAGCTGCAATTCAAAACAATTCAAAACATGATTCAGTAACTTTTGATTTGAAATTGAGATCTTAGAATGCTGTTTTTCTCGGAATGTACAGCTGAAGCTTAGCTGAAACTTCATCAGGTTAGTTGCTCAGCATCCTTCATTAGATTTTGAACTCTTTTGTTGCTTCAAATGAACAAAATGCACAAATTACAAATGATGGACTATAGCTTTAAGGGAAAAATACATTGTCTTGACTCAGCTTTACAAATGCTACACAGCACATTTTCTACGGTGCAGTGAACATACCTGCTCTCCAACATCAATCATCTGGTTGACAAGTGCTTGCTTCTCCTTCAACAGTTGAGTGCGTCTCTGCATCGCCCCCGAGGAGAACTTCTTCCTCGCCTCGTGGAGTTCTTGCCGCGTGGTGCTCGTACTTGCCTAGAAAAAGTCAACAACAAAAAAAGGGAAAAACACATATCAACTGATACACAGGTTACTATTCTGTTCATTTCTATAAGTTCATTGATCATATTTGCTACAAATTTATCAAAGGCTGTGATCAAGAGAACCACTCTGTACTGAGAATTGTCTTTACTTCTGCATTGGGTGTCACAAAATAGGAAAACAAATGCTGACTTCTCTCCTTGTGTGACCTTGTCTTACTCATAGTTGTGGACACAAATTGCAAGAGGTGATTTTTCACCACTTAGAAAACAGAACAGTGTTCCATTTTCACATCCCATATTTCAAATTTTTTCACAAATGTTTTCTTTGGAAATCAGGATGGGAATAAGAAGGGAGAGTAGTTTGCAAAATCTATTTTGAGTCATTTGTGGTACGAAACTTCCAAAATCGAAACTGACTTTATTCTAGAATATGTTGATCATTGCATTCAAGCAAGAGAGACACAGCAAAACACATTCAGCATAGTCTAAATCTACAAAAAAATAAAGATCAAGCAACACTGAAAACACACCATTGAGATACTAATTTTTGATATTTCCTGAAATAAAGACGCCACGGCCATGACACTTATGTCAAACTTTAACCTGAGCTACTAAAATCTACCGAGTTTCACAGTTTAAATCACAGAGTTCAAAGACTAAGGGTTCTTCATAGGTTCAAAAAAGGGAAACTCTCTTCTCTTTGGCCAAACATTGATAAAGAATCAAACAATTGGACTTTTATTCAAAAAAAAAAGAAAAACACTTAATTTTCATTGAATACAAGGTTAAAAAAGCCCATTTCAAACAGGGAAAAAGAGAATGTTTTATTTAAAGGCATCTTAAATTTAAGACCATGAAAGTCTTCTAGTTACATTATTGGCCTTGCATACGGCTAGCAGCAGCACAGTTCAGTTACAATGCTTGCGGATTACTGCATCATGCAATGATTGTGGGTTAAGTGGGTGGTAGAAATTGCAACTCTCTGACTACAATTTGAAGTTAGTGGTAAGAGTACAAGTTAGCTGCTTGTCACTTGAAAGTTTCTTGAAGTCAGATATATTCCACGATGGCATTTCATTCTGCAAAAGATCCAGTGTATAGTCAAATCAACATGAGTTACATTTCCAGTTAAAGACATAATGACTTTCTTTCTCAAACTTGATGACAAGATTGTGATTGAGTGAGTGTTAAACACAAGAGGATTAGATGCATGTACAAGATTCTGGGGCTTTAATCCTAACCTTCCCAACTCCATCAAAATCCATCACCCCTTTGGGGGGATTTTGGCAGACACGCCATCTGTTCCAAGTCCGTCAAAATCCACTATAGAAGTGGTGGTCTTGTGGTGGATTTCAGCGGATTTGGTCCTGAAGCATTATGTGAAGCAGGGTCAGTGGTGGATTTTGCCGGACTTGGTCCAGTACTTAGTAAAACTCAGTAGGAAGTTAGGTTTAATTGAACTTTTTCTGTCCTATTTTTTTTCAGATTGAGATATTTTGCCTCAACCCCCTACCAAAAATACTTAAGTAGCATCAGTCTGTAATCAGACCTAGCAAAATACAAACTTGGCAATTTCATCACTTCCCCTTAGCATCTGTTACACAACAAAGTATAAAGTAAATGAAGGAAAGTCACTGAGAAGGCTAGGATCCAAACGAATAGCCAACTGAAATGTCAAATACAAATTTAAATTTACTGAAGATGAAAATTTAGCACTGATTGGGATAACAGCAATTGTTAGTAAAAAAAGACATCACCACTCAATCACAATCAGGTCTCTGTTAGTGTTTGATAAAGAGCTAAAAAAAAAATTGTTATAAGTAATACTGTTTTTATTCAAGAAATCAATGTGAACAATCAGGTAAAATTATATAAACTCAAAATGCCAGTACAGCAAGCAAACCGTTACTCAAATTATCAGAGAGTATGCATACAGATGAGAATGAAGGGACATAAAAATATCCTGTCCACCCAACAGAGGTCATGCCAAATGTGCATGCATGAATGAACGTCAAGGTGCAAATTAGTAACAAGGGAAAATTTGGAGGATTATTTGGGGTGTTTTGTTTTAGTCGTGTTATATAAACAAAAGGATAAGGAACGCTGCATTGTAACAGAACGGTGCCGCTGCATCGGCCGCGACAGCAGAGGGCTAGCTAGAGTAGAGACAAAGCGAAGATGAACTGTACATGGCTAGCATCCAACTCGGCAAGGAGTCTGTGCTTAGTGGCAAACAACGCGGATCTGACCTGATCTCGTTCACCTCGCATGTCCTCCAACTCCTTCTCCATCTCTGCCAAACAATACCAAAACAAAAATTGATAAAAAGTATTATTATACCTGTCTTGAATACAGTGGAACGTCGCTATACCGAACACCGCTATACCGAACATTCGGCTTTACCGAGCATCAGCCTTGGCTCCCAATTTTTGTGTACAAAACGTACCATACATTGTTGTTGGAAATGTCAACAGAACAGTGACAAATGGCTATTATTTCCTTGATGAATGGTACGAAAAAACCACCCATGTACACTCAAAATATGTGTAATTACATGATTCAATAGTCGCACGTCTTCGAAGTCCTACCAGTACGTATTTGGTGAAGTTCAGCTACGGAATTGAAAAATATTAATGGACACGTTCGGCGACTTTGCGCGTGGTTTGTAAATGCAACTACACAATAACAATTACATATATCAATTCCCCTACTCGTATGTGGTGATGTCAACCCCAACCCTGGCCCATGTTCTGATCCAGTGCCACAACACAATTTATCATGTCTCCTTGCCAATTCCCGTAGCATTCGCAATAAGGGTCCCGACCTGCAAACATATCTACATTCTACACAAGCTAATACGTGAAAATCGCTATACCGAACGATCGCTATTACGAACAATTTCTGTGGATCTTACGATGTTCGTTATAGCGACGTTCGATTGGCCTGCAATGATCAAGTCATAGCACACTCCCTGTGGTATGGTACGACAGTGTGAAATGCTTGTATCGTTGGTACCCATGCTATTTTCACCATGTTTTCACATACGAGTGGGAGCTGCGAACTAGCAGACAATCAGCTGTTTCGAGCACGCGACATGCAGTGAGTTGACGTTTGATTGTCAGGATTGTTGTGTTTACTGCTGTTTGTTTAAGTGATTTTTACCTCAAATTCCAAAGAATCCAATTTGTTGTCTCATATTGGTTATGTATAATTTTTAAGGGGATAATGGTGTGATGGAACGCTTTATAAACGTCTGGTTTCAAACCGGGTATAGGGGTCTGGTTGCCGATAATGGCCCGAGTTGAAGGTGGGGGTTATTATCGGCAAGTTTAAACATCACGTTTATAACTGCTCAATCACACTATTATCCACATTCATAAATACATTTTCGATCAAAAGCCATAAAAAGTCAAAAAGTTGACACAATTTCAATGATTGTGTTCTATCATTTTATTCCATGCTTACATGTGGATCAGGCCACGTCAATGGTGTGCAATGCGTGTGCGTGATGTGCTTTATATATACAAGGAGATCAGATCAGTGTTTCTCAAGCATCTGGCAGTAGCAAAGGCACGCGTACAGGTAGCGTACTGAACACATGTTCCACGGAGCGCAGCTTTAAACACCGGTATTAAACATCAGTTTAAGACCACCCACATGACAGACTCTAGACCAATAGGAACGGGAAAACTATCTCGGGTATTTATGAATTATTGTTGATATGTAATTGTCGGCTTCAGTTTTCAATATTGTCATATATTTTCAACATTGAAATCCTTTTGGTAACAGAATACGCAAATCATCAAAGAGTAACTGACATTGTGTAGAACAAAGAAACTGACCAGTGGGATTTGAACCTTTGACCTCTGGTGCACCACACCAGCACCCTACCAACTGAGCTATCCAGCCCCGTGTTGGCAGTCTACAAATACGGAGACAAATTAGTTAGCTCAGTTGGTAGAACGCTAGTCCTGTTTTCCGCAGGTCACAGGTTCAAAATCCATCCCAGTCAATCTCTTTATTCAACTTTTTGATCAGACTAAGCAAATGACTGGAATGAGGTTAAATTTGGTGACTGTTTTTACACGTACTTACAGGTTTTATGATCCCAGGGAGTTGAACTTTCCACAGTCTCTACCATCAACAAATTTCAATTTCAATTAACTCCCAAGTCTTATTTTACAGAAACCATGCTCCAAAACTGACCACTATTAAGGAAACCCATGGCACATTTTCTGTACTGAAACTGTCAAGGTGCAGCAAAGGTAAACGTGGCTGAACCCTACCTTCCCTCAATCTCAATCCTGCAAAACCTTCAAAAATCTCCCAATCAAATTTTGAAGGATTTTGAAAGGTACAACGTAAGGTTCAATAAAGGTTTATCTCTATCCTGTGATGTGTCACAGGATGTGCTCCATTTTGTACGGTGTTTTAAGAACAAGGGTCAATAGGTTGTAGTATATTGCCAATGGGCTCCAAGAACGCACGAACTGTGCACGACTTATTTTATTCTGAAAGTGTACAAAGCCATAGCATCAAGTGTCATCGGCAGTGGTCTCCCTTACTTGCTGTTGAAGGGGTACTTGAGCACACATATGACAACATATTTCACATTCTTTTGTCTATTATTAAAGTTTGTGGAGTGCTGTGGCCTCGTGGTTAAGGGCATTGGATTCGTGGTGTGCGGGTAAAGCTGCAGGTTGTGGGTTCGAGTCCAGCCCGGGGTCATGGTGCGTGTGCCCTTGGGCAAGGCACTTTGCCACTCATTGCTTCTCTCCACCCAGGAGTAAATGGGTACCTGTGAGGGCAGAGATGGTTACTGTGATTGAATTGGCTTCATTACGCCTAACTGGCAGCATCGAGCTGTATACTCCCCAGGGAGCTGAGATGGTATATGGAATGTTTAATTGGCCCAATGATCAGGGGTAATAATAATGTAAAGCACTTTGATCTTAGTTAAAGCACTACAATGTATATAAGAACCCGTTGTTATTATTATTATTATTTATTACAGAACTCACTTGACAGTTGTTCTTGAAGTGGGACTATTTCTTCTTTCCTAATCTTCTCAATTTCTTGCCTCCCGTCCTCTGTCTTCCCCTTGGCCTTGTCATATTCCTCTAGCAGCCGAGCGTTCTCCTGTCTCTCTGTATCCAGCTTGCTAGCCAGGTCTCTCTTGACCCATCGTAGGGTCTCGTTCTCCTGCATGCCTTTCTCCTTCTCGGCTTTCAGCGCCTCCACCTGTGTTAAAGGGAATGTACAACATTTGCTTTTGCTGCAATTTTCAGAAATAAATGGATTTGGAAGATAAGTATGTTATAGCAAATATTGTTGAACGGGCTTGTTTCACGTTTTGGCCTGGTAGCTGCTGGAAAAACCAAGAAAACCAATCATGTTCTTGTAGTCTGGTTCCCTGACCCCACTTACGATGAAACAGAGCAATTTATAGACTTTGGGGAATTGTAAAGTCAGATAATCAGTCTAGCTGGCTTGTACTCCTTCACAGGTGTCTGATCAATTGTAAAGAAGATGCGGAATAACTAAATTTGAAAAATTAAGAGCAGTTTTTGAAGAAAAAAAACACAGTTTTCTCCAATGCTAGTCGGCTGATCAGCGTTGGAAAAATACAAATTTTCTTGAAAATGTGAGCACACCAGGAGCTACGATTTTACAGGATGCTTTAGACTGTCATTCCCCAACAATCCAGTAAGGTATTTCATGATAATGTGATCATTTCCTTTTTTGATGTTTGCAAATGTTGTACCTTCCCTTTAAAGACTCCATGGCGTGAATTTTCTGCTGGAACATATTTTGTGCAAATATCCATTCCAATGAAAAATATGAAAGCATAGTACACCCCTTTTAGCTAAACATTTTCATGAAGTGCTCTGTTTTTTCCAACGTTTAAAATATCCAACGCTCATTCCAACGATCAAAAGCCTCAAAACCTACACCCTTAAACATGGATATTATGTGATTAAACATGTTAAAAGTAAAGTTAAATGTGATGTAAAGATGCATTTCAAGCATTGCATAGAAAAAATTTCTTTTGGGAAAAGCTATTAAGGTGTGTGTTTTTCTTACCAAACAGGGTGAAATAGGCTTTGTATAGTCAAACGGGTGTCACATAATGAGCCTCAGGTGGCAAATATCTTACTAAATTTATAAAATTTATAGTTGGACAAAGAAAACTGACAGCATCGTGACCCGAGTCTCATATCTTCTGACAGACAGTAAGGTTGCACGTCATGTAGCTGCAGTAAAATTAAGGTCAGTCATTGTTCCAATCATTTACCGTAATGACTAGTCCGCCTAAAAATGAAAGATGTCAGTAAAACATTCTACATTCTACGATAGTGAAATAACAAAATGTAAAGGGAGGAAAACGAAGGAAGAGGCCCATTTTTTCCCACAATTGATTCCTGACCTGTTTCTTGAGGATCTCTGCCGTTTTACTCTTCTCTTTCTCCACCTGCTTGACTTGCTCCAGCTCCACTCTCAAGCGCTTGCAGGATTCATCAAGGTGGTTGAAATTACGCTGGGACTTCTTCAGTGCCTCTTGGAGCTCCTTCACCTTATTCTATTGCAAAACCAAACAAAAATGCATCGTTGAACAATCACCCTGCCAGATGCATTCATTCATTCATTCATTCGTACATTTATTTCCACAGTGCTGACAATTACAAGACACAACATGATATTAACCCTAACCCCTTGAGCACTTTTACAAGAAAGTATCCTGAATCCGCCAAAATCCACCTGTTGTGTCATGCACCAAAATTGTTGGTGTTGGTGACTGCTCAGTATGGAGGGATCCTGAATCCATCAAAATCCTGCAGCACCGCTAGGCTTACAATCCTGAATCCATCAAAATCCCCGTTTTGAATATGGAGGTATCCTGAATCCGTCAAAATACTCTAAAACAGGGGTATGGATTTTGATTGATTCAGGTACATTAGGGTTAATGAAGAACAAAAGAAGAGTTGCCTGTTCCTATATCCCAAACCTGAGAGGCGCGGTAGAGGTACGTGTTAAACATGATCTAATTTGAAAGCATGTGACTAATAACAGAGCCTGTTCAATGAAGAACCACTTGGTCAAGGATGAGGTGATCAGAACAGATGTTGCTATTATAGTACCTTTACTATCCCTCAAACAATTACTGATAGCTGATGCCCCCTCCTGTCCCCTTTCACCCCATTCCCCGGGAAGCAATTACCTGCAGATCCCCTGCTTCTTTTGAAGGTGGCGTTGCAGGTGTGTGAACCGGCGTAGTGGGCGGTGACGTCGGGGAGGTTTCACCGGATTGCAGCACTTGCTCCAGCTGCTCAATGCGGCGTGTGTAGTCCTCAATTTCTTGCTTGTGTCGGCGGCTGATGGTGGCCTGCTTCTGGGAGTGGGCGTCCTGGAGGGCCGAGAGTTCCCGCTGGGACTCGTCAATCTCGTGGCTCAGATCGTGCTCCAGCTCCTATACAGATAAGAAACAAAATAAGAATAGAGTGTGTCCGTTCACATTTTGGCGGACATCTTGGAACAAAACACTGACTAGTCTAGTCACAGACTTCATTATTTGTGTTTACATAGTATGGAGTACCGAAGTGAATACGTCACACGCACAGAATGTGTGTGAAAGACATTAGCGCGTGATTCAGCCCATGAAGCAACATGCACGCGTACTCCATTTGTTTGTACTACACTTTCTGGTTCTAAATGACGTCACACTTCGGTACTCCATAGTGATGTGCATGATAGATTAATCCAAACTTGATATCAAACTTTTCATTTTATTATGGTCATCAAAAAAGACACTGCAATATTTCAAAATGTTGTATATTGGAAGTATTTTTCATACGTTTTGTATAGAATAATGGTATGGTTTTTGCTGCATGTAGCCATGCAGTCTACACTGAATTTCAGAAATGAACAACATGATGAGTAGTCTGTACCTTAATTCTTGTCTTCAGCTGGAGAATTTCCTCAGCACTCGGGGAGCTAGCACTATCTTTATCAAGGCCAATTTCAAACATTGGCTGCAACAGGAAAACAAATAATATTTTCAAAACAACACAACATAAGATCTAGGCCAATTGATACAAAGATATTGAATTTTGCACACTTCAGGATGAAGAAGAGAGAGAATACTGAGGAATTTTATGAGTATGTACACTCTCTTACATCACAATCCCACAGTTGTGGCAAGCATTCGATTTTTCTCTATACCTTTTCTGTAATAACGGTTTGTCATTTCTCTTTGTGTATCACAGCTAAACCATGAATGTTAGGGCAGTACATGCCGGAATTTGACTATGAAGTTAAAACGACACATTTTCAGGGACAATTTGTTCTTGTGCACTCCCGTAAAAGAATCCTACGCACTTTTGAGACTGAAGGCATGTCTGAACTATTTGGCTACAGCTGGGTACTAAACAGGGGCCTATGAAAGCAGGGAGTGTGGTCTAGTGGTTAGGGTTCGTGACTCGTGATCAGAGGGTCAGGGGTTCGAATCCAGCTGCTGGCCATATGTTGTTTCCTTTGGCAAGCTGCTTTACCCCCACTTGCCTCTCTCCATCCAGGAGAAAATTGGGTACCTGCATAAGCTGGGGAGTAACCTGCGATGGACTGGCATCCCATCCAGGGGGAGTAGAAATATTCTCAGTTGTTTCATGCTACTGAAACCGGAGATAAATGCCGGCCTGATGGGCCATACTGGCTAGTGACAGATTTTATTTCACTATACGAAAGCGGCAGAATCCTCTTCCAAAAGACTAAAGTTGTTAGTGCCAGCTTTATTGAAGGAGTTGAAATGCGGCTACATGTATGTTGCCAACTCACCCCTGCCTTCTCCCCCTGAGTGGTGAGGCTGGCCATCTGCCGCCAGTGCTCACACTCTGAGCGAAGCCGCGATACCTCATTGGACAGCCGGTTGATCTCATGCTGGGACGAGATAACGTCTCCAAAGTCATGCTGGTCGGCCGACACCAGGGAACCAGTTAGGGATGAGGTGGAGGTGCTGTGGGTGATGGAGGCTGACGGGGGACCGGCTGTGGTGTTGGCTACCAGCATGCTCTGCTGCATGTCCTCTAAGGCATGTTGCTGCTGCTTCAGCGCTGTTAACTCGTCCTGCCACGCAGATGACAACAATTGAAATACTATTAAATATCCCAAAAGTTCAAGTGGAACACAGAGTGCATTAGTGTTTCATCACAAGGTTGGGACCACATTTAGGATGAATTTTTTTCTAATTTGTAGGAATACTTGAACTGAGTTTTGGGTTCTCCCACGTCCTACAACACAGATGACAAATTTCATTAAACACTACTAAATATCCCAAAAGTTCAAGTGGAACACAGTATGCATTTGTGTGTCATCACAAGGTTGGGACCGCATTTAGGATAAATTTTTCTATTCTTGATTAATTTTTCTATTCTAAAATTGAAATCAGTTTGGGTTCTTCTAAGTGCCAAACCCTTTTCCCACACCCATAATTTTTTTATCATACAACTGGTGTGTTGTTCCCAAAACTCCAGAAAAAGTACATACTAGTGTACGTATTTTCACTCAGAGAGTGTTCAGTCTGGCCAGTTCAGTTTCAGTGGGTGCATTGATATATTGCACGGCTGCATAAAAGGAACCCTGACAACTGCTCGTCAAATCTTACATGTTTTTCTTGAAGCACACCCCGGTACTGCTGAGAGATGGTGTTGATCTGCAACTCGGATGCCTCCGCTTTGTCAGATAATTCATGGTTTAAGATCTTCAGACGTTCATTCTGATTAAAATGGAAGGAAAAATTGGCAACCCCATGTGAGATCTTGGTTAATTTCTAAATTTTCTAAAGATTTAAGCTAATCAATATTATCTCCACACAATATTCTTATAAAAAATGAGGTTCACTGCAGAATTTTTTGTGCAACTTTTAAGGAACTACACAAACAACGTGAATTAATTAACAAGAACTGTTTTATTTTATACAAATTGTTATTCAAATAATTCTTGTTGCTATTTAAAAAAACACAAACTATGTTGTAATTTTCAAAAGATGAACAATTTCATTTTCAGGAATCAGTTCTTTGTCACACACTATAAAATAAAAGCTTTGGAGTTTTAGAACTGAAAGTTGAGAGAAAAAGATTTGAGATGTTTGAAAAACAATCAATCTGAGAGTTCAGATACCTCACAAGTTGAATAACATTAAGAAAATCTGACATGTCTGAGGGAAAAAACTACATGTAGGTTCCCTTAACCCTAACCCCCTAGGGTGATTTACTAGGAACCTTCCTCATCCTTGCAAATCCCAACACCATATGGTAAACTGTACGTTCTACAGTTGTTTATTTGTGGTATGCCTAACCCCATGTAAAGCATTATCCGTTTACCAGTAAACACCACTGATATATCGATATTACTCAATTATTCCATATTATTTTAAATATCGATATCGCCCATAGCAATTTTTTAATCATTATGGAAATATTGAAATTTCGATATTGAGAAATCATATCGAAAATATCGATAATGCGTCAGACTATCGTCAAAAATAGTGTTTATCGTTTGCTGTATAGTGAAATAAAACTTGGCGGCAACTTGTGCTTGTGATTCAAAATAAAAACATTGCAAAATGCCATGCGGCATTGCTTTGTGCTCTGCATTCGCTAGAATTCGCGGTCTCTCCAATGTAAAACCTAACCAAAAAACGCCCATTCTGGACAAACTGTCACTACTGAGATTTGTTTCAAAAAGTTTGAGCGATATGCTCCAAAGAAAGCCGTGGAAAATTGGGACTTAAATTTTTTTTTTTGATCAAAGTGTCATCTCTAAGGTCTTGAACTTTTACATGGGATAATCGATATATCGAATATTCCTCGATATTGGATTTCCGATATACAATGTATCGATTATTGAAAATTCTGATATCAACGGTGCTAAATATTTACAATGTACTCATCTGAACAGATTCCAAAAATCCCTGGTGTTGGAGTTTGACTGGATGGTGATCGTTAGGGTTAAGTCTGATTTCAAATTTCAAATGTTTACTTTGTTGTCATTTAATAAAACTTCTAAAGCCATCAAATATAACATTTTAACCATTTAGTCATGGTGGTAATATTACCTCTGATCGTTGTGCAATAACAAGTCCCTCTAGTTCCCTTATTTTGTCCTGTGCAATCTTCAGTTCAGTACCTTGATCTGAAATTTAAACAAAATCAATGAAATTTATTTTTAACTGCTTGGTTCTTCATTATGAAAATCTTAATCATGCAGGTACTAATTTTGCAATTGAAAATTGTCCTTTTCAGTGGTGTCAGTGAAGGGAATATGCTACATTTACATTTAGAATTTAAATATGTATGACGCAAATATAATGATACAATTTTGTGTAAAGTTGGATTTTATACAATTAAGGTACTGTAGCCCAGCTAATTGTCTTATTGTCTAACTGTTACTAATTAACAAGATTATAGGCTCAATGAAAGGAAACAGGTCAACTCGTAAGCATGCCAACTCGTGCGCAGATTGGCTAACTCGTACGTGTGTCAACTTGTACGTGTTCCAACTCATATGCGTTCCAACTCATACACGTGCCAACTCGTACACACGCGTTCCAACTCACACACATGCCGCTACTCGTACGCGTATTGAAATAAGCCAAGGAAAAAAATTTGCGACCTGACGTCACTTTTTTCTTTATATATCATCTCAATTAAGGTCAGTCATTGCAAAAATGATGATAAGACATGAATGTGGGACTTAGAAACATTTCCAATTTTGTTAGGAAATACTTTTCTTGACTCTCCATAGACTTTGTACACAACCGCTGAAGTGGCGTCAGGTTGCAACATTGTTTTTCCTAAGCCAATTTTATTAGGTGAGGGGAAAAAATAAATTGTACCTGTAGGATAACGTTTCCTGATCATAATTATCGGCATTTTGTGGCCAGTTAAAGGGAATATAGGCCTACATCATTTGCTTGTGCTGTGATTTTTAGAAATGAACTATTTGGCGGGGTTAGTATAATAGATCAAACATTGTTACACTGACATGTTTGAAGTTTTGTGTTCAAAAATGCTGGAAAAACCAAGAAAAACAAAACTGTTCAAGTAGTCTGGTTCCCTGGCTTGACTAAATATAAAATAGATCAATTTACAGATGCTGGAAAATTGTAAGGCAAGGGCACCAGCCTAGCTGGCCTGCACCCGTTCATGAACATGTAACAATAGCAAACAAAATTTGGACTGAATAAATGGTAAATTTGGAGCAGTAGTTGAAAAATAGTTAGGTTTTTCCAACGGTGGTCGGCCGACCAGCGCTGGAAATTTTTACAAAAATACCATTGTCTTGAAAATGACTTCACACCAGGTGCCATGATTTTACAGGATGCTTTAGACTGTCATTTACCAACATCCTATTAAGGTATTTCTTAAAAACTTGGTAGTTTTATTTTTCGATGTTTGCAAATGTTGTATTCCCTTTAAATGTGTTTTTGGAATTCCAACTTAAGAGAACATCCGTTCGTTCCCAGACTGCAGAACCAATGACACATGCCATGCGTACATGTACTTCACTGACTGAACAACTAGATACTAGATAGTCTAGTTGGTGCTGATGTCAGAGTTGGTCACTAAGCACATCAAACCACATGACTATGGAGAATTTGTCAAGACATACAGTGATTCGATTTACACATCGCGCATGAGTTGGCTCGCGTACGAGTTGGCTCGCGTACGAATTGTTCTAAAAACTAACAACACGTTATACAAACTGATGAAAAGAGACAATACAAAATCATAAAAAAGCAATGAAACCTTTGCATGAGAAGCTCAACATAGTCAGAAACTAGTCCGAGTCGGGCGATAGTATTACCCGACCATGCCCAAATGTTAAAAAAGCGATCCGTAGAGTCCTACTACCATGACTACCATGACTACCATGACTACTCGGACTAGTCAGAAACAAACATTACAAAGGAAAATACTCTCCCCCCCAAAAAAGAAAAATTTAATCATAGGGCCTAAATGAATAATTCTTTTTTAAATAACTAAAAATAAAAAGTAAAAATTTAAATTAAAATATTCACAAAACAACGCCAAAATACCCTAAAAACAAATTCATAAATACCTCAGACAGTTTAGCCATTCCTATTGGTCGAGAGCCCGTCACGTGGCCGGTATTAAACGGATGATAAAGACATGGCTAGCTGGTCTTAAACACTTTTCCAGTGTCACAATAAAATGTGGACTCCTAAAAATCCAGTGCCTCTTATCGTTTCATTGGTTGAACGTTCACAATCCTCACGTAGGCATGCGCAACACTACCAGGGAGTTAGAATTTTATAGTTCTAAATTCAAAACACAACGCGCCAGGTGCGTTCTGCGCGACATCGCATAGATACGCGCGCGTCAATCTCCATAAAAGGGTTGTTTTCATCTTACTCGCCAGCTGAACACTCCATTATTTTGCAGGAGGGATGATTCAAAAAGCATAAAGTGAATTTGTTGAACAAAATCGGGATGTTTTGAACGAATTATATGATTTTTTTTTACCGAAAAGGTATTTATGAATGGGAATAAATATGTACTCCGTCGGTATTTATCACTCTGTTTAATACCACTTAGAGTCTGGGTGCTGATAATTACCCTCGCCTCCGGCTCGGGTAATTATCAGCACCCAGACTCTAAGTGGTATTAAACAGAGTGATAAAAACCTCCGGAGCACACATTTATTCCCTTAATAAAACACTAAACACTGGCTTTATAAATTCTTCAAGAAAGTGTGCAATGACCAAAACAGATCAGCGTTTATCTCAGTATCTCCAGATGCTATCTGTAAAAACGTTAACATCAAAGTGCAACTCAGACTCAGACCGAACTCGGCCCTACACTCCCCCGGCCGGCCCGGGCCGGCCCCCATTAACCACTCACCACTGACTTCCTCTGTACCCTCCGCCAGTACATCACGGGTGAAGCTCGCAGCTGTGTTCGCAACGTTCGATAATTGCCCCGTCAAATTCCCTGTCAAATTCTTTATTTCTCCAAACCAGGCCATAATTCGGGCATTTAATTATACTTCAAATATCACTCTTCAATGCAGATGTTTCCAACATGATTTCAGTTTAAAAATGATTACAAAAAATGACACGTAATCCGCCTCCACGTAGACTCTCATGATTTTTCCAACACGAAATAAGAGTGGTTCCTGGACGGTGTAATAGGTTGTGCTGTGGATAGATAAAGTCTACCCGACTAGCTAGGTAAAAACAAGGCGTTTTTATGTCACGGCTTCGTTTTCAGATACGGGTTCACGAGTTTTTATTTTCTTTCAAAGCCTCGGACTTGGTGGACTCCGCCGCGATATAGGTTAGTGTTTTTGATTTATTTTTAGAAACATCTTATTCATAATACCATTAGACAAAAGAAGTTTCTAAATGAATTATTCAGAACCTCTGATGCCAGCGATGAAGCCGATGCTGATGACGAAATCGAGGTTTAGAAATACACCGAGGTCATCTGTGATTTCAGTCTGGTACCACACTCTTGTGGTCTAGTTTCTGTTTCGTATGGTATGCTGTCCAATTCCCAAGTACAATTAAGTCTACAGGTACAGTATGGCAATGGGGCAACTGCATGCACATGTATGGTGACCGTTTTAGCCGATTTTCGGCTAACTTTGACAGATTTTTTTGTAAAAAAACGAGTTTGACAGAAAATTTGACAGAATGGATTTTAAGTTGGCCAGATTTCTGGCAGAATTCTGCAAAAATGATTATTTGACAGAAAAACATAGCAAATCTAATGTACCATAAAAATGGTACATTTGTTTAATAAAGCTTAAATCTTTTCAAACAAACCCTTGCATAATGGGACAGCTTGGCTGGTCTAGGTGCCAAGGTTCACTGGGAACCGGACTTTGTCGTGATCGAGGCAACAGTGTTTTGTCTAAAAATTTACGCAATTTCATAACATATTTATGTGCCTATAGATTGTTTATAATTAATTTGAACTTTAATTAATGCAATACTACAACATCTGCATGTGATTTTAAGAGTTTATGGTGTATTTCGAGTACTTCTTGGGAAATTGGCAGTTTTTTTACCAATCTGACAGATTTTTGAAGTCCATTTAGCAGAATTCGGTCATGACCTTACTGTTACCCTGTGCATATGCGCACATATGCACTGCAGAAGCAGTCTAGTAGTAGTAGTGCAGTGCATGCTAGTGACAGCGAAGTTCCGTGTGTGTAACAAAAACAGGCCGGGAAAGTTAGATCGACTCATTCACACAGACCGGAGTGAACACTTGTTTCAATCTAGGATTGTAGTGTCGTAGGCATAGACTAGCTGGTATCAGACATGGACCTTGATGATAATGTTAGAAGCATTTTAACATGCTTGCAAACTTTCCTATCCGAAGTGAGTGCACGACAAAACCTTTTCGATATTCGCAATGCATACATGTGTATCTGGCGCGTATGGAATCGCGCGTATTTACAAACTACAAACCAACCAGGCAATTTGTATACAAACCTAGGCTATGGGCCGGCTGTGAATCTTGACAGAAATTTCAATAAATTTCCTTTTTTCCCCCTACAGTTTAAAAAAGAAAGAAATGTATTTATAAATTGTACATTCAGTTCAAAGATAATGATCAGTTAATGTTGCAAACATTCTGAAGAAAAAAGTAGGCCCTAGTATAGTAAGTAGTAACTTAAAACATTAAAATAGGCTGAGTTAGGAAAGAATGTTGCATCCTGGCGCGACTTTCTTCATCATAAAGGTCCTATTAATTATCTCAATGAAGGTCAGTATGGTGGCCCTGAAGGGACATCGCATATTGCAAACGTGTGCGCATACGTATGCGATGTTGCGAAATTTATCGCGAATATGTGCGCACACGTATGCGAAGTCGCGAAATTTATCGCGAATATATGCGCACACGTATGCGAATTTGTTTGCAATGTCGTGAATTTTATTGCATACCTTGTCGCATACCTTTCAGTAAAATTCCTAATGAACTGGGGAGTTGTAGCAGCTAGTCTGGAATCTAGACGTACTGTTAGATATAAATAGGGTCTGACTAATATTGTAATAAACCTTCGCGCGCACGCTGTTCCTCGTGCAATCGTTACTACTAGTACTGTCGAGCGCAAACTTGCGCTCGACAGTTTGAAACTTGCGCGCGCAAATTTCAAAGTTGCGCAAGTAGCAAGTTTGCGCTCGACAGTACTAGTAGTAACGATTGCACGAGGAACAGCGTGCGCGCGAAGGTTTATTAGTCAGACCCTATTTATATCTAACAGTACGTCTAGATTCCAGACTAGCTGCTACAACTCCCCAGTTCATTAGGAATTTTACTGAAAGGTATGCGACAAGGTATGCAATAAAATTCACGACATTTCAAACAAATTCGCATACGTGTGCGCACATATTCGCGATTAATTTCACGACATCGCATACGTGTGCGCATATATTCGCGTATTGTTTCACGACATTGCATACGTGTGCGTACACATTCGCGATAAATTTCGCGACATCGCATACGTATGCGCACACGTTTGCGATATGCGATGTCCCTTCAGGGCCACCATAGGTCAGGCATTGCAAACATGTTGAAAAGATGTGAATCTGGGACTGAGAAAACATTTCCAATTTTGTTAAAAAATGCTTTGAAAATGCTTTCAACTGACCATACCCTTTGCACTCAACCAAAGAAAGAAGTGGTGTCACTAGCCGTCAGGCCGCATTCTTTCCGACAGTTAACTGGTTCACTCCCCCTCATAGGTTTGTGCATAAACTGCATAATGCTTGTTCGTCATCCATACCCAGGAATAATGCAATGCGAATGTCAAAAAGGTTGAAGTAATACATGTTGATTGTCTGACTTGATTTGCCTTACAAATTTAGGTATGTAGAATAATACAGTGTTAGTGTGTGAAGCAAAATAATTTATCATGTTTGTGAACGGCTGTCTCAGTCCAAGTTCTCTGAGTTAAGCTTGTGGTCAGTCCAAAGTTAACTTTCAGAAGTAGGTACCAAGATAAATTGGACTCTCTGCCGTGTTTGCGGAGGAAGTCCAGTATCTCGACACCAGAACGGTGCAAATTAGAACTCCCTTCATAAGTGGACTTAAGCTCTGGGCCCAATTTCATGGCTCTGCTAACCACAGAATTCTGAGCTTATGATCCCTGCTATCTGTACCAGAAAAATTCTGTGCTAACCCTTAGTTATGGGATGTATGCATGCGCAGATGCCAAAATTCCTTGCTAACCCGTGAAACACACTGATTGTAAGCACAGGATTTTCTGCTACATTAAGCAGGGATTTTTCGCTAACGGGAAGCAGAGCCATGAAATTGGGCCCAGGTGGTCTGAGTCCTGCTCAAGTAGCCACTCCACATCCTGGAACAATTTTTAGCTGAATCATTTCCACGTTAGCTCAGATCAGCCCACTCAGTTTGAGTTCAACTCCTAATTAAATTAATATTCATAAATACCTCAGACAGTTTAGCTATTCCTATTGGTCGAGAGCCCGTCAAGTGGCCGGTCTTAAATCGGATGATAAAGACATGGCTAGCTGGTCTTAAACACTTTTCCAGTGTCACAATAAAATGTGGACTCCTAAAAATCCAGTGCCTCTTATCGTTTCATTGGTTGAACGTTCACAATCCTCACGTAGGCATGGGCAACACTACCAGGGAGTCAGAATTTTATAGTTCTAAATTCAAAACGCAACGCGCCAGGTGCGTTCTGCGCGACATCGCGCAGAACATGATACGCGCGCGTCAATCTCCATAAAAGGGTTGTTTACATCTTACTCGCCGGCTGAACACTCCATTATTTTGCAAGAGGGATGTTTCAAAAAGCATAAAGTGAATTTGTTGAACAAAATCGGGATGTTTTGAACGAATTATATGATTTTTTTTTACCGAAAAGGTATTTATGAATGGGAATAAATATGTGCTCCGTTGGTATTTATCACTCTGTTTAAGACCACTTAGAGTCTGGGTGCTGATAATTACCCTCGCCTCCGGCTCGGGTAATTATCAGCACCCAGACTCTAAGTGGTCTTAAACAGAGTGATAAAAACCTCTGGAGCACACATTTATTCCCTTATTAATAGACAATGTTAGTGTTCAGCTTTGCCTGTCTGAGATCTGCTATGCTGAGTCTTACTCAACAGTCCAAGTTTACATGGAGCTTAGCCTTTCCCACCTCAGCCAGTCCAAATTCAGCTCATTTGGTTTGAGGTGAACTTGGCTGCACTTTGTCAAGTGTAGCTAGCTGAGCTATTTAACTTAGACCGGCTGTACTTGGTTAAATTTGGCTACTTGATCTGATTTTCACTCCACCAATAGGAGTTTAGCTTAAAACCTGTCCAAGCTAAACTCGGCCGGTTTGGGTAAATTCATCTGGGTTGAGTTCAGGCCAATTTCGTAGAGCTGATTAAGCACAAAATTTGCTTAAGCACAAAAAACCTTGCTTTAATAATATAATCAGGTTAACGGCCAAAACTCCATATCGGTTACTGGTATTTAGCTGTTGCTTACTTACTGTAGCATAACAATGGCATGGAGTTTTGGTGAGTAACCTGATTATATTAAGCAAAGTTTTTTTTGTGCTTAAGCAAATTTTGTGCTTAAACAGCTCTATGAAACTGGCCCCTGTCCCTATGCTGCTGTAAGTTTTGCTTAAGTTCAACATAGGTGGGAAAAATGCTGGCAAGTGTTAACACAAAATCACCAAAAGTAGACGGATGAATTTTTTTTTTTTCCATTTACTTTTTGGCATTTACCCATTTTGATTTGCGCTGTATGATTTTATTCTCCAGACAAACCTTTCCTGCAGTGTGTCACTTACTGTGGACCCTTCAGCCATATGCACCATCAATGCATCACAGCTCCACACCCATTTGAAGAAACTTGTGTCTTCGCTGCAGGTCAGATGCTTAGTGTGTAGATTTAAATTTCAAATTCTTTATAAACTCTGACGGGAAAAAATCCACACCCGATCACCACTTACCTGCCGCCAAACAAATACATTTTCACCTCACCTTGTGATTTCAACCAAGAGGAATCCAGGAAACAGCGGACATGCGAAAAAAAATTAGTAAAAATTAGTTTTTAGAGCACATTCTGGATGCACATGTAGTGCAGATCTGAGTTGAAGGAGCCGGTCAAAACTGATTGAAGTGTCTGGAACAGCGGTACGTTATACGCATGACATCGATAACCATGACGTCGCATGAGCCGGCCAATGATAGTGCAATACGTCATTATGAATATTTATTTTCTCATGAATATTTAGTTTATTTCAATGGATACTTCAAATACGTCCAAAGATTGATCATTGCAACAGCGATCGTGCGCGGCCTAGCGGTTAAGAGTCTCGTGTATCAAGCAAGCGTCCGAGGTTCGAATCTCAATGAAGTAAGTGACTGATTGATAAATAGAAATTAAGGAAAGGAGAGGGTGAGAGTAGAGGAGGGAAAGTGGAGGGAATAACCATAAAAGATGTAACTTTTGGCGCTAGAAAATTAATTGAAAAAAGTGGTGATCGGGTATGGAATTTTTTCCAACTCTGACTAAACCTACAGTTATTTAATCTTTGGCATATATGCAACCATGCCCAAGATCAGTCAAAAGACAGGGTATTAACCGTTCGCTTCGGAGTGACAACACGCACTGGTTGTTTTTATACAGCCACAGCTGACGGGTTAAGACCTCAAGATTGCCTCGACTAGCATCCGGGTGACGTCTAAACAAGCTAATCCCTCATGCCTTTGGTACTCACACACAAAACCTGTGAAGTCTGGAGGCGGACCGTGTGTTGATCTTGAATTGGCCATTGTGCACGGCCTATTGTACAATTTACAGTGCACACCCCAGAGTATTGAAACATATGAGGATTCGGCAAGAAATATCGTACAAATACTGTTGAAATGACTCTTGTGAATCAGAATTCGAGGCATTTGGCTGTATATCAGAAGTTGGCTGGAAAATATTGTCTTTTTGCCAAAATCGAAATTTCGGCAAAATAATCCCGTCGTGAAGTGGTTAAAAAAAATTGTTTAAAAAGTGAACAGAAAATGCTGTGCACAAGCAAAGAAGATGGAGATCTGGTGAACACATCTGTTGTAGGTCTACTTTGTGCAAATAATCATGAGAAATCATAACCTGTCAATCTTAATGCTCATCTCAGACTGTTGGCCTGAAATGGCTTGCCGCGTCCCTACTCATGGTTACAGTTAAAATGCCAACTGCAGAATGTGCAAAGATTAAACTACATGTAGCTACCCTCTTGTTCGTCACTTTGACAAATGTACTTTGCTATATGTGACCAGCTCCACAAAAAAAGGTATTATGTTGCAAAAAAGTGAAATGGAGTTATTTATATGGTTGGAAAGCCCACAACGTAAGCTTTCATTTGGTATATAATAGAGCTCCATAGTCCCTCCCGTTCTGGAGATATATATAAATTACTTCCTTGGAGTTCAAATTGCACAACTGAGAAAACAGGCTTTGAAATAGCTGGCTTTGTTGTAGAACATTAGAGTGATGCACACAAAATGGTTGTTTTTTCCACTTTGTTCATCAAAATCAACATTTCTGTGAAAGAAACCTGAAACTGTAGGTATTAAAGATGACATTCATGACATAAAAATGAAAATTACATTTTGACAAAATTTCACCCTCTCAATGTTGAGCAGGCCATTACACAATAATGCTATTAAAGGGCGACTTAATTTTTTGTAGAGCCGGTCACATATACCATTTATTTCACATAATGTACAGGCATTGGTCCATGACCAGATGACTGAGGATGAAGACGAAACCACCCCATGCCCAATGGGGTCTACAGCATCTCAGATCAAGGATGAGGATCAGAAACCAACCATACCATCAGACCCATCAGTTGTTCAGATCAGTGCATCAAATGCAGAGGTATGATCACTGATCTATGTTTACTGGGATTTCCAATGCACTCATCACCAGGCACAAAGAAGGGAAACCGACTAAATAAGAGATCACTTCTTAGACCTCCATGGCTGCCACTTATGGAAAGCTGTGCTTGACAGAGAGAGAGACAAATTTTTACACTAAATCAAATTGGTGTGAATATTGAAAGACAACCGCTGGTTGGCTGAAATATATGAAGACATTACTTTGTTTGATGTGGGGAGTACAGCCAAAAAATCTATGTTCCTTTCTGTCCAGCATGACTTGCCATATGCTTTGTACATGTACACTCAGTGCACGCAGTATGCCGTATGAGGGTTTGGTGCATAGTACATTACTGTATGTTTCAAGATGGCCCACAAGAAACTTCAGTTTGTGTTCTCAACATGCTATCCAGTCACTGTAGTGATCAATGGATATAAGAAATACACTGCGCAACTTACATACATAGTTGCCTGTGACTAGAGTGGTTGCATGAAACCGTTGAAACCACTTTTGGGCTGTACTGATCAACTTAATTACAAGAAGTGACTATACCCCATAGAGCTATATTAAATTACTAGAGCGCTAACTCCTCATTCTTGCGTGCGGAGACGCTTTGAAGCCGTCCTGGGCGCAGACATTTTGAATTCATATATGTGTTTGTAGAACATGATGAAATTAGATGGATTGAATTTTGAAAGTGTACTCTAAATGCAACGCGCAAGTAGAACGTACGCAAACTTCTTACGCGTGTTACGGTTAAAAAAAAAAACACACTTAATCAAGGCTGCAGCGGATACGCACACGCGTTGCACTGTTTGCGTAGAGCAAAATGACATGTTCATTTGCTGATCGTGCGTTTCGGTTTTTGGCGTAACGACTTCGATGACACACCGGTATGGAATACAAACGCAATATGCAAATAGACATACACAAGGTTTGTGTACAAACATGGATGCGCCCAGCAGGCATTACTTTGTACATGAGTTAGCGCTCTAGTAATTTAATATAGCTCTATGCTATACCCCCACAGTGAGTCACTGGTTCCTGGATGAAGAGAAGCTGTAGGAGAAAATTGTCCAGCCCAAGAACACAAGCATGATCATTTCTTGGCTTGGTCTGAATCTGGAATGCAACCACTGCGATGAGACAATATTAGTTATCTTGCGAGCGCGAGTGGAACACGGAATAATGTAGTGCGTCTGTCTTATGTGGGACACAGACGCACTACATTTTCCATGTTCCACGAGCGCGATAACGAATTTATCTTCAAGCAAACTTGACGCGCAGTACAGTTGGAACTAGCACGCTTTACACGGACATTCGGCAGCTTAGCGTATGCAGCTGGAATGTCGCTCACATCTTGGAATAGCGCAATACGCAGAGTGCGGTATGGACCGTGGCCGTGCGGTATGGTTATATGTAGCATGGCTTGTTGCCATGGATCGACCAATCAGGATCGAGGATTCAAGTTTGCTTGAAGATAATGTTCAAAGTTCTAACCCTAACTCCCCAAGCCTTTTTGCTAAGATGTAGCCTCAATCCTGCAAAATCCACCAATTGGCCTCATGGAAAAATAGCATATTGCCTCAATCCTGCAAATTCCTCCATTATTTCCTGAGTATTGATCCTTGGAGGGGTGACCACTGCCTGAATTCTGCAAAATCCTGTGGCAGTGACTGTCATTGTGTTGAGGCTTGGCCAGTGACATCCTGGAGCAGTATGGAGGATTTCAAGCATAATCCAGGCCTATATTTATGCATGGCTGAGCAAAAACAACAAGGTCCGGCCCAAGACCTTGACAAATTAAAGTGCATCCTACGAAACCAGTAACGCATTTTTGCCATGTAACCTCAATCCTCCAAATTCCTCCACTTTGGCAAAGAGGATGTTGAAGGATTCAGGGCGGTTAGCGTTAATGGCAAATATGAGCATGGTCAAGTTGTATCAAGGTCTAGACTCTGGAACCATGGTGTATTTGGTCTGTTGATTTGTCTTTCCGTAGTGACAAACATTATTTGCATCATGTACATGTAAATGTAGACTTGTAGTGTACATCCCTTGTGTGCGTTTTCATTGTGAAGATTGAGAGACGAATCCGTGCCTTCATGGAGAAGAAGCAACTGGAAGTGGATGACATCAACAGGAGAGAGTTCTACACGGTCCCTGCATCCTCCAGACATCACCAGCATCATCACCATAGCTGTGCCCGCACAGATGCAGTCTTCAGACCAAGGAGTGGCTGCAAGAGCCATGTTAAAGGTACATTGTACAGATTTCCAAAATATTGAGGGGTTTTTTTTAATAACCATTTTCTAAGATCTAGGTTACAGGAAATCAACAAAATGACTTATGGAGAGAATGTTGAAAAATCCCATTTGTTTACATCTGGCCTAGCAGCTGGTTTTCCCCTTTTCTTATACATATTTTCATCGGCGATTAGAACCATCAATCAAATTATGAGCCAAGTTTGTTGGCTTCAGACTGGCGCTGTCAAGGCAAAAATTTGCATCCTTCCCCCATTTCAAATATTTTTGATTAATCATGACTGGAAACAATCCCAAATATCCTCTCCAGAAATAGCGTCATGTACATAAACCCTCCCTCTCTGGCTTGTAATTCCAACAAGGCCAGCCCAGCAGTCAAAACAATCAAGTGACTGTTTGTAAAAGTTGAGTGCTCCCTGCCTTCATAAAGCAGGCTTGACTCGCTGTGGTTGTTATGAAACCTGATACAGCTATGCTTTGACTGTGGGAGATTGATAAGCCAGCTGTGCCTATCAGCTACCTGCTTTTGTCTGTTGATAGAATTTCACTGTCACCGTGCCTACAACTTACAAGAAATGTGATCTGACTGTTGGTGACTAACCTGTGTAAAATGCATGGCAGGGGAACAGGATTCAATTTTTGACTGTCTGTGACTGATCAAAAGTAGGTTTTAATTAATGCAAATTTGAATTCATTGCTTATGGCCTCCCCCTCCCCCTTCAAATAATCCTGGACTCAACACAACAGCCAAGAAAACTGGTCTTAGCATGTACCGTATGTCAGCCAAACTTCTGGACTTAACACCTCAATCGTCTGCCTTTGATAAATCCCGCATCTGCCACTATCGGTCAAACATGCTCCCATGCAGCTCTCCATCTTAATTCATTAAAGTATGTGTATCCCGATTGCTTATTTATTCACAGTCTCCAGGGTTGTGAATGTGCACGGGCCACAGACCAGACCAACCATGGTTTCCTATCGTCCACTGTCATCAGGACGCTCGCCGGTCTCCAAGGCCAGACGGTGTTTGTCTCGTCTGAGCTCTCAACAAGGCATAGAGGAAAGACTGCACAATATGGAATCTCATCTCAAGATGAGGACAGGTAGGGCTGTGCCATTTGTTCATTCCGCTTAGTTTCCGATTGTATGACGCCAAAGTACCACGTTTCCTGGCAATCATCCACCATTGCAGTAGGCTAGGGTGTTGTTAGCAACCACGTAGTGCGTTGTAAACTAGACAGTAGGGCTTATTTTCACGTCAAATAACTGAATTCTTTATCAATTGGCGTTGTGGTCACTACCTGTGCCATGTACGGTTGTCATAATCCTATTTTTCTCACAGTTTTTTGCCATCCATTACAGCTTCTGTGCTCATCTTTTTGTGTTGTCATAGGGTGTTTTCATCAATCTCTGCTTACTCAAGCCGACCCATACTTTACAGCCCCAAACAGCCCCATTTTCGTCTCAATACAATTTAGTAAATATTCCGCATATTTTTTTTTTATGTATTCCGATTATACATCAAATTTACTTTATTTCCCTTTATTGAGCACGGTTGTATCTTTAATAGAAGTGTGAAAATAACACTGATATTGCATTGAATTTGTACCAGGTGAGATTCCTCGGTCAGATGTGTACCAGAGGCTAAAAGAACTGGAGAGTAGAATACTACACCTGGAGGGTTTGTCACCAGAGTACTTTGATGCAGCTACAGTAAGTACACAAACATGTACATACACTTGTTAGCAATCAGCATAAGTAATAGAGGCGCCCTGTGATTGGCTGTTCTGACTGATTGTCGGATGCAATTTTGTCCCTGCGTATGATACGGCCATTAACCCAGGCACGACACGCTTCGTATGTACGTGTACGTTAACGAAAGGGAATTATTTTGTAATCACCGGGAGTTGCACTCAAATTATCCTTTTTTCGGGTTTAGCTTGATCATTACCCCTAGAACTATGGGCCTTATTCATGAGTCGACCATATTGAATTGAAAGTGAGGTAAAATCTTAATTTTTGGAACTTGCGAAGAGAAATGAAAGCAAGTTCATTGATAATAAATTCCAGTCTGCTTCAATGAATAATTTAAAATTTGTAATTAAACATTCCCTAATGTTTAAAGCCATATTTTTTAAAGAAAATGACAGTAATATAAGGCTGCATTGTGCCTGCATAAATAGTCTGGCGCCATCACATTCAACTGTTAACAATTCATGAAATACATTCAGGGAACTCGACAAAAATGGTTAACTGGTGAATAAGGCCCATGGTGCTCCACGTAAGTGGAGCACCATATGTAAGCATATCGATGTGAACATACATGTCCACTATACCATATCAACAATATACAGGCAACGACCGAGAAAAAAAGATATTCGATTTTGGTGTGGCCACTGTACATTTTACCCCAAGACTACATCTGGTACTTCTTGACGTTCTATTCACAATACCAAACATGGGTTGCATGGCCAATCATACCTTTTTCTTTTATTGATTTGGTCAATTGTTTGTCAGGTCATTATTGGTTAACTCCTATGTTTAAAAAAAATATAACTAGCCTTGCCTAGCTGTGTTTGAAACTTTAAGTTAAGGGCATTATTTATACACTTTGACTCGGGTAAAAAAAACTGGCTCCTCGGGCCTGGCAAGAAAAGTTATTAAATTTTCAAAAAAACCTGGAAAAAACACCTCTTTTTCCCCCTTTTTTAATCAGCAATCTATGCTGAAGCGTCAGCGAACCGAGAGTCACAGCTCAGATTCATCAGACATAGGTATCCATGAGATAGACAGCCGCATCAAACAGCTACAAGACTCTCTACGAAGAAAGAGTTCTCAGACCGGCCACCTGCAGGGTACCAGTGGAGCAGTGCTGCAGAGAACATAAAGACTTTGTTGGCTGCTCGCGATTGTCAAGAATTTACAATGGCTTTACTTATTTAGGGATGGATTTTTCTAAACAGGGGGAGTTTGGCCTAGTGGTTAGGGTTCGTGACTCATCATTATCAGAGGGTCGGGGGTTCGAATCCAACTGCTGGCCATGTGCTGTGTCCTTGGGCAAGCCACTTTACCCCTACTTGCCTCTCTCAATCCAGGAGTACAAATGGGTACCGCGATTAGCTGGGGAGTAACCTGCGATGGACTAGCATCCCACCCAGGGGGAATAGTTACAGTCGTTTCATGCCACTGAAATTGGAGATAAACGCTGACTTTTTTTGTATTGTCTAAACATGTACCTGCATTTCCCTTTGCATGTCGTGTGTTGACTGTGTTGTAGTTTGGCTGCGTGTAGTATATGTACACTGTAGTAATAGCTATATGTACCGGTATATTCCTCCAAAACGTCAGTGGTCCTACAAACAACAAAGCTCCTTTGAGAATTATTATTTTTCCATCATTAAATTAACTACAAAGGGACACAGATTAGGCTCACTTTTAAGCATCATTGGGGTCGAACAAAGAAATTGACTGGATTAGAATTTGAACCTGCATCCTTCGGCATACTGTAACAAAAAATCTTGATCCCCATTTTTCTGCTTGGATGCACCCTGGTATGCAAGGCCAGTGCAGACATTGTGGTGTTAGGCTTTTTTTCCCCCGTCTACATTGGAGAAGTTTCTTTTTGTTTTGGAGACAGCAAAACTATATATATTCCAGCCTCACCCCTGCACCTGTATTCTTACCTGTGTTGGTTATCTCATTAAATTATTTGTTCAAATGCTCCATATACTTATTTTGGTTAATATTTCCATTGGTGTTGTTTTAATAATTTGGGAGGCATCTTCCAAAATCTGCTTGCTTGAGTCCATTATTGCAAGTCTTGGTGTATGTTTGTGCAACTTGTCATTTAGTGACTACCTTATTATTTGTCTTATTTAGTTCCATATGGGCTCACCCTGACCAGGGTTGTTGTGCCATGCCCCGCCCTACGGCCACGCAGCATGCTGAACAATTATACCAGTGCTTAAAGGCCTACATAGGATCATTTGCATTTATGCCAAAAGTAACCTACCGAATTATCAAAAAACTTCTTGAATTTAAGATTGTAGTGGTAAACACCCTGTCTGGCTTGCCGTCTTTTAGATGAAATCAAGAAAATGTAGGTGATTTCCAATTCCAACGATCAGTCAATTGACTGATTTTTGGAAATAGAGTTCTACAAACGAAATTGTGTTTCGTGATCAAAAGGTTGTGCATGGTTTTTCACTGTTTCCTAAAAAAAATGTGATTCACCGAGCTGAAACTTCAACAGGTTTAAGGTTTTGAACATTCCGGTTTGCGGTAACACCATGTGGTAATAACTACTGCTTAGAAGATATTAGTTCTGAAAAGAACTTGTCCTGCTTATTATCAACTTTGCTAAGTAGTTTTTTGTTCTGATAAGAACAGTCCTGCTGTAAGTTCTAAACGAACTTGTCTTTGGTCTCAACGTTTCGACTAGCCTGCTCTAGTCATCGTCAGTAGACTGAAGATAGTTGGAGATGCTACTCCTTAAGTAGGATTTGTTAGGATTGGGAGTGCTTGCTGGGCATGCCCTGCTCGCTCGGGTGTGTCAGTTGGTTGTGAGACATGGGCATTGTGTTGAGGGATGCCCGCTGAGCGTCCTGCTCGCTCGGGTGTGTCAGTTGGCTGCGAGCCTTGGGCATTGTGTTGAGGGATGCCCGCTGAGCGTCCTGCTCGCTCAGGTTTAAGGTTTTGAACATTCCGGTTTGCGGTAACACCATGTGGTAATAACTACTGCTTAGAAGATATTAGTTCTGAAAAGAACTTGTCCTGCTTATTATCAACTTTGCTAAGTAGTTTTTTGTTCTGATAAGAACAGTCCTGCTGTAAGTTCTAAACGAACTTGTCTTTGGTCTCAACGTTTCGACTAGCCTGCTCTAGTCATCGTCAGTAGACTGAAGATAGTTGGAGATGCTACTCCTTAAGTAGGATTTGTTAGGATTGGGAGTGCTTGCTGGGCATGCCCTGCTCGCTCGGGTGTGTCAGTTGGTTGTGAGACATGGGCATTGTGTTGAGGGATGCCCGCTGAGCGTCCTGCTCGCTCGGGTGTGTCAGTTGGCTGCGAGCCTTGGGCATTGTGTTGAGGGATGCCCGCTGAGCGTCCTGCTCGCTCAGGTGTGTCAGTTGGCTGTGAGCCACGGAAGTTGCAACTTGGAATAACTGAATGCCATAATGTTGCTTATGAAATAGCCGATATCTTGTGGGACAGTGTCATGTTTGTGGATCTCAATAGCTTCTCTGATACGAACTTACAGCAGGACTGTTCTTATCAGAACAAAAAACCTACTTAGCAAAGTTGATAATTAGCAGGACAAGTTCTTTTCAGAACTAATATCTTCTAAGCAGTAGTTATTACCACATGGTGTTACCGCAAACCGAAACGATACCGATACCCCACCATGCAAAGCCTCAAATCTTATATGTTTTGAACATTCTTCTATAGATTGTGAGTGGTGTTATTATTGGCAACGATCAAAATGCATGAACAGCATATGATCTTATATGCCTTTAAGTGGAAAGAATGTAGCATCCAGACGCCACTTCTTTGGTTGTGTACGAAGTCTATGGGAGAGTCAAGTGCATTTTCAAAGTATTTTCCAAGAAAATTGGAAATGTTTCAGTCGTCCCAGATTCATGTCTTTTCAACGTTTTTGCAAAGACTGACCTTCATTGAGATGATGGAAAAAGTGGCGTCAGGATGCAATAGTCTTCTCCTTTAAACGATTGAGCTTGTCAGCCCCACGGCAGTTTCCCAGTCGGTTAATGTTATGCATTCAGCAAAACTAGCATCATTGTTAACAGGTTCATATCCCGCACCCGTTAACAAAAGTCAAGGAAAAAATGTTGCAACCTGACGCCACTTCAGCGGTAGTGTACTTGTACAAAGTCTATGGAGAGGCAAGAACATTTTCCAAGTATTCCTAACAAAATTGGTAATGTTTTTCAGCGACAGATTCATGTCTTATCGTTTTTGCAATGACTGACCTTCATTGAGATGATATATGAAGAAAAAAGTGGCGTCGGGTTGCAACATTTTTTCCAAAGTCAAATAAATGTTTTAAACGATAGCAGACTAGTGTACGTACTCTACAGAGAAACAGTATTCTTACAATGTACGAAACTGAAAGAAAATACACAACAGTGATAAATTTAAGAATGGTGTTCAGTTATTTTATTTGAGTGCAGTTTTCATTTATTTTGCAAGGCTTTAAGCAGGGTAATACAATCGCATTTTATACAGAACATCTATTTTGAAAAACAAAAATTTACAAGTCTCTGATTGAAATATAAAGATTTCTGCCAAGCTTGATCACACACAGGTTACTGAATGCACACACACAAAAGTCAAAAGTTTAAAAATACTATGTACATATCGTCCATTTTTTTCCACATCAAAAAACAGACAAATTTTCTCAATCTTGAGACATATCACAACAGTACGCCATAGTTCAACGCCACAAAGTTATCTACTTGCATCATTCGTCAAGCGACTTCCCCGTGGACAAAAACCAATGGAGCTGGACATAACGGCCAAAGTTATTACCCGTCATAATTCCTGAGATTTTCGGGTTATACCACCCAAAAATCAATGAAATCGAACCAGTTCTGAAGATATCACTAAAAATGCAACGCAATGCCCAAGGTGCTCTATTCACTGTGCATACACCTTTGTATGCCAATCCACGGACAATCGGGTCAGTGCACTTCGGCCCGATTTCGTGGACTTTTCTCGACTCTGACAGAAAGTACCGACTAATTTTTTCCTGTTTCTGTGCATTCTGATGGGTTAAAAGCCTACTGCGTCAAATTATATTCATTCGGGAATCTCTGATAAACTTCATTTGTGAGTATCCACATCGATCAGCCGTTTTGTAAATGTACACAATGAAAATGTGATGAAAATACGGGCAAAAGAGATTGTGCATCCAACTGCTTGTCGGTAACAAGCAAACTTAGACATTTGAGCTTCATTTTAGAAAAATTCATGACATTGAGCCAACAAAAATATATTGTTTCGGATCAATGTTTTGAGTACTGAAAAGATCGTTTTGCAAATCCAACGCAAGTGAAGCGCAGCATGTTAGAGCGGAACAAATCGTGCCGCACTGTGTCAGTGACGCGTGGCGTCATGCAGCATTCACTTATTGGTCGGTTGAACATGGACAGTGTGCCACCGCCATTACGTACTGCATTTTTGTACATAAAAAAGGCACCAGTATTGTCTTAAAAAAACTGAAATACCTCCACTTCTGGTCATCCTATTTCAATATTTAAAAAGTTTTCAATTTCAGAAAGCCAGCCTGACATCTTGGAAGTAATAAAAATCACCTAATGTGCCTACCAGTGGCGCCCTGTATTGTCCAATATCACACCTCCTGATGTACAGTGAAAGGCAAGGACCCTGAAGAAATATGACTGCATTGAAGCCAGCCCAGACCTACCGGTACCTATCCATAAGGACCTAGATAATCAACCCAAGCTGCGACTAAAATATCGCAAACCCTTCTGGGTCTCTGCAGTCACTGAATGACAATGTATTTGCAAAGGAGGCCTGCCGCAGTCTCTGGGACAACGGGGAATTTGCCAAGAAGGACCTCTTACAGGATCCTACCGTGGGGCCTCCAGGTGTCAGCCTTGGCAGGCGACAGTGGACCACCATAGAACCAGGCATGCAACTGGGAATTTGGAAAAAAATGAGGACACTCCAAACCACACCAGACTTTGTACAGTGTTTTTCAATTGATGAGAAGTGAAAAACGAGGAAATCAGTGGATCTGAGGAAAAGTTGCATGCCTGTAAAACAGGATTGGCACCCTGCAAGCCAGGACTGCACATCATCTCTTCAAGTGGTAGTTCCAGGACAACTTGGCATGCGATTGTGACCACCCAGACCAGACCATCCCATATATTGTGTATGATTGCATGCTGAGGAGGTTCTCAGGGGGCATCAAGGAAAGCCACCTAATGACGGATCATGCTCTGACCTGGCTCACCAACTTAGACCCGTTGTCATATGAAAATCCGACTCCTATGAAAATCGGACTTCTTTTCCCCATTATTGGTTAATCCCTCGCACGTGACAGGTCACTCTCCCATATGATCCTAACAATAGCATATTATCGTACTTACGCATGCGCAATACTACCAATGAGTCCATATTTCATGGAGTCGGATATTCTCTTAAGGCAGCTGCATGGGTCATACGCAAGATGATCAAGTACTTTACTCAAAGCAATTTAATTTTTTTTTATGAAAGGAATGTTAAGGATAAATTCGGAATGGTAATGATAGATATTTGCATATATGAATGTCTCAGTGATCAGTCATAGAAATCAAAATCATCCTTGAGATCGTCTGACTTCAGGGTTCCCGTTCCCATGGGAACGCTCATCTCCGATTCCTCCATGTCCGACTCCTCACCCCAGAAAGCAGCTGACCTTTGCATGGGGTCACTCCGCCCGGTAGACTTCAAGCTATAAAGCAAGCATAGGGAAAATATCCAGCAACACGTAACCCAAACATTGGCAGGATAAAAAGTTCTTTCACACAATGAATTAAAAACAGCATATAGAGCATATGCCTGTTGACATAAAAAACTGTATAAGATTTTCCATTGGCTCAGTGTATGCGACGCATGAAGTCAGGGATTGAGATTGTCGATTTTGAAAAAAATCTGAAACTTGATGAAATGTCTGAAAGATGCATATCTTTCTATACTAATCTCTCAGATTAAAAAGTCTGATTTCAGACAAAAGTCTGAAAAATCTCATGCCTGACAAGTGACAAGTGTGCACAGAGCGTATTTAAAATGAACTTTTAAAAATTCATGCCCCAAAAAGATGATGGGTTAATATAAAAGTGCATGTAAATGAAAGAAGGGAATATACAACATTTGCAAACATCAAAAAACAAAACTACCAAATTACCATGAAATACCTTACTGGACTGTTAGTGAATGACAGTCAAAAGCATCCTATGAAATCATGGTACCTGGTGTGCTGTCATTTTCAAGAACAGTGGTAGTTTTGTGTCGATTTCCGATGCTGGTCGGCCAACAAAAAAACTGGTGTTTTTTTTCAAATACCGCTCCCAATTTATCATATTTAGTTAGTTTGCATTTTCCTTGCAATCGATTACACATCTGTGAAAAGGTACAAGCCAGCTAGACTGATTCCCTGATAAACATCTATAAATTGCTGCATTTCAAGTTAAGTGGCATCAGGGAACCAGACTACAAGAAAATGATTGTTTTTCTTGATTTTCCAGCATCTACTTACCCAAAACATCAAACAAGTCAGTTTAACAATATTTGCTATAAAATACTAACCCCCAAATCCATCAATTTCTGAAAATTACAGCTAAAGCAAATGTTGTATATTCAGCGGTAGTTTGATTGGTCCTTATTAGAGAGACAAGACAATGGGCTCCATGCGCCAACAAAAAAGGGCGCTTTCTAACCATATTTGAGAGCTCCGTGGACAGACACAATGCATGTGCATGCTAGTTCGGAAGGGTATAAAGCAAAGCACCCACAACTTTTTCTTTATCCTAAAATGTGCACATAGCCATAGCGTCTTCATGTGAGCGACAGGCATCGTTGGCTGTGAGTTTGAATGTCTCTTCCAAAGGGCCCATCCAAACTCTCCCTTTTTTACCAGTGAGGGAGTACTTGTGCACAAAGCCCATAAGGCATTCACTTAAAGCTAGAGTCCATCCTTTGCAGCCATCCGAAAAGTAACTGGCGTAATTGTTGTTGAAAAACAAACTTGGTTGAAAGATAGTAAGGGAACTAAACTCCCTGTGAAATTATTCTTTCTGGCAAGCTGTCATTTTGAAGTAATCAACGAAAGAAGGCATTTCCAACGGTGATTCTTAAGAAGCACCGTAGGAAAATTTAAATTAGTAGTTCGTTTTGTTATTCAGCGCAGCGCGCACAAGTATTGGAACGACGCACACGCGCGCGCGGCTGTTGTAATTCGTCGGATCAGTGCGCGACGTCGCGTATAGCTGCAATTCAAAACAATTCAAAACATGATTCAGTAACTTTTGATTTGAAATTGAGATATTAGAATGCTGTTTTTCTCGGAATGTACAGCTGAAGCTTAGCTGAAACTTCATCAGGTTAGTTGCTCAGTATCCTTCATTAGATTTTGAACTCTTTTGTTGCTTCAAACGAACAAAATGCACAAATTACAAATGATGGACTGTAGCTTTAAAGGGAATATACATCATTTGCTTTTGCTGTAATTTTCAGAAATGGATGGAATTGGGGGGTTGGAAATATATATAGCAAATATAGTTACACTGACTTTTTTGAGGTTTTGGGTTCGAAAATGCTATAAAAACCAAGAAAAACAATCATTTCCCTGTAGTCTGGTTCCCTGACTCCATATGAGAAGAAACAGAGCAGTTTACATACATTGGGGATTGTAAGGTCAGGGAACCAGTCTAGCTGGCTTGTACCCGTTCATAAGTGTGTAATCCATTGCAAACAAGTGCGATGGTCAGTTGGGGCCAGTATTTGAAAAAAAAAACAGTTTTTTTCCAACGCTGGTCGGCCGACCAGCGTTGGAAATTGATACAAAAATACCACTTTTCTTGAAAATGACAGTACACCAGGTGCCATGATTTTACAGGATGCTTTACACTGTCATTCACTAACAGTCCAGCAAGGTATTTCAAAATGATTTGGTAGTTTTATTTTTTGATGTTTGCAAATGTTGTATTTCCCCTTTAAACCACATCCGAATGGCTCGGCTATAGGTCGGCAATAACTGACAACTAAGCCCATTGAAACTGCCTACTCCACTTCCCATAGACATGTGTGTGTTACTGCCAGCTGCGGCAAAGTAATTCAGACACGCCCCTAGTCTGACCCCTGACCCCTGACCCCTAACCTTTGTTCCATGGCGGACGGGACATATCCAGAGCCTTTAGGGCTGGGTGATGGGGACGGTGAGCTGACAAGATCTGACACCTCGGATCGCTTGGTCGCTCCACCGTCAGCGCCAGCGTTGCCCCTTGTATCCTTATCTTCGTCATCATCCCCATAGCTGATGCCTAAGCTTCCGCTGCCTCCAAAAGACGACAAGACGTTTCTCCTCTTTCTGTGGAGTGGAAAGATGTTCAGGAAGCTTTATATATCATCACTAGATAGTGAAAAATTAGTAAACTGTTTGATCCAGGCTTAATTTCATGAAGCTGCTGAAGCATCATCGATATATCGATATTACTCGATTAGTCGAGATTATTTTGATATTGATATCGCCGATAGCAATTTTTTGATCATATCGAAATATCAAAATTTGCAATATTGAGGAATGATATCGAAAATATCGAAAATGCGTAAGATTATTGTCAAAATAAACCTCCCGTTTTTGTTTTTCCTTTGTGTTTAACATTTGCTGTATAATAAAATAAAAGTCGGCGGCAACTTGTGCTTGTGACTCAAAATAGAAACATCGCAAAATGCCAAGTGGCGTCGCTTTGTGCTCTGCCTTCACTGAAATTCGCGGTCTCCCCAAATGTAAAACCTCAAAAGAAACCGCCCGTTCTGGACAAACTGTCAGTGCTGAGATTGTTTTTAAAAGTTTGAGCAATATGCTCCAGAGAAAGCTGTGGATATGTGGGCCTTTGTTGGGGATAAGTGTCATCTTTAAGGTCTTTAACTTTTACATGGGATAATTGATATATCGAATATTCTCGATATTGGATTTCCGATATTGGATTTTCGATATATATTGATGATTGAAATTCTGATATCGACGGTGCTTAGAGCTGCTGAGGATTCATCTCAATAATAATCCTGTAAATCTTGCAGAAAAATGTCCCTGATAGGGTTCATTTTGTTAGAAGGTAAATTTGGGAGTCGAACAAGGAAACTGTATCAGTCACTGCTTGACTAATGAGCAGGATGGTTCAAGCAACAGAGGGCCCAAATATCGCTGTGACTTACCCCTTTATAAAATCCTGGATCTGCCATTGAAAGTGAAACCCTTAACCCAACCTACTTGTTTCTGGACGATGGTGGCGTCTCTGGAGTTAGTCTGGTTGCTCTCTCTATTTCATCGTCTTCATCATCGTCTGACAATCCCTCCACTCCCTCCTCAACATCACTGTTTCCCTGGTTCCCGTCCTGGCTGGTTACCGGGTGACCCTGGGAGCTCTGCATCAACTGCTGGTAAGCCTTGGTCTCTGTCATAACAACAGATACAATCCTCGTTCGGTACATTTTTCATGGATTTATCTGTGTATATTTTTTTCATTCTCCTAGATGCCATTTCTAAGGGTGCTACATGTATAATACATTGTATTACACTGTGTATATTCATAATGAATTCATTGTGTTTATTCACAAGGATTGCGTACAACTATTGCGTGCTTGGGCAGTCTCGGGCGTTACAGGCAGAATAGGCAGGGCAAATTTCTATACGCCCGAGGACAATGCTTTGTGTTTCCCTTTGTCCCTTTAATATAACACTCTCCCATAGACTAAGTACAAAACTGTACGATCGAGGACCGTTTTGAACAAAAGACCCAAAGCTCAAGGACTGAAAGGATATTTTGTTCTCCCTTTTTGTGTCTGTCCTCTAAAGCCATACATGTACACCAATACCAGTTTGTTTATGGTGTAAATCGAGGATTTTCTTTTGTTCCTCTTCCCTTTTCCTTTGTTTGTACTCTAACTTTTTCGCAACAGCTCTCATTGGTTTTGTACATGTTTTCCAACCGAGGAGTCCTCGATTTGGTTTCTGTCCTCGATTCATCGATGATGTTGCACGAGTGTGTCCTCGATTTACACCATAAACAAACGCCAGACGCACATACACACAGACACAAAGAAGGAATACATTATCGCAATATCCCCCTTTCTGGCTGAAAAGCCATGGGGATAAAAAGACAGTAAAAGTTTGCAGGAGTGGTTTCGTCTATTATTAAATCTGCGTGAAATGAGCAAATGCTTTCCTACTTGTTTCAATGAGGAAGAATTTAGGTTCATAACTTGTACAGAAAATGTATACAATGTACAGGTACAGTTTATGCCTAAAGTGACATTACAGTAACAGTTTCCCTCAGGTGTCATATACGACATGGAGAAATTTCAAAAGATAAAACTTTCTGATAATCTCTAATTTCATTTCTTATCAGTGCAATCATACAGGTATTTTACCAGGCATCAAAATAATGATTTAGTTTTATGCATGGGTTAACTTTCAGATTTGATCGAATGACAAAGTTTACATTTCACGAAGAGAGACACGAAAATGTTGTTTGTACCTGTGAGGGGCACTGCAGGTTCATCAAAGAAACTGTCATGGCTGACTCGGTCGGTCTCTAGGTCTGGCGTTGCATGATCGCCGGTATCGCCCAGGTCCAGAGGTGGCACTGAAAAAAATAAGAAACAGACAGCAACGTAAAACTTTGTAAAAATTGCTTGACTATTTCAGCGGTAGTTTCCACAAGGGATTACTTACACAGACCAGGAAAACAGGCAACACTGCAATGCCACTGCATCCACACAAGCCTCCAATGGTGAAGGACACAGATATGACAGAAAAAAAAAGGTACATAGGACCATTTAATATTTTGTCCCATTTTTTTTCCTTTTGTAGTAACAAAATGTGATGTTGAAGTCCCAGCATTTAAGAATTGAACGAATACAATCCAAGTATAAAAAAAAGTGGGCCAGCAGGCACACTTTTCCACATTAACTGACCTTCGGGAGGGGCCTGATGTCGATCCCTTGTCTCATGGGGCGTGTCCAGATGAGAGGGTGTGGCCGAAGCAGAGGGCAGGGTGGAGTAAGTATCGTCCAACTGACTGTCCTCCTCCTGCTCATGAAGTCTTTCTAAGATGCTTGACATGACATCAAAGGCCTGATGGGACATGTGGGAAGGGATAGATCAGGACAGATATCATTATGACAAACTTGAAACCTGTCTTGGACTTGAACTCCAGCGTCATGCCAAAACGAATTATTCCTAAAATTTGTATTAAAGATCAACATTGAAACGGTTAGGAGCAACTGTACCCACTTGCTGACGAAAGATCAACTGTTGTAGCTGTTTGAAAGTACTCCACAGTTTAGTCAGTGGAAACTGAATACATATACATGCGGTTTGTCTGAAATCAAGATCTATTTGGATTGACTATATTTCTTCCACACACTACGTTTTCCGTGTTCCACAAGAGCGAGCGCGATAAGAAATGTATCTTCAAGCAAACATGAGGCATAGTAAAGTTGGAAGTAACATGTTTTAGCAGTTTAGTGCATGCAGCTGGAATGATGTCGCTTGCATCTTGGTACAGCGCAATACACAGTGTGCGATATGGACCTTGCAATACAGTATATCACACTGTTGTTGCCATGGATTGATTGACCAATCAGGATCGAGGATTCAAGTTTGCTTGAAGATGAAGACACTTCTAGTACTTTCGGTTCCGTGATGGGTGTATTTTAGCTAAAGTTGCATATCCAAATGACTTTTCAACTTGAATGGGTTTTTTTTTAACTACTTATTCCAATTTTGGGTATCTGCAACCCTCTGAGAAGGGCTTTCATTTTGCGCACAACTGAACCTGCATTGCCAGAGCAAAATTACTGTCTGGCAACCAATTATTTGAATTTTGGGAAGAAATAATTAAACAACTAAACGTCGGTGGGTTTTTCATTTGATGTCTCATTCAAAACTGAATAACTTGCATATTGATAGGCAAATAGCAACTGATAAAAAACTGTTTTCGTTTATTCGGGATGAAACTCAAACATAGCAAGGGGAACACATCTATAGAGACCAAAAACTGTTATCAAAAATTATGAAAATAATAAATGGATAGCATAACAATTGTTGTCTGTTGTAAAACAATCCAAGTGTTTTGCCTCATGTGCCACTCCCATCCCTTCGGTGTCCAAATTGCCAATGACTGCACCACAACAGACTAGCGGTGTGCATTTACAGGTGGTACGGTAACTGGGAACCCTATTGAAGTAAAACACGGGTATCCCAAGAAGCCCAACCCCAAAATTCAAATCCCTTAACCCTAAAGGGGCCGGGGGGGGGGGGGGGGGTGGAATCCGCCCCCCCCCCCCTCAACTTTTTCCGCGATAGCTTCTAAAAAAATTTTTTTCGCGACCCGAGCTGTTATGACTTTTTAGCCTCGAGCTTTGCGCATCTTTTGATACCAAAAACTTAAAAATCGGACCACGGGTTGGCACGTAGCGAAAAATTTTCCGGCGCTACGCGCTGTGAAAACTGAATTTTCGCATATACGTCGTGTACACCGAGCAGAATTGCCATTCACTCATATGAATATTTAATTAGCCATAATTCCTAAACCCTTTGACCTATAGTCATGAAATTTCTTGGGCATGTTTAGGAAGAGGTGCTCTATGCATGTGCTGAGTTTCAAAATTTTTCGTCACTCGATGGCCGAGATCTTAGGGGGGGCGGAATCCCCCCCCCCCCCCCCCCCCCCCCCCCCGGCTGAGAGATGGTCAAAATAACCCGGCCCCTTTAGGGTTAAGTTGTCTAAAGGGGTTTCATAGCTTGAACTGCGATTTTTGCAAGCATCATCTGTTGCGTGTTTAAATGCACATAAATGTGAAATCTGTTGTGGTTTTCCGTGCATCCTGGTTTTCATTTTTAAAATTCCACGCAAATGGCATCAAAAATCTTTCTTTTTCATTGTTTGGGAAGTTACTATTAAAGGGAAAATACAACATTTGCAAACATCAAAAAATAAAACTACCAAATCATTTTGAAATACCTTGCTGGACTGTTAGTGAATGACAGTGTAAAGCATCCTGTAAAATCATGGCACCTGATATACTGTCATTTTCAAGAAAAGTGGTATTTTTGTATCAATTTCCACCGCTGATCGGCCGATCAGCGTTGGAAACAACTGGCTTTTTTTCAAATACTGGCCCCAATTGACCATCGCACTTGTTTGCAATCGATTACAAACCTATGAACGGGTACGAGCAAGCTAGACTGGTTCCCTGACCTTACAATTCCCTAATGTATGTAAACTGCTCTGTTTCTTCTTATATGGAGTCAGGGAACCAGACTACAGGAAAATGATTGTTTTTCTTGGTTTTTATACCATTTTCGAACCCAAAACCTCAAAAAGTCAGTGTAACTATATTTGCTATATATTTCCAACCCCCCAGTTCCATCCATTTCTGAAAATTACAGCAAAAGTAAATGATGTATATTCCCTTTAAGTAATTTGTAAAGTTGGTTACAGGTATCTGATCCCATAATCTGGAACCGGTTCCTGACATCAGCAGTCGGGTACTTGGGTACCCGGTTCGGATTTACACCCCTACAACAGACATCCATTTTATTATGTTTCCAGCACTAAGCCAACCTTGGTAGCCATGGTGGAGTCTTTGCCGATGAGACGAGGGGCCACTAGGCTGGCCACCTCCTCCGCATCCATCACACCCTTTCTGATGAGCAGGACCAGGTGCTGAAGGAGTTTATCCCAGAACGCTAGGGCCGAGGAGTACAAGAAGGACCTGGTGGAAGAAAAGATGGACAATATCTAATGGATGAGGAAAATATAAGGGCCCATTTACACAGAAGTACGGTGATGGATAAGTGGAAACAAAATTTGGTATTTTGCTCAGCTGTAACGTTTACATATTGGCAGAAAAAGTGTGTGGTAATTACGTTTTACGCAAAAAATATTATAACTTTTTTTTTTAGTTGAAAAAAAAAGCCATATCCTTTCCGAGTGATCCCAATTTGCATTTTCCAAGGTTTGCAACATTGCTAATGTTGCTAGCATCATGACTTTCGGCGTGAACCCTGGCTACATGGCAAACAAGGCATACACGGGTCTATGGCTTCTGACTAGTGCCCCTTGAACTAAGCCATTGACAAGTTGGGGAACCGCCAACATACATTGTAGGGCTGGATAGCTCAGTTGGAAGAGCACCGGAACAGCAATTCAGAGGTCACAGGTTCAAACCCCGGGTATAGTGCAGTGGCTAGTGGTCTGGAGCATTGAAAATGTGGTCTGCGGGTAATTCTGTAGGTTGTGGGTTCGAGTCCAGCCTGCGGCTATGGTGCCTGTGCCCTTGGTTAAGGCACTTTGTCACTCATTGCTTCTCCCCACCCAGGAGTGAATGGTAGGTGTGAGGGCAGACATGGTTATTGTGGTTGATTTTAGCTGCTTTGCTCTGAAATGGCAGCATGGAGCTGTATACTCCCCAGGGAGCTGAGATGGCATTGGAATGTTTCATTAGCCCAATGAACAGGGTAATAATGTTGTAGGGCCTTGAGCACCAATATTGGTGGATATGTGCGCTTTATAAATACACATTACTTTTACCCCGCTCCAGTCAATTTCTTTTAAAAATTATTATAATGCACCTAGTCAGTTTCCCTTTGTAGTTTATTTGAAAAATTAATTCTTGAAAGGCTTTTAGGTCAAGGTTTTGGTAAGCTCCATAACGTCATAATCACCAATGCACTGACTGTACGGGAACCGGGTACCCGGTAAACCACGAGTACATTGTACCCAGTAGCAAAACAAGAGGCCTCATCATGTATGCATGCATGCAGCATCCCCACGTCAGGCTGCCAATGTGATCAGACTAGTCTCAATAACCAGCCCATAACCACAACAAATCCTGGCTTTTGACTTAGCCTGATCACTACCGCTGGCCCAATTGTAGCCCGCACGCCGGCAGTCGACGAAGTGCGTTGGGCAGATATGACTCATGAAAAACGTTTAAGGCTCTTTTTACTCTTCTTTGGGACTGTTTTGGCAGCGCTTTCTTTTGGACTGTCCAAACAAAAGTTTGACCTAAACGGAGGTACCGGAGTGGGCATTTCGAGTTACGGGGTATCCATGTACATAATATCCTATTCGCTTGACAGCGATAAACGGAGATTAGAGTTATTCAACTTTGAGTTATCGCCAGTTTACTGTGTATCACAGAAAATGCCTATTTGATTGATTGTTCTGACTAGCAACATGTCTTGTTTCTAAAAAGAATAGTAACATTTTTAAGAGACTTTCTAAGACCCCCTGTTACAACTGATACTGTAGTCAATTGTTGTTACATCATCGGTCGTAACCGATAATGTTACAAAAATTGACTGATCGTGTAGTAACATCAATTTTTGTTACATTATCGGTTAGTGATACAATATCAGTCAATCTGTGTGATGTTTTCGGTTAGTGATACGTTATCCGTTGGTTACTACATTATCACCCCTCAATATTTCTACCTGATGGTGACCTCCGTAATGGTGCGTTTGGTGTCCAGTAGCTTATCAGACAGCAGGCATTCTCCTGGCATAGCATGTGCAATCTGTTGTAGCTGTTCCAAGACTACCATACTGATGGCATTGGGGTCTAGATGATCCAAGCTGCCATTATTATTGGCAGTCCTGTCATTCCAAAAAGAAGAGAAGTTTTGAAATGAACAATCTTGGTAGCACAGTCCATAGCACGTAATCTGTACATTAGTTTGATACTTAAAGGGTTAACCCTGCTCAATCCAACAGGATCCAACTATTTTACATTTCCATTGAATCCTGTTGGGCAGTAAACCCCTTGTATATATTCCTGTTGAAATCTGTTGGATTCAGCAGGAAACTAAAAGGGAACATAGTCAGATTCTGTTGGATTCAGCAGGCAACTGTAAAACGCCATGGTCCAGTGGTTATGGTGTTGGACTCATGTACGAAGGTGCGTGGATTCAAACCGTGCCAGGAACATGGTGTTTGTGCCCTTGGGCAAGACACTTAACTACAGTTCCCTCTCTCCACCCAGGAGTATAAATGGGTACCTGTGAGGGTCGAGGACCGATTGAGCGCTGATATCGGCTGCCGCGTGGTCCCATGGCCTGATGAACGGGGTAATAATTGTAAGGCGCTTTGAGATTGTTGAGTAACGATGGAAAGCCCTATATAAGCACAATTATTATTATAAATAACGCCAAGTTGGACTCTGTTGGATCCAGCAGGAAACCAATAACATGGACAGTTGGATTCTGTTACATTCTGTTGGATTCAGCAGGCAACAGAAAAATAACGCTCAGTTGGAATCTGTTGGATTGAGCAGGCCAGTCATTTCATATTTTCAGGTACCAACAACTTGGCATGTTGGATTGTCGGTAACAGTCGGACTCAGTTGAATTTAGTAGGTATTCCTGGGAAACTATTAGGAGGTTATTTGTGAACTGTTTTTGAGGAATGAGCCTGACCTACAGAGGAGGTGTTAATACCAGCATTAGAACTTCTACAGAGTAAAAAACTGAAAATGGCAAAACTTTTCTGTGAAACACTAGACAATATCAAGGTTTGAAAAAAATTACTTCACCAAAGACTAGGATTGTTCACGCCATACCTGACAATTTCTGTTTTGATGGCTGTGGTGCACTCTGGGAAATTGTAAATCTTCTCAATATTGTCCGATTCCTCGATCTCCTGTTCCACCGCTGACACCAGTCGCCAGAAGCCTTGCTCAGTCACTGTTTCCATGGCAACCTGTGGTTGTGGCCTGTTGCGAAGCATGATTAACAGGAAACTAGAATAATTGATCTTCTGTACTCTTAAACAAATTTTGTTTTTCTTCTCCTGACAATTTCCCAATTTGAAAGTGATATTAAAAATAAAAACGAAAAACTACTCTCTTTTTTCCTTCTATTTTGGGCATCTGTAAATCCTCTAAAAGGCTTTTCCAATGCACCAATATATCCATCTGAAATTTGGATGCATATATTTTGTAATTTTTGAAAGAAAAATAGCTACTGGTTACCAATGAAACTGAAAACAATAGATGTTATAATAATTAATCATAAATTAATAATTTATTCATTTATATTGCGCAAATTCCATATGAACATGTTCAACTGCACGCATCACATCAACTTTACTCAGACATGCTCAGAGAGGGCGCATTATGCAGCCGATCCAGAATAATTGGATAAGTGTCCTGGGTGTTTGATGTGCATTACATATGCACAGGACCTACAGTTTTACGTCCCATCCGAAAGACGTGGGCTTGAAGGAGCCCTATCATGTCCCAGACAAGCCACCAACCAGGACAATACATGGAATGGTCTCTCATCCAACTACTGAACACAGTCAATGGCGCTTAACAGGGGTGTGAGTGACCACTGATAAAAATAGCTGAAAACAGCTGAAAAAGGTGTAAAAAAAACTGAACTTTGGAAATCTCCTATACTTTTGTACACAGCAAGTGAGGGAAAAAGTTAAAATCCAAAACAAAAAAAGCTGAAATCAGTTTTAAAGCTGAGATTTCACACCCCTGGCTTAACTTGGCAGTTAAACCACTAGCTCTTCCATAACTGTCTGGGACAATTGTTGATGTTAAGTTTGCAGTTGCATCATTTAGATATATCACTTTTGGACTTTGTGTGGTTCTGAGAAGAATCGCTTTGGAATCGAAAAACATCGTCAACATTTATCTGCAAATTTTACTATCAGGAATCAGTCAAAAATATACTAACTGTTTCAACTAGTACTAATCATGCGCTTATTTATTGACAACAAATCACCCCATCAGCCATACCGTGGGAAAAAGAATATCCTCAACGAAAATAATCTCTATACCAGGTGCTACTAACCTGACATCTTGATCCGACTTGCTGGCCGCTTGGTCCTTCCCCAAAGGTTTCTGACCGTTCGCTGGACCAGCTCCCTCAGCTGTATCACTCAGCGGTAGGCTGATATCGCTGCCGATCTCACTGTCGTCACTCCCAGAGATTTCATCTTGACTCTTCTCATCGTGGGCACTCGATTCCTGGAGCCGTTGTGGTTGATTCCCACCTAACGGTGACAGAGGAGAAAACCATTAGAGACAGCAAGAGAGCATGTATAGTCATCTCATCCTATCAGTGCAAGAGGGCTATATTATCCATCTCTTTGAAAACAACAAAATGACAATAATGGCAGGAATCATTTGCTTAAAACTATAAAAAAAAAAAAAAAAAATTTTAAATAATTGAACTGTTAAAATTGTCCGAGTTTCCCTTCTTTTCTAGTAACTACTATCAAACGAAGGGTGCAACAATTACATGTTTTAAGATTTAAAGGAAACAAATTCAGTATCTGTTAGTAAATTTTAAAAGTGGGACCTTGTTTTTAAGCAATCTGCCCATCAGTCTTTTTTTTTTTACAAAGGATCAACATTTTCTGTAAAACTATTCAATTCACAAAGCATTAGATGCACTGGTTGTGCTAGATCACACCCTTAAACAAGTAATTTACACAGTGAAGGGTCAATCATGTACATGTACTCAGTATACCATCATACATATTCTGATTAAAATTTTAATTTTTTTGTATAGGACACTTCTGCGACCTGATTGGTCATTTGTCTTCATTTTTATCTGCATTGCTGAACACGATGCATTGAATTTGCTGAAATCGACATTCGATTACTTTGCCGTGATGAAATAAGTGTTAAGAAATAAATAGGAAGTTAAGCCCTGCAGTGCAAACGTGAAGGTTTCTTACCATTATGCTTCCCTAACATGTCCTCTTTCGGCAAGTTAGCTTGTTCTTGTGGCTCTTTTCTGTTCTGTACTCCATCAGCTTGTCTTCTTTCGGATGCAGCATCTCCGAGATTAAGCTGTTTTTGCAGAGCATCTCGCAAGGCCTCCTTTTCTGTGCTGTCATCTCTATCTTCACCTTCGTATTCATCATCATCATCATCATCATCTTCTGAGGTAAAAAGATCAGTGCGGGCAGTTGATATTGCCTTTGCACTCACGGCTGAGCTTGCACGCTCTGCAGGTTTCAGCAGTTCACTAGATTTGGGCTGGAGCTTCTCCCCACCCGACTCGGTAGCCGATGGCTCGAGATACAGATCCTCCTCATCTAGAGGAGTCACAATACTGTCGTCATCATCAGCTAACAGGACCTGTGGTGCTTGTCTGCCCTGCATGCTGATGCTGCCTTGGGCCGCTGCTGCTAGTTGCTGATGCTTCAAATCTTGTTGCAGTTCCACTCTGGTCTCTCCACCAGAAACGCCTGCAGATGCCGTGTGTGTTCCTGGGGACTCAGAACTGTGTGCGATCCCATGAGGCTCTGGCTCGGGGGTTGCTTCAATCTGCGGGGTGACTCCAGCGAATCCCCCATGCCGGACTTCCGTATACACAGATGCGCCACTCGACTGTGCAGCTGCAGGTAAAGACTTGAGACTTTGGCTTTCAGGTCGGAGCTTCGTGTATCCTGCATCAGTGTTTGGTGGCAGTGCTTGTAAACTGGAACCCTTCCCACTTAAGCCAACCTGTCCTGATGATGCAATACCGCTTGCCTGATCCTGGCTACCTAAGGATCCATTCTGCAGTACAGGTTGACTCATTCCAAACGTGCTTGGCACTTCATAGTTATCAAACTCGTTGCCTGCTTGAGTGTTTGCTGGCTGCCCGTGTCCCATCGTGGGGGTCCCATATGCCAAACTACTCAGTGGTTGGGTGCTAAACCGGATGCTAGCATAGCGAGGATCTTCTGATGTGCCAATGGGTGGTGTGTTTGGCTGGACGTGGAGGTTAGGCACAAGTGGACTGGTACGTCGCAGGCGATGGTAATCGCCGTTCAAATCCATGGGCTAGATTGGCGAGAAAACAAGGCACAGTTTCATAGTCACAGCAAAGAAAAAAAGTTAATCTTTGCAAAAGCAGGTTACTAATCAAAGGTATTGTTTGTGATTATATTTTAGCTCATTACGCCTTGCAACTTCCACAAAGCAAGTTTTTGGCGCTACTGTGACTTCAATGATGAATCTGAGCCCTGATAACACACCGGCAATATGCAGCAAAGAAATAACTATAGGGAAAAACTTCGGGAAAAGGGTGAAATTCCAATCAATTTTCAGTTAAGAGTGAAACATGTGCCATGGTTTTACCTGTAAAGACGGGTGCTGTTGCACTGGTGGCTGCAACTGCTGCTGCTGCTGCTGGTACCCAGAAAACGTCATATGACCCAGTTGCTGTTGTGGTATGGATCGCGCTGGCCGTTGTTGCTGTGCGGGCAGCTGATTTGGGGGCTGATAGTGCTGCTGCTGCTGTGGCCGTCCTTGTGCTTGCTGCAGATGCTGAAGTTGCTGGGCAAGTTGCTGTTGCTCCTTCTGTTGCTGCAGCAGTTGCTGTCGCCGCCTGAGCTCCACTTGCTCCTGCCACTGCGGGAACATCATTTCCATCTGCTTCTCATACTGATCCTTGAAAACACAAAACAATGAGCTAACTGGATCTGAGACCATATATTTTGGGTGCGGGAAGAAGGCCTGCAAGAGCAGTATATCCATCAATTTAAAGCCCGAGTCAATCATTTGCAGCTATCCAAAAAAGTAACTGGCGTAATTATTGTTGAAAAACATACTGGTTGAAAGATAGTAAGGGGACTAAACTCCCTGTGAAATTATCCTTTCTGGCAAGCTCTCATTTTGAAGTAATCAACGAAAGAAGGCATTTCCAACGGTGCGTCTTAAGAAGCACCGTAGGAAAATTTAAATTAGTAGTTTGTTTTGTTATTCGGCGCAGCGCGCACAAGCATTGGAACGACGCACAGGCACGCGCGGTTGCTATAATTCGTCGGATCAGTGCGCGACATCGCGTAAAGCTGCAATTCAAAACAATTCGAAACATGATTTAGCAGCTTTTGATTTGAAATTGAGATCCTAGAATGCTGTTTTTCTCGGAATATAAAGCTGAAGCTGAGCTGAAACTTCATCAAGTAAGTTGTTCAGTATCCTTCATTAGATTTTGAACACTTTTGTTGCTTCAAACGAACAAAATGCACTAATTACAAATGATGGACTATAGCTTTAAGGCTATTTAGTAAGTTGGGTTTCTATAGGCCTTTTCACACTAGATCTTGGGGATGACACGGGCTTGACGCAGGGTTGAAAACATGCTGCATTTCACACTTGAAAATGTTCAACCCTACGCCATGCCCTGCATCAATCCTGAGATTGATTTCGCCCCAGGTTGAACTCAACCCTGCTCCAGACCAGGGTTGAGATTTTCAACCCGGGTTGAAAGTCTCGCCAGGGTTCAAAATAGTAGTAACCGAGCGAAAGACGCTTGGTTTGCACAAAACTACTGTGAAATGATAAGGGGTTGAACGCTGGGTTGAAAAATATAAAACTTAACCCAAAGCGGCACTGGGTTCCCCCAGGGTTGAGTTCAACCCAGGTTGAGAGGCTCTAGTGTGAAAAGACCTAATAAAATCATAATACTTTTAACCATAGTGTTTTTAACCCCCCCCCCCCCCCCCCCCCACCGAAAAAAATATATATATAAATAAAAATTATCATGGGCAACGTTTCTTGCAGAGTGATCCTAGAATTGTAAAACCTAACCGCCCTGAATCCATCAAAATCCTCTTTGCCAAAGTGGAGGAATTTGGAGGATTGAGGTTACATGGCAAAAGTGCGTTACTGATTTCGTAGGATGCACTTTGTCAAGGTCTTGGGCCGAACCACGTGTTGTTTTTGCTCAGCCATGCAAAAACATAGGTCTGGATTATGCTTGAAATCCTCTGTACTGCTCCAGGATGTCACTGGCCAAGCCTCAGTATATTGACATTCACTGCCGCAGGATTTTGCGGGATTCAGGCAGTGGTCACCCCTCCACGGACCATATTCAAGAAATAATGGAAGAATTTGCAGGATTGAAGCTACATGTATATATGCCATTTTCCATGAGGCCATTTGCAGGATTTTGCAGGATTGAGGCTACATCTTAGCAAAAAGGCCTAGGGAGTTAGGGTTAACTTGCTCCCTAATTTTGTTTTACAAATCAGAGTATATAGAGCTATGCAAAATGACATACCTTCAGCAATCTCAGCCTATCAGTTCTGGCAGACAGAGCAGCCACGTGAGCCTCCACACGGTCATATTCCCGCAAGAGCTGTTCGTTGCGAGCACGGCTTCGACGTTCATCCTCACAGATTTTGGTCCAGTAACTCTGCAGTTTGCTGGCACGCACTTTGTTTCTGTTTGGAAGGGTTGGTTGGAAAGATTCAGACTTTCAATTTTTTTTCCATCATATCTCACAGATCACAATGAGGCATTTTATTCGGTAAATGGTTAAAAAACTAAAGACATTTAGTAATAGCATACTGCTTTTTATTGACTAGCTGCTTTACATTTTCAATGCAAAATGAGTCGTTTTGTCAACACCACGCAAACACAAGGTATAAAAACGGGATTAAAATGCAACACGTTTTACTGCGGTAAGCTGCAAGCCAAAAGCCGCAAGCCACAAGCAGTGGCTTTGGGCAGCCGGTCAGCTAGTTAACAATGGGGAAAAAATGCAAGGTATTTTGCTGTGGTAATCTGCAAGCCATTATAAGCCATAAGCCATAAGCCACAAGCTGGCAGCCAGTCAGTTAGTACAAGTGGGATAAAAATGCAAGGTATTTTGCAGCACAGCTGCAAGCCATAAGCCACAAGCACTGGCTTTCTGCAGCCGGTCAGCCAGTAATGGCACATGAAACAACCAGTCCAACACCCTTTTACTGCATTAATCAAGCGTGTCAAAAAAGAAACATCTCGTCGCATCAGTGCAACAAGGTCATAACTTGATTCTGCAACAAAGTCGTATCTCGCGTGAATACGCTCCGTGCAACAAGTTCGTATCTCCACGTCCATTAACTTTGCGTGCACATCCGGGTTATTTTAAGTGAGATACGACCTTTTGACATTCTAAAACTCGCGTTTTGCGTTTATGCCATTTTAGGAGATACGACCTTGTTGCACTGACACGACGATCTGGTACCTAGTCTCTATTTCTACATTCTCTCCATAGTCATGCCACCAGACTACTAAAGGGTCAATATTTGCTAAAAGTTGGACATGTACTAATAAAATTACTCATCACAGCAGCTTGCTCGGTTCAGTTGAAGGATGTGCACAGCTTGCTGCATGGAAAGAGAAAAATCAACAGTCAGGTTATTTGATTTACTCACAATCTCTTGTCTGACTTGAGGTACGTGTTGAATTCTTGCTCAAGACTCATTCTCTGTTTTTCTCTAAAAGAGAGAGAGAAAAAAAACATTAGGAATTTTTGTGCCCAACGTTTGAGTCAAACTTTAAAGGGACATTACAGCCTGGAATGCACCCAATTCGATAAAAAGCGATCCTGCATGTTTTAAACAAAATATTAATTGGAAAGAGCATTTAAAAGTAGATTATAAATGTCCACACAGCAAAGCCGTTTTACGTCTACCACCTAGGCCTACCAGTTACACTGGTAAATGTAAAATGGCTTGGTTTGCATGTACACTGACGGGTTACCAGTTTTGTAGCCGATCGTCACATCAAGTGTGTGCCCAACGTGCGCGATGTCACAAAGATAGACGCTGGCGAGTACAAAGTTTCTCCCAAAAAAAAATTGTCGGTCTGAGCCTAGGTCCTAAAAAAAACCCACATTTTTCACAAATTTTAAAGATGGATCAACCAGGGAAGATTTTTTGGGGAAATTTCTGTTTGAGAAAGTGGAATTTTACTTTCTACAGTTTTAGACGTATCACAAGACCTAGACCCACTAACATGACTAACTGGGGCGCTAGAACTCAAAAAAGGAGTTCTAGCGCCCCAGTTAGTGGGTCTACACTAGACCCCCTAAAGCTATGCGATCCTATTTTTATGCACTCACCTTCAAGTTCAACGCATGCATGTTGCAAGCATTTACCTGCACAGATTATGGAGGTTCGAGGATAGGTAATTCGTCTATGCTCCTTCCTCCTACATGTCCTACTCCTAGAACTATGATGCCCTGCATAGTAGCGGAGCATCATAGTTCCAGGATTAAGTAGGCACATAGTACTTAGTAGGAGTACCTTCCTCCATGGTCTATCATCAACATTTTGATCAAGCTCAAGGGACCCAACCAAACAAATATTGTTACGAAGTCGAAGATTCAAAAATGATTGATACTACTAGGCTACTGCTCGGATATTGCTGCGCTGTACCCTGCAGCAATATTCGAGCCACACTAGTGGGGCTATGGTAGAAAAGGCACACCTAGCACCTGTCAAGTCCATAGAGCTGTATAATAAAGAAGTCCTAAGATTTACCTGACCACTAGCTGGAGTTACCCAGCCCTGAGTTTTATCATTGGGTTGTCTATTAGCAACCCAATGATAAAACTCAGGGCTGGGTAACTCCAGCTACCTGACCACTATAGTTTTATTCCACCATGTCCACGGACCTCGGCAGGCCTACTCCAATTTCCAAATTTATGAGTAACTAACAGTAAGTGGTAACAACAAACCTCTGTTGTTGGATTGCCTGTAGTTTTTGCATGCGTTCATAAAATTCAACATTATCTGAAGCCATCTATCAATGTTGAATAATGGTACTTGGTTGTTGAAAACAGTTGAACTAGGACTTAGGATATTAGAATGTAAATAGATTAATATTGTGGTACATCAGCACGGCACTCGCGACTCGCACTGTCTCTTGCAGCACATTTCAAAACGGTCTAACTATTGAGGGCGCCCTTGCAGATATACGGTCACTGTGTGTTTGTCTAGTGGTCGTACCACAGACTACAAATTTGTATCCTTGTGGAGACCCACACACAATAGGGAACAAAACATTGTAAAGGTCTCCACAGGGCACTTTCTATAGATGAATAGGTCTCCACAAGGTTTTCACGAAATAGATATATGGGTTTTACTCAAAAAATAGGAATTTCCAAGGTGGGTTGATTTGTCGCAAATGGAAGAGTTTTAGAAAAGGGATATTAAGTCCAAATTTCAGCCAAGGAAACTAATTCTGGTTAAAATAAGAGCATTTTGAAACTTCACTTTCAAAATTGAACACTTTACTACACGAGAACAAAGGAATGTCTCCACAAGGATACAAATTTGAGAGTGGGTGCTCTATGGGTCGTACCCATTAGGGTGCCGACGCCAATATAAAACGTCCCACAGACACCAGTGATTAATCCCCATACTTCAAAATTCTTTTTAAAATACTCAGGACTCTCACAGGTATTCAGGATGCACAGAAAAATGATGGTCATCATGTCATCTTTCATTTTCTTTTCAATTTTTGGTGGGTTGACCGACTTTTTGGGGAAATTCCTGACTTGTATTCGAAGTGTTATAGTTCTTATTTCTCCATGATTCGAGTCACCAAACATCGAGTCCGAGTCACGAGCCTCACAAAGGTTGAGTCTGAGTCACCAGTCACTGGTTACCTGTCAGTAAGCGCATCATCTTCAAACCTCTACTCTTTACTTATAAATGCATCGACGGTTCGTCACCATCATACCTTCGCGAGCTCATTGAACCCTATCAACCACCGCGCACCCTTCGCTCTGGCTCAGCACTGTTGCTGAAGACTCCCGCCATTCACACCAAAACGTATGGACATCGGTCCTTCACACACTCATCCGCTACTCTCTGGACAAGAACTGAAACTGAGTTCAAAATTGCACTTAAGACATACCTATTTAACATTTAATTATTTTGTGTTAGTAAAGCGCATTGAGACATTGTGTAATGCGCTATATAAGAACCGCTTTATTATTGTTATTATTATTATTAATATATATATTGGAAATAAACTTGAGGTAGCCTTAATTTGCTGAATCCTCACAGTGTATATTTTTCCATTTTCAGAGTTTTTCTCTATAAATAACTGGAACTACGTACATATATACATGTAAAATAAGACAATTAAGGCACCATGTGTCTGGAAAGAATAATCTGGTACGGAACACTACAAAGCTTGCATTTACGCAATATCAAGTGTGTACGCTGGGGTTCATGATTGTTTCGATACATTTCCCAAATCTTTGTAATTAATTATCGGAGTAAGCCATAGTTTCTACTGCACAGCACTAACTGTATCGCTTGCTCAGGAGAGGATCTTCTTCAAAATAATTTGCAATGATATTTAATTTGGTGAAAGAAAATAAATAATTTGTAGGAATTTTGGTCGAGTCCCCAGTCACGCAGGTCGAGTCCGAGTCCGAGTCATCGTGACTCGAGTCCAAGTCCCGAGTGGGACGGCGGGTCGGACTCGAGTCCGAGTCGATAATCACGAGTCATACAAGTCTGAGAAATTCTCACCCAAAGCAGACCACCCCTAAAAACGAACGATGTTTCTCAAACTAGCCATTTTGAAAAAGGATCTCTCCACAACCGTTTTAAACTGCGCCACTTTTGGACCCAATTGCATGCTCAAAATGGGAACCCCGGCATGTAGTCCAGAGGTGCAGTGCCATACGTGTTCAAATCCCAAATTCCATGGCTCTCACTAACATAGAATTATTTGAGTTCTTAACTTTTATTCATGAGCTCGACGGACGGATTTTTGGCCTATTAACTGGGGTGTACCCTTTAATATTCACAAAATTTGTTCCCCCCCCCCCCAACCACTTTTACAGCATGAGTAGGATCCATATAACTCATATTTTGTCAAAGAACTAAATATCTGAGGTTATCATCAACCAACTAAGAAAAAATATCTGAGGTCGATATCAGGCCTGAACGTTGGCAACTTTTATGCATTCCCCGGCTTCAGATGCAGAACGCCCTATGATGGCGATCCCCCCCCCCTCCAAATCACCACCCCCCCCCCCTTTTTTTCTCTCGAAATTGCTTTAATCGGTCGATGGCCTATCGAACCGGTGAATATTTGTAAGCATATTTTGTCGCAGATCCGCCCTTGGTGACCCCTTTGACATGCTTATGCCTCCCTCCCAGTCAGTGCGCAGCCTGCTCGATAATGAGCCACACAGCGAGATTTTATTTGCAGAATACATTTCCAAATGTGGTCCCCCGATCTCATGAATATTCATTTTACCAAGCGAGTTATGCATACACTGCAAATAAACGCAAGCACTTTTCCGAACCCTGCGCACTGACTGCTCCCCCTAGGTTCCGCCTAATCGACAAGAAGTCTCTTCATTGATTCTGTTGTTTGACGTCACGAGCAGACTAGATGCGCGCCCGGGATGAGAAGCCTGGCTACGCCCGCTGCTCCCGATTGTCATCGCTGATCGTACCGGCCCGGACCGGTTGTCTTCAAGGTGGTCGGACCGCTTCTTCGTCTCTTGGAGTTGCTGGGACTCGGGACACAGATAACCCCTCGGCCCGTATGGGCTGCTATATAACTGCATGAGCGGCTCGTTTGCCGATATCGCCGCCGTTGCCGGCCGCAGAGTGCAGTGCCGGGGGCCAGGTGCGCCGCGCCAGTGGCGATCTTCGTCCTCATCTGAGTCTTCGCGTCTCCTCTTCGCGAGTTTCACTGCTTCCTCGTCAGCCAACACTGTGAGGCAGCCAGAAACAACTCCAAGGCACTTCGCTCTTTTCACACTTCTGCCATGACCATGCAGAGCCTCGATCTTGAAACTTTACACAATAAATGTAGCCGGTTCAGCCTGTTCACCGCCAATGGAATAAGGCTGGGGATTACTTAGAACTATAAAGGGAAAAATCGCTCTGTGTGAAATACGAAAATAATAACATGTCGATGGTTTATCAGGCGTGCGTGCTGTGGACGTTATCAAACAGTGATAATTATCTAGGTTTTTTAATGTTTTTTTTTTAGAAACCTATTTGTTCACTAAAACAAACATTACATCAGTGCAAATTCAATTTTGATTAGTAATAATGAGTTGTAGATTTGTGTCTAATCCGTACATAAATACAGAAGAACAGAAAGGCCTTTCCGTAATAATATGATCGGATCAAAACCTCTTGAAATCAAACCTTATACCAAACTGTTTATGTAAACTTGGGCCCGGCTTGATCAATTACAACATAACGGTAAAAGTTATGCTTACCAGAAAGCCTACACGACACCCACAAGTCTGTCACAACCATCCCTCATTATTCGATCAAATCTAAATTTAATAAAAAAATAAATAGATATATAATAAATCCAGCAAAGACTATATCATTCCCATGTGTTGTCCTTTGATTGCTTCGTTTTCACCTGTGTGCGCGTGTACACATTAATGAATTAATACAAACTCGGATTTTCATCAGATTGGTTATATATACCGACTATGGCTTTTGAAGTTTGGATCAATTTGTCGATTTGAAGTTTGTAACTGACGGTCTCTTTTCCTATCTGAAAAGCAACCCCTCTTTTCTTATAGACCGTTTTTTTCTGCAAGTTTTACAGACAATCATCTGTTTGGAACGAATATCTCTTTCGGGAAGGATCGATCATCGATTTTCGATGTGAACTTTTCGCGTGAATAGAGCATAATAGTTACGGCTTTAAAACCTGGATAATCTTGACAACCACGATTAGAACGCTGAGAAAGACTTGGTTGAAAACAAAATCATATCATTATAGAAGCCTGTAATATACATACATTCTATACACAAATCATTCCTTTTAATTTCCCAGATGATACAATTCTAATATTCGGCGAAATATATTCTTTTTTTTCACTGCCCTCTTAATATGGATCTCAAATTTGCAGATTAATTGCAAGCTTACTTCATCCAAACAAACTGCATAATGATTTGGGTTTTTTTTCACAACTTTGTGAACTTCCTTATGTACATGTCATATAAAATATTTACAAAAAACAAGTAATCTGGCTTCGACAGTTTTAGAGGTGTTATGTAAATTTTTGTTAAAAAAAATCTGATGACTTATATGTATGTTAAAACTCGCATCATTTTTATGACATCATGATGACGCCACATGTTTTTTAAAGACCTTCCAAAGATTTGAAGTTTGAGTGTTTTGTTCCGTAGATATATATATATACGTTAAAAAAATATTTAAAAGCCCTAAAAAATCTATTAAAAATTACATGATGACGTCATCATTGCATTACTTTAATTTTACAGAATAGTTCCAACCCGATCGGCTTGTTAGTTCTCTAAATTTTAGACCTTCAATAAAAAAAAAATGCGCCTTCATTGTGAGTCACGTATACGTGATGCATGATGACGTCATTATTGCGTATTTGAATTTATAATACTGTTAAATATTGTAGGGAGAAGCCCCTCAGCCGATCATGATTTCTCGGCCCTACAATTTGTAATCTGACGACCTTTACGCTTTTAATACATTACAACGACACAGTGGAAAATAGGATAGGAGAGCAACCCTGTAGCAGTATATAAGTTGTCCAAGGTGCAGGGAGGGGTTGGGTGGGTGATGTAATGGTTTTCAAACAAAACAAGCCCTTTTTAACCTTTTCAAATGCTGAGCGGGAGCTCAAAGGTACAGACCCTAGCCCTGTGTTCCTAGCTGCATGCCCGAAGCCGACTGATGGGCAGTGCGTGCAGAACGGGTGATACTCAGACTAAAAAGGTGGCATACACGGACCTAGATTTAAAGGCGGAGAGGTGGCCACTGGCGACTCCCCTCCCCCATTTTCACCCCACTAACTCAGTCTGCCGCGGACATTGACTTATCATAAAATACATTTTATGACTTTTTTATTTGAACTTCAACAAAAGCAGGAAAACCATCCTCGTTCCCAGAGGAATGAATAA